TAGAAACCTTTCAAGAAAAACGAGATCGGTTTTTCGGCCTAACTGGACTCCTCCCAAGACCATAACTGTTCCACCTTGATAAGGGTGCACTTCCTGAACATGATCTAACCGAATAAGATTTCCCGGTTCTCTCCATACCCTAAGTCTTTTCGAATCCGGATGAATTCCAAAGCGTGACTCATCCGTGAAGAGAACATTGGCCCATTGTTCATTCGACCACTGAACATGATCTTGAGCCCACAAATATCGTACTTCTCGATTTCCTCTCGTTAAGGGTTGAGCTCTCCAGGGGCGTCTACTTCTTAAGTTGACCTCTCTTAATCTATTGTGAACAGTGTCAGGACTAACGGTTACATTATGTGTTTCCTGGAGAATTAAACTAAGCTCTGGTGCTGTAAGAGTCGGTCGGCGTCGATCATTTAATTGTAAAAAATGATCTTCCTGAGGGGTAGTAATGCGATGTCGCCCTGTGTGCCTTTCTGCAACATCACCACTTTCACGGTAGCGTGCACTTAATCGCGATATTACACCTTGCCTTGTATTTAATGCTCTAGCTACGTTGATTTGGCGCATTCCAGCTTCGAGCATACCCATGGCCCTTAGCATTTCGTCTCTGTTAAGATGTCTACGCTCCATAATGTAGTTTAATACTAAACAGAGTTATTTGAATGAATTCTGGCCAGTTATCATAAAAAACATAGCCAGTACAGGTTAAATTCGAACAATTGATGCTAGGTGCTTTTTATACATTTGACAAAAAATGCACAAACACTTCTGCAAATATCCCAAATTTAGAAATAACTAGTGTGACTACTTCGTTTCAATCGAAGTAGAAAGAATCGGCCTACAAATATGTGGTTGTTTATTCAAAACATTTATTTTTAACTTTAATAAAATGATATTCCTAGATTTTTCCGGTGTGAGTACTATAAGGGTACTATGCAATACAGAACGAGAAATGATCATTTTAATACAAATTTTGTGGCAGTGTTTATTAATTTTTAATTTATTTAGTTTATTATTGTTGTTTTATAGTATGTTTTACTACGTTATGACATAGTGCACACACAATTTTTTTTGTATCTTTGTCAATGACGGTATTATATGGCCACCCTGTATGTAAGAAAAAAGCCCAAAATAACTTCTTAAGACTGGTATATAGGTATTCTTAGATACTGTTTTATAAATAAATCCCTTTCTAAAGAGTAAGAGACCACTGCCAGTAAGAAACAGACCGTCTGGTATGCGTAGGTTCATTAAAAGACATACGGAATCGAGACAAACTTGGCCGCGCTACATATTTTACCATATCCGTTGACTCCCATTAAGGCAATTTTCAATCATAGACCCATAGATCAATCTAGAACAATGATCGACGACGAAAACATTCGCGTAGGAAGTCAGAGTATGCGTTCTAAAAATGGCCAATCGATTCAAATAGCCTTTTATATAGAGAAAATTTAATATAGTGTGACTCATTTATATTATTCGACGTTAAAAATAGGTTGGATCTCTTAAAAACCCTGTCGAATCGGCAGTGACTCATTAGAGTTTTCTAAAACAACGTGAACAATTCGATAACAAGATTGAAAACGCTTCTAAAGTTTCTCTCCTATACAGGGGGAGAGCTTTGTATATTTTGTTGGATTTCCTATAGAAATATTATCCCGTAATTTTTGAATTTTTGAAATTAAAACACTTGACTTTAGAGGAGACAATAAAGGAAGAGATATATTATCTCTCTATTATACAGGGTGGTCCAAACTGTGTTCCGGAAACAACTTCGGCAGCATATTCTGCACATAAAAATAAATAAAAAAGCTCGTATAAATGTATGTTATAAAATGCTTACTTTCGGAGGTACAGGGTGTAGAAGTTTCATTTTTATTTCGATTTTTTTCCAAATAATTTCTGAAGTAACGTCAATATTCAGATAAAAATTGGTGTGTGGGAGTTTTTTGACATGATAAATTTGATTTTGATGTCAATATGACTCCTACTTGTAGAGGGCGCCACCTGCATATTTTTTAACTGGTTTTAAGAGTAATAACTTCTCGTCGATACCTGTATTAACTCAGTGAGTAAAAAAATATACATTTACGACGTTTTTTACGTAAAAAAGGTCTCTTGGTAAAAATCGCTACGAATAATGGTTCTCGAGATATTTGGACTCGAAATTATCAATACCTGTCATCATATTGACATAAATTATTAAACATGTTGACTAAATAGTTATTACACTGAAATCGTAAATTTGAAACGTTTTTGTGCCAAAAGTTCAACAGAAACTGTTTTATCATCATTTTTTCGAAGAAAAATGTATGATTAATTTAAAAAAAAATAAAAAATCGAAATAAAAAATGAAACTTCTACACTGCAACCAAAACCCTACCCATGTATGATGAGTTACAACTCAAGAAACTTGGAAACAATTTAATAATTACAAATAGGAAATCTGATACTATGGTTTTTCAAGACCCTGAGCCACCCTGTATACAGAAGCCATAAACACAAATGTATTAAATCAAATTTTTGAGCCCTAAAAATAGACTTGGCACCAGGCGAAATATGATTAAACGCCTTAATTAATCAATATTTATTAAAATCCTATTATCTAGCAATATAACCAGACTTAAATATATTTAAAAAACAAAAATGGACTCTTTTTGACTTAAAAAATACAGTTTTCAAGAATTAATGGCATTTCTTTTAGTTTTCCAAACAAAATAAATGTGGAATTCACATCCTGGCGTCTACATTATACAGAGAAGATCTATTTATAAACTTTCATAACATCTGACTACAAAAATAACTGCATGCGCTGCTTAGTCTTGTCAGGCTTGAAAATTCTGACTATATTTTATTACATCCATGTCGAAAATCACTATAAATAATCTTTATTTTGAAAAAAAAGATTTATTACAATATACAGGGTTGTTCACCACATACGACACGGAGTATTGTAGCTAAACGATGAGATTTTTACAAATTGTAAGTTTGGGGTTCGTTGAAGGACTATTAGAGCTACAATTTAAAAATATTTTTACAAGATACAGAGTGTCCCAAATAAATAAAAAATATCAAAGTTGTATTTTTTTAAATGGAACACCCTGTGTATTATTACATTCTTAGTTTCTACGATTAAAATAAAGGTAAATTTGATTAAGGTTTATTATACTTAAACCTTACCGTTTTTGAAATATTTTCAATTTTGTGAAATTGCAGTAAAAATTTTAAAGCTTCATTTCTCCAAGGGTATCAATGTTTTTAATACTAAATATTTAATGAAGTTTATTTATTGATTAGTTATTGTGTTGGAATAATAAAAATAATACTACCTTATACAGAGTGTCTAAAAATTTATTTTAAATAATTATTAGCTTCAAACGGCAATAACTTCTTTAATTTAAATGGAATGCCTGTATATTTTAGAAGAATCAGATGCACAATTAAATTGTCTATCAAATTGTATTATACCATTTTTTACCTATCCCTTTAAGTTTTCGTAGAAAATGCATTTTCTTATAATTTAGACCTCATTTATCAATATATCCATGGAATATTGTCATTTTAGATTGTTTTTAAAGCAACAAATGTATAAAATGTACAGACTATAATATTATCGTTTTGCTAAAATTGCTAGCCCATTTGTATGCAAAAAGAAAACTATTTAAATCTTTATAAAAGAGAATACCATTAATTAAATATAACACCATTATTTCCACCCATATACTAATTAATTACATACTTAATTGTGTTCGTTAATAAATTATTATAAATAAATGTGGATTTGAGTCAGAAATCAATATAATAATAAGTTATCAAATTAAAGTCTCTGTTGTTATAAATAAGCATTTATTAAAATATGAAATATCATTTTTAAGGTGTTACTTTTTATCACACTGTCTAATACCCATACAAAATTCAGTTTTTTAGTATTTGGAGCAATTATTATTAATCAACGCAAACAGTCAGTTAATGTAGTTTGAATACTGGAATCATATTAATTGATCCTCTTTAGCAAATATTTAAACAGTTTTTTTTATTTTTTAATGAAATAAACGAATTATATCGACAATATTAGTATCTGTACTCTTTAAAAATTTGGTACATTTTTAAAAATAATCTAAAATGTCAATAGTCCATGGGTATATTGATAAATAAGTTCTAAATTACAAGAAAATGCATTTTCTACGGAAACTTAAAGAGATAGGTAAAAAATGGTATAATATTATTTGATAGACAATTAAATTGTGCATCTGATTCTCGTAAAATATACAGGGCGTTCCATTTAAATTAAACAAGTTATTGCCATTTGAAGCTAATAATTATTTAAAATAAATTTTTAGACACTCTGTATAAGGTAGTATTATTTTTATTATTGCAACACAATAACTGATCAATAAATAAACTTCAGTAATTATTTAGCATTAAAAACTTTGATACCTTTGAAGAAATGAAGCCTTAAAATTTTTACTGCAATTTCACAAAATTGAAAATATTTCAAAAACGGTAAGGTTTAAGTATCATAAACCTTAATCAAATTTACCTTTATTTTAATCGTGGAAACTAAAATGTAATAATATACAGGGTGTTCCATTTAAAAAAATACAACTTTGATATTTTTTACTTATTTGGGACACTCTGTATCTTGTAAAATTATTTTTAAATTGTACCTCTAATAGTCCTTCATCGAACCCAAAACTTACAATTTGTAAAAATCTCATCGTTTAGCTACAATACTCCGTGTCGTATGTGGTGAACAACCCTGTATACACATTATTTATAAATAAAGAAAGATTGAAGAAACCAATAAAACACTTAGCAAGATGCATTTAAGATAATGAGAACAGTATGATAAAAAAAACGGCGTCTAGTTGGCTTCGAAATGACAATCGCTGACATTCTCCTATATAATTTTACATTTAAATAACAGCAGTCTTCCATTTCCAAGCCACTTTTATAAAATAATGTTGAAATAATATTAAAAAAAAACAGAAAACTGCAACAATATATCTATTAATTTAATAAATAACAATTAATTCAGTCTATATACGAGGTACTACATAAAATAAAATACTTTTAATGTAGTTTATTCACAAATCAGGTTGTCTAATACGTGATTCCTTGTTTAAGTTCTTACAATGCAACTTCAATAATTTCATTATTTCAGTATTATACTCTTCCGGAATCTCTTTCACTTCTGAAGCCCAATAAAAAATGTCCCAGTCGTTTGAAGGTCCGTTTATAAGCCTAGAAACATTTTTTAGTAATTCAAGCATTAAAGAACTCTGAGTTATAGATTTTTACTTGTCATATAGATCGACCTGAGTGGGTGTGAATGTATGTAAATATTTTGCAACAAACGTGCTGAGTAAAAGATCATTTTCCAGCATTCCTCGTTTTCTAGATTGATATATTAGCCTAGAAAACACAAAAAGTGTGTTAAAAAGTGTATTTGAATGTTGTAAATGTGATATAAAACAAAACATTGTAAAATACTGAAGCCTTATAAAAAAAATAAAAGGATATATTCATGCCTGGCTTTTCTCTGTTCTAAATCCTCTCCTTCGCGAGATATAGGTCTAGGAATGGTAAACACAGGATCTTCAGGAGGATCTATCATATCCGAACTGCTCAATCTACTAAAACTTTGGAGTATCCCAGGTTTACTTCTGAGTTGCCTCTAAAATAGAACATCAAATAGGACTTGTAGGATACTAATTTTAATCTTGTTATTATGGAATTTTTACCGTGACATTCAGTATTTTTGAAGAAATCATTTTAATTTTGAAATGTTAAAATATTTTGACAAATATAGTGTTCTAACCTAAATAAAAAGAAATGAATGGTGCTAGTGACATCTTGCAGAAGAAACTGGAAATTTGCGAAATAAATATATTTTCCTAGCGCATTCGCCAGTTTTCTTTGAAAAACGTTACTGGCATGGCGCTATAATGTACATTTTTAAAATGTCGCGTTTTTTAATGAATAAAAATTTAATTTTATGTACATTAATTACAATTGAATAAAGCGTGATTGATTAGCAAAACGTATACAACGTCTATTATAGGATATAAATAAAGATTTCGTAACTGCCCAAAAGAAAATAATGATTAAAATAAATTTGGGTAATAACAATATCTGATACTGAAAATATAGATTACGCTAAATAAGTTCTTGGTAAATATTATAAATATTCCTCTATTGATGATGTTTTGTGGTTAAGGTTAAGAACTATTGTGGTAATTTTATTGTTATTCAGAAGAAAACCATAAATATATAGCAAGGGATAGATATATGTTGCACGGTCTATAAAAACTCTTCAGAGTATACTGGGTGGACCTGTATTCCAATTTTCTTTTTGCAATATTTGGCTGAAAGTTCTTGAGTAGTCATCAGTGATTGAAAATATACTTGAATGTTAAAATTGTAGTTTAAAAAGCTCTCTATATTTTTTCAATCAGATCATTTACCATAAAATTTGCATTGCAAAATACTCTCTTGTTATAATCTGAATTGTTTTTAAAATATGAATATTGTTATAATGGATTATCAACACTTATACAGGGTAAGTTTTGCGCTTTTTATAAACCAACAAAGATACATAGAAAATAGAATAGACTTATGTCTTGCTTGTGAGTCTTAACTAAGTGCGAATATTTTCTGGGCTGGTAGATCTCAAAAAAAGAAACATATTTTCTCTTTGCCGTTTTTCAAATAAGTCCAAAATAACCGAGTTATTTTAATTTAAAAATTAAAAAAATAAATTTTTGCTTAAATTTTGAGAAGCACTGGAACTTTTCTGGGTTTCCTTTCTTGTAAATTTAATTTACTACACTTATGTTGCCATATTACCAAGGTATATTATGGTTTTTATCTAAAAATTTAAAAAATTCCGAAAAAAAAACTCATAAACGCGTTTCTCTGGTCGAATTATACTACCCCTAAAGATATTTGCACTTATTTAAGACTCACCCTATATTATTCTTCTTTCTGTCATGCTGCTGCTAAAACAACCGAAGATACACATACAATTTTCTCAATCCTCCTGCGTCATGTTATCAATAACAACATTAATGTTGTTATTTTTGTCGCAACAACTATTAATAATACAGAAAAGCGATAAGCCGTTGGCTAGTTCTTTTTCGAAATTTGCCCATTCATATTTAACCAAGCACAGGCCAACAGCTTGTCAGTCCGAAAACAACAATTTATTGAGTCGGTAGTCTTTCTATTTGGTTTCTGTTTGTTGTTTCGCACAAAGTCGCATAATTTTCGATATTCCGGAATTTATAATCGAAATAATTGAGTAGTTTGTTCCAAAAAATTCGCGAAAAGTTTGATAGTGAAGTGTTTTTGGTTTTTTTTTAATACATTTATTACATTTGTGTCCATTTTTGTATCTGTTTGGTTTCAAAATGTTTACATCTACAAAACAGGTAAAAAATAATTAATAAAAGTATAATTATCTAGATAATAAGTATAGTAATAGTAAAGTATTATGGATATACCGTATGATCGAAAAAAAAAACGGCGTCCAGTTGGCTAGGAAATGACGATCATCGATGACATTTTCAATATAAAATGACAGCGATCTTCATTTCATAGCCATCGCTGATGCTGTTTTTTTTCCGATCATACGGTATATTACATCATCTTTAATACTGTATGATCGAAAAAAAAACGGCGTCAGCGATGGCTATGAAATGAAGATCGCTGTCATTTTATATGTAAATTTTTATGAGAAATGTCATCGATCGTCATTTCCCAGCCAACTGGACGCCGTTTTTTTGGATCATACGGTATATTACATCATCTTTAATACTATATGATCGAAAAAAAACGGCGTCAGCGATGGCTATGAAATGAAGATTGCTGTCATTTTATATGTAAATTGTTATAGGAAATGTCATCTGTCGTCATTTCCCAGCCAACTGGACGCCGTTTTTTTGGATCATACGGTATATTACATTATCTTTAATACCGTATTATCAAAAAAGAAACGGCGTCAGCGATGGCTATGAAATGAAGATCGCTGTCATTTTATATGTAAATTGTTATGGGAAATGTCATCTATCGTCATTTCCCAGCCAACTGGACGCCGTTTTTTTTTCGATCATACGGTAGAAGGTAGAATGACTAGAAGTGGAGAAGCGGAACTGCGACTTTAAAGATCTGTTGTGTCCTCCTTTCTTGAGTTATAACTCATAATACAGTCTATAACTCATCATACATGGGGATCTTCCTGTTATAGGGGGATATAGGGCTTTCCCATCCTTCTCTGACAACAACAACTGTTTCATTCTCCGAGGTGTGGACCTCTAGCTCCTACAAAAGGATATACACCAATATATTCTTTATGTATGGTATACGTCACCCGGTTTTTTACGGTTGGGGTTTCAGATATCCTTGAGGTGGAGGCTGGAGGATCTGCCTCCATTATCTCCATCTCTTTAACTTGGTACTTGGTCTCTCCTTTGACCTGATACCGGTGTTGTCCCGGTTCTATAATAGAGGATATACCTCTCTTCCTCCTTTGCCTCCTTGGATTTGTGGTCAATTCCTATTATGAGGATCGTCTTTAATAAGAGACTTATTACAAAAATGTAATAGTTTTTCACAGCTTCACAAAATTATTTAATTTTACAAAATTTTAAGAGATATTTAATGATTATTACCAACTGGACTTTCTTTAAAATAACAGTGGTCTCTAATTTTGGCTCACTCAGTTGGTATAATAATTAGTTTTCCAAAAAAACACATTTTTTTCGCTCATAAATGTTGAATTGTATCCAAAAAAAATTACAAAATTTTTTATCTAAAGTTTTTCGATTAAGAGATCAAATCTGTTGAGCAACCGTTCTAAATGTTATCAATCGTTTTTAGTGCTATTGCAAGCTGATCCTCCAATTTCAACACAAGCTGAAGCAAACATCCAAGCAGGCTTCTAGAGCGTGCTCATTGAAAGTAAAACAAATCATTAACGAACCTCTGCTCGAAGAAAGAAAGTATGATGAAACTGATGATGAGACTGACAGTGAAATAACTTTCAGGGTGAGTATTTTACAGAGTTTTACTTTGTTTTAATGAAAATGTTTTTTTTTTACTTAAAAATACCTGAAATTGACCTTTTTGAAACAAATTTTTACCAATTTAAGCTGGAAACACTGCGACCTGTGGCGTATTGTGTTGGTCTCCATTCTAAGTCTGCACCAACTGACTGTCCTACCCTTGTCCCTTGCACCAACTTGTGCAGGACCTTGATAGGATGGGAGCATAGTTCCTCCACTTTCAGCCTTGCTCTCCTAAATAAAAAATGACCCTTGCGATCCAGAGCCTCGCAGTGACCCATTATGTGCTCCGCTGTTTCAGAACCTTTTCCAAAGGGAAGGGGGTCAACTTTCGTTTAGTTCAAATCAGTTATTAGGAAAAAAAAAATTGTCTTTAAAAAGCTACTGTGAACGACAGAAAACACACATTTTCCTGCGGAACTTAGAATAACTGAAATCTGCTATAAAAAAATACATATTGCGTTTTATTTTTAAAATTTTTCTGAACATATAAACACAAAAATTTTCCTGCGGAAATAAGCTGTTTTCATTTTCTAAGGAAATTTATTAAACTTTAGAATAGCTGAAATCAGTTATATAAAAAATAAATATATTTTTGCCTTTTAGAAGCATTCACGAATTGAGGAAAATAAAAATGTTCCTGCGAAAATCAACTGTATCCATTTTCTGAGGAAACTTAATAGACTTTAGAATAGCTGAAATCAGTTTTATATAAAAATAAATATATTTTTGCCTTTTAGAAGCATTTACAAACTCAGGAAAATAAAAAAATTGCAAGCGGAAATGCTTGATTTTCATTTCCCATTTTTGTAAGCATAAATACATAAAAATTTATCTTTTTATCACTTTTGAACCAAAAAAAATCATTTAAAAGTGTCTAAAATGCTAACCAATCTAATAATATTTTTACAAAATAACAGTTAATTTTTAAAATATAAAAACCACAACTTAACACCCTCCACAAAGAAAAACTAACCAAAGCAACCCAAATCCTAACCAATCTAATAATATTTTTGCAAAATCACAGTTAATTATTAAAAGATAAAAGAAACCTGCATGATCCAATGATTTTTTGTTTTGAATCAGCCCTATTTACGTAAAGCTTTAATGAAAAACAAGAATAAGTGCTACATTCCGAGGCACTTATAATTTACAAGAACCTATATTATCTATTCTACAAGAATTGATATTCCTCCGAAAGATGTTTCACTTTTTTGTGATCCTGTAGATTACTTAAATACCTACAAATTGAAAAAACACATTTTTGAACACAACAAAATAATATCAACTAAACAAAACTAGAAACCGTCATTTTTACTGCATCACAAGCAAATAAAAATTAATACGTAGCCAAGAGTCATAATTCAGGATTTCTCTGATGGGTTAGGTTGTAAGGTTGCCCAGCAGTACCTGGGGGGGGCCGGCACCCCCGGGCACCCCTGTAGTTACGCCAATGCGCCTTGGTCTGGACCCGGCATTACGGACAAACGAAGCACTTTTGTATAGAAGTAAATTGTGTGCAGTGAACTTATTTCGATTTTAAAATACGCAGTGGTTCTATATGTCCACGGAATATTGGGTCACCCTGTATAACATGATAATGAAACAAATCTAGTTATTTCCTGTATTTTAGCAATATACCAGTTAACAAATAAGCCATAATAATGTTTTTTTAATGAAATTCTTGCAAGTGTATTAATATAGAAAAAGTTGTTCTGTTATCTTAGATAATATAGAAATTAAAAAATACCCCAAAAGCACATGTTGTTTGTTTACGTTTAATATCGTTCAAAAAACGTATATCTAGAGTTCGATTTAATCAGAAATACAGTCAAAGCTGCAATGGGTCTACTAAGAGGCTATTGTTAGCTCTGAATAGGCATAAGGTTGAAGGGATTGACAGACGAAGTCATGTGCAGATTTTGTCAATGTTAAGAAGAAACGACAGCACACATTTTATTGTGTTATCTAGTTCGTTGTACTAGACAAAGTCTTTGTACTAGCTGCTAGACTTTTTGAAAAAGATAGGGACTGGAGAAGTCAAAGTATCTACTTTTAAGTATATATTTAAAATAAACCAAAAAGAAACCCTCCGTGTTCTTTGTGGTTCATTTCACTGCTCATTCTTTGTTGTAACCTTTGAATAAGGAGACTAAGGAAGGAGCATAATGCTATCCATGTATTCATGCATGGTGGGCGGAAAAAGCACCATAAAAGCTCTCTAGGGTGGGGATCCTTGACAGTTCTGTTTGACGATTCATTTGACACATTTGAATTTGATTTAAAATTTTGTGGATTTGTCAGTCTTTACGGAGCTTATTTTATGTTATTTATTATTTATTCTACTACTGATAGTTGTATAAAGGTAGTAAATCTAGATGGAAATTGTGGCAGAACTTAAATTAACAGTGACACTATCGCGATTTATCGAAAAATACTCTAAAATAGTTGGTTGTGTAGCGTGCGGTAGATCTCGGCAAAAATCGAGTGAAATAATGGAACAACTTTTCGCTAGTATGTGACTATATAAAATACATACGTGTAGTAAACCGATCATTTATGAAATTCACTTAAATTAACTAAATTATATATTTTTCTTGCATTTTAGCTTTTAATTATTACTTGTCAAAGATTAGATGTCAAAGAATTTAGATACGTTAATTTGACTTACCTGCTTCAGTAGCGTATCGGATGTTTGTGTTAATAAATACTTATTTTAACTTATCTATTTTTATTAGAATTATATATTTTTATAACAATTTTAATAACTACCAACATTTATTCACAACGTAAAATAAAACAACAAATTATTGAGGCTACCCCACGTCTACCCTACATCATAGTTTTACATTTTTTAAATAAAATTAGAACGACACTGATAAACCGGAATTTAAGTCGGCCATATTTGAGGCCCATCGCGGTGTACCTAAGATTTTTGATATGCTTTTTCTTTAGTCTTCTTATTCAAAGGTTGTAACTAATACCTTTTTTATTTTTAGTTTAAAGATTTAACAACAACGCTGTGCAATCCGGACCAACTGAGAGCCAAACCTGACGTGGCTGACTTGAAATTCGGACATGTATTCACTGACCATATGATGAAAGTTTTCTACCACAAAAAATTAGGCGGTTGGCAAAAACCTGTGATAATCCCTTTTGAAAATATATCCCTGCACCCTGCTGCAAAAGTTCTACATTATGCTGTAGAGGTATGTAAAAAAGTACCATAAAAAATAGATTAATTCTAAAAAGGGCTAACTGTAAACCATTTTTATTAAAATATATTGCGTCTACAGTACAGTACGTCTGTCCGTTCTGTAGCTACGGGGTATCCGTGAGAGGGGAAACGATACTAGCGATGGGAACTATCGAATGAATTAGACTATCGAATGGTTAATGAATGAATGATTTCAACTATCGAATGGTTTTATTCGAATAAAATCATTCATTCATTTGTATACTAAAGCATATGTGACAACCTCGCTGTGCGACTAAATGGTTATCGTTAAGCCACGACTATCGAATGCTTTTGACAAATGAAATTTAGTATTCGTTTGATTTTCGTATGCGTCAGTGCATTATTAGTTCTTCCAAATTTTTATAACTTCGCCGTATAAATACTGTGCTATTTTTGCGTTTATTAAAATAGTAGTTATTTTTTAATTTTATTTATTGACGATTTGTGCATGTGCAGGTGGTCAAAATTTTTCCGAAAATTTGTGTGGTTTTCCGTAGTCCGATCTTTCAATTATTTAATTTTATATGGTATATGGTCTATTTTTTAATGGGAAATTTTGAGAAGTAGCAATTTTAAGAGAGATGAGATGAACTTACAATTAATTTTAAAAATACATATTTGTATTTTAGATGTTTTAATAATATGAATTAGTTGAACTTAATAATCATATTTAAGTAATGTGGTTAAGTAAATGGTTATCGAACTCAAACTATGGGGTGAGAAAATTAAAATGAAAGTTTTACACGTGCCAATTAAAAAAAAGTTAACGATGGTTTTATTTTGTTTATGCTACTTAATTCTTTTACATGTAATTTTTTGCGAAGAAATATTTCATTTATTTATTAAAGTAAATGCCAGTAAAAGTAAATATAATTTTTAAATAGTAATATAAAGCACCTAATATAAATAATTTTGATTTCTAATTTTTTATTTATATTTTTCTTCCATTACACTGCATGCTTAGAAAATTAATAAATGTTTATATTTCATGATTTTAAAATTTGTTGTTAATATAACAAATTAGTTCTGTAATTATTATTATTTAATAAACCAACGTTGCTACACACAAAAAATTTAGAGACTAAAAAAAATATTTATATTAAATGATTTTAAATTTTATTGTTAATAGTTATTATTACTGTTATTATTATTTATTAAACCAGTCTTTGCTTAAAAACATTAAAACTTATTTTCCTACATCCAAAATAACAAGTATTATTGCAGTGTAACAATAGAATATTAATAAAAAAAATGCAGAATATATAGACATACTATCCCTAGCTAACTAAAGCCAAACAATAATATTCTTTGCTAATATCAACTAATACCAAAATATGGCAACAGCGCTCTTCATAATGTATTTTTTGTGTAAATACTAGCACCTCAATAAAAAAATAATGTGTCCTTATTTATATCTGACTCCGCAAAAAATCAAAGATGCCGGCTTCTTTCATAGCATTGCCACCGACCGCTGTCGGGTTTCTCGGAAAGAAACCTACGTCGCCGGGCGACAACTAAAATTCAGTTAATATTTTATTATAATCGATCCTGACGAATAAATGAATTTCATAAATGAATGAATTTTATAAATGAATGGTTTTTGCTGCCGAATTACTAGAATACAATATTTCAAGGCAGATGACGGATCCATTCGATATTTTTTATTCGAATAGTTTTCAACGAATGTTTTCTTACTAACTATCGAATTATTCGAATGAATTGCAACTATCGAATGTTTCGATAGTATTCATTCGATAGTTCCCACTACTAAACGATACTCTCTCGATGTTTTTCGTAAAAAAATAGACGACGCGTCCCATCAATAAAAATTCGACAAATTTGCAAGTAGCCAATAAAATGAGTGGGCGGAGCGATTTGCGGTGACGTACTCGTCAGGTCGGCGTATAAAATATATTGCTGTTTATTTAAATGTTTTTTGTCCGCATTCCTTTCATAGACACAGATCCAGCAGACGAACTGTATAAACATGCTTTGACGTACAGTTGTACAAATATAGGAAGAGACTTGGGGATAGCCCCGTCTCTAGCTATACAGAGTACGTCACCGCAAATCGCTCCGCCCACTCATTTTATTGGCTACTTGCAAATTTGTCGAATTTTTATTGATGGGACGCGTCGTCTAATTTTTTACGAAAAACATCGAGAGAATATCGGTTCCCCTCTCACGGATACCCCGTAGCCACAGAACGGACAGACGTACTGTACTTGTTAAGTTGTACATATCATCGTTTAATTTGTTATTTCTTGCTTATTTTATTCTTGATTTTATGCAGAAGGTACAAATTTGGAAAGACATTGCGTCAGGACTTTTTATCAAACGTTAAAATTACAGTACAAACAATATAATAGGAAATTAAAAGAAATTAAAAGGAAAAACGTAAATATTTACATAATTCACATAGAATTTAATAATAAACATCTAAATCCAGCGGTACAACAATTATTTATATAAAAAATATGATGTAATAATCAAAATTTTCTCACTACAAAATTTATTACCTCTACCAGATAAGAGTAAAGTTCTCTCTAAGGTTATCATTACACTTATTTTTTTAAAAAAAAATCAAGATATTTGGAAATTGTTGCTAATCACTACTCTCTAATTTTTCTTAATATCTTTATTATTTCCAAGATGCAAGAAGCATAAACAACGATTTTATGTTGTTTATATTTTGATGAATTGTTTTATTTAATATTCATTGCCCCCATTTTAGGCTTTTTCATTTAAAATACACAACATAATTTCATAAAAAAAACATTTTCTGTAGATTTATTGATAATGACGTATATAACTCATAAAAAAACTAATTTGGCATTATTAGGATATTTAAAATTATTCATATTCGTGTCTATTATTTTAGTGAACTATTCATGACATACATTGCGCAAAAATCGTACAATTAGATATTATAATCACCCTTGATTGAATCACTGACTTATTTTAGATACCTTAATGGGTTTCCAGAAATATTTAGACATAAATAATCGGATAAAAATTAAATAAATTTAATTTTGCAATCACTTATGGGTGTTGAAACTCTTGGATACTGTGATAATATAAAGCAACATTTATTTTTTAATTATTAATTTTGTTAATATTTTATGTAATAATAACAATTCACTGTTTCTGATAAAGAATTATACTCCCTAGAATCCATGTTGCAATTAAAAATATACAGATTGTTTTTATATCTACTGTTTTTTAAATAAATCACTTTAATCTATACAGGGTGTCTCGTAAATAAACATTTTAAGTGGTGGTAGATCTGGACAAAAGGACAGTTAAAATACTGGCACTTGTTAAGAGTACACTATGTATAAGGGTGTCATTGAAATGGTGTAAAAAAATCAGTGGGTGATAGTACTCCTAAAAATAGTAAAATAGTAGTTTTTACACCATTTCAATGACACCCTGTATAATTCTCTTTAAATCTGCTTCATATTACCTCAAAACTCTTTAAATTAAGCTGTTGTGTCAAATTTTCATTTCTTTATTTTTGACTGTTCATTTTTGTAAATAAGTATTTCAATTCAATCTCCTATGTCTATTTTTTTAGTTATTTGAAGGAATGAAGGCTTACAGAGGTGTAGACGACAAAGTAAGGCTATTTCGTCCAGATTTGAACATGAAAAGAATGAACAGATCTGCACAGAGTTCGGGACTTCCAACGTTCCAAGAAGAAGAGATGATAGAATGCATTAAACGCTTAATACAAGTTGACGAAGAATGGGTACCTCACAGTGAGGCGAGTAGTCTGTATATCAGACCAACATTCATTGGTATAGATGTAAGTTAATTTTCTTTTGAAGTTACACATCGAAAATATAATTGAATACCTCTATTTTGACTTATGTTTCTGAAATGAAAATATTGCCATCATTAATCACTACTTTCTATAAAGCATTCAACTAGAATCTTAGATATTTCTTTGTATAACTATCACATTTAAAGAGAGATATTGTTTTTACAATGATAAATTTCATTGTAATTAACCCCATGTATTTGTACATACATTCTTCCAATGGACTAAAGCTTATTTTTGTAACCTCTAAGATATACGAGTGAAGACTTTTGCAATTTGTTTTTCCCAAACCAGATTATTCCAGTTTTGTTAAAAAGTATCCGCATTTGTTAATGTGTTGATCTAAGATATAAAAATATATATACAGGATTATTTACTAAAAGTTAAAAATGAACTATAATATACAGAGTATTTATTAAACCAAAAAAAAAGTTTATGATCCTATGTTTGCTAAAAGAATTGTAGTAAAATTAGGTTTTCAACTGAATGTTAAAGTCCTACATAATACTGGTTCGTCCTGTATATCTACGTTATCGTAGGTACATAATTTCAATTTCGAAGGCATTTAAATTATCAAATTTCTAATTCACACTGTAGAAATCGTCAGTTCTATATACCATGACAATTTGAGGAAAAAAAACTTTATCTTTATAGGTTAAACATATACATTGTTGTTATTGTCTTGCAATTGTAGATCAAGCTTTTTTCATGTATACTAAAATGAGATGTATTAACAACAATGAAAGTATCGATACTCTTTAAAAATATCGAACATCCCTACTTGTGTGTACATTTTTATTTTATTTAAGGGTACACTAGGAGTACATCAATCCGATTCTGCCTTGCTTTACACCATTTTGTGTCCTGTAGGTGGTTATTTTGAAGGAACCAAGGAATCAGTATCATTATTAGCTGATCCTTCTTATGTAAGGTAAGTCTTTTTTTTATCTAACAGACAAATAAGTCTATTATAAAATCGCTTCACCAAGAACCCCCACAAAGGCTCAGTTATTGTTAGGAAGCTCATAACAAGACAAATAAAATTTAAAAAATAGACAGGGTATTCCAGTTAAAAAACAGTTTGTATCATATTCAAGAATGGCAGCCCCCAGCGAAAAGCTAGTTACGCCACTGGTTTGTACGTAAAATACTCTACGGGACTCACGGTTTTTAGCTTTTCGATAAGTTATAAGATAATCGACACACAAAGGAGGTCAAAAAATGCAAAATTTTCAAATTCACCCTGTATATCAGGAACTAATGAGAGGGTTAGGACAAATTTGTGTGTAGCATCTTTAGATTCGTAAAAAAGTAGCTTACTGATGTGAAAGTCGCATCTTTGTATCTCTACTCATAAAAGGGAAACCCTGATAAAACACAGGAAAATAGGACACCCTGTACAAAATTCTAGATCTGCTCACTTGAAACTTTTTTTTTAATTTTTTTTACTAGGGCATGGCCCGGTGGATCAGGAGATAAAAAAGTTGGCTCAAACTATGGTCCAACAATCAGGGCTCAGAAAAAAGCTAACCAAAAAGGACTGCAACAAGTTTTGTGGCTCTACGGACCGGATCACCAGATCACAGAAGTGGGGACCATGAACATATTCCTCTTTTACAAAGATGAATTTGGAGGTAAATAAACACACGTAAAAATAACGAAAAAAAAATTATATTATTTTTTTTTAAATATTTTTTTCAGTTAAAAGACTTGCAACTCCGCCACTGACTGGGCTGATTCTACCGGGAGTGATCAGGCAGTCGATACTGCAATTGTGTGAACAGTGGGGTGAATTCGTTATAGAGCAGAGAACCATAACAATGGCCGAAGTAATAAATCTTCAGCTATCGGACAGAGTAAGCTTAATTTTTTTTAAATCATGAGTAAAATCAACCATAAAAAGCATTTGAAATCACTGAAATCTAGTACTGGTAGTTGCGAAACCCAATTACTAAAATATGTAGACCATATTTTTTTTTCTGTGAAATTCTTAGGACTTATTGTAGACAACTCGTTACAATGGGACTTGAATATTGTACCTTTATCAAAGAAACTAAGCGCTGCCTGTTTTGCGCTAAGGTTTTTCTAAGAAACTTGACTTATCAACCTCTAGAACAGCCTATCATGCCCTTTTTTAGTCGCATCTTCGTTATGCCCTTCCATTCTGGGGTCCTTGCTGCGCAACAAAATGTGATCGAATTTTCAAACTTCAACAGAGAGCAGTTCGATATTTATTGGGACTGAACAGTAGAACTCACTGCCAGATTTTCTTTAAAAATTTCAAAATACTGACTCTTCCTTCTTTATTCATTTTTGAATCCGTTTGCTTAATCCGCAAGCACAGTTCTAATATTCCCGATCGGCCATCTCACAACTATCCACTTAGAAATTTCAGAGCTAGTTAAAGGCTCAATACTGTACAGGGTGGGTCAAATTCGACGCTTTTAAATTGAAACACCCTTTTCTATAGGAGATAGACAAAAACTAATATCGGTGTCTGGAGCTCAATTTTTGTCAAAAACATGATGTTGAAAACTGCATATGCGATATCTGTTACCGTTTCGGAGTTACTGGGTGTTTTTCAAAAATATGCATTTTTAACAAATCGCTGTAACTTTTTTGCTATGGAAAATGTTGTATTTTTATGAAAACATTTCCAAACCACCTTTTTACATAGAATTTAATGGTTTAAGTATAATTTTTTTAAAATTAATAATATAAGAATTATCAACAGAAAATTTGATTTTTTATATGGGACACTCTGTATATTTTTAATTTATTGAAAATAATTTAAAACTACCTTTTCAAAAATATAACACACTTGATATTTTATTCGATTCCTCTTCGAGATATAGAATATATAAAAATTCGCCGGCTTTAAATAAGTAGGCTTTGAACGGCACCGGCTGTAATGTAAAAAAATTCTAGCTGTGAGCATCAATTAAAATAAAAATAATATTTGCTGAGAGATGCAGAGTTTTATAACAATTTAAAATATATTTAACCAACATCAACACATTTAAACTATAACTAATAACAATAAAAATAAATAGCAAACCAATACATGAGATTTTGCTACAGGTCGACATATCGACCGTCTTCTGTTATGGACAGACGGGGCAGTTTTTGAACATTTCTCGCGGAATTCATTAACTCAGTAGGGGTGAAAGATACCCTCTCATAACTGCTAAGTATTTCTAATTCTTGTCTAGATTATATGGAAGAATAAGGAACCTTTATTCTTCCTCAAATATATCCATAGTATTAGATCCATGGGCACTAAGTCAGGCGGCCTCGACGGCCAACGGCTGGGATCTTGGTTAGCTCTTCAACTATTCTTGAAATTGGCTGCAAAAATTTGTTGATAACTTCAGCGTCCAGAGGCGGCGCGTCGTCTTGCCGGAAAAATATGTTTTCGAATTCCATTAAGGGCATATCATCAATAAGGGGTCCAAAGCCTACTAGTTAAAAGTGGCGAACTTTCAAAAATTCTGTATTTCGAAGGTGAATATAACAAAATATCAAGTGTGCTATATTTTTGGAAAGGTAATTTTAAATTCTTTCGGTTAATTAAATATAGAGGGTGTCCCAAATAAAAAATCAATTTTTCTGTTTTCAAAATTATACTTAAACCATTAAATTCTACGTAAAAAGGTGCTTTGGAAATGTTTTCATAGAAATACAAAATTTTCCATAGTAAAAAAGTTACAACGATTTGTTAAAAATGCACATTTTTGAGAAACACCCCGTAACTCCGAAACGGTAACAGATATTGATGTGCGGTTTTCACCATCATGTTTTTGATGAAAATTGAGCTCCAGACACCGATATTAGTTTTCGTCTATCTCCTATAGAAAAGGGTGTTTCCATTTAAAAGCGTCGAATTTGACCCACCCTGTACAATCAATTGCCTTTGAATATCAAGTCGCTTTCATTCTTTCCCGCACTTCGCAAAGCTCTGAAATCATACTTACTGGAGAGAGCCCTATATACAGTAAACGACTTTTTTGTTGATGTTTAATCATGAACAATTTTGAATTTTAAAATTATGATCATCTCACACACTGGTTAAAAGTCTAGTATTTAATATTTTATTCAAACCAAACTCTTACAAAGCGTTATTTATTTGTTATTATTTTCAGTTACTGGAAATGTTTGGTTCAGGAACAGCAGCCATAGTCAGCCCTATAAGTTCTATAGAATATCTAGGACAAACAATACAAATACCAACCACAGAACACCAAAACCCTTTATATAGAAGAGTTAGAGAAGAACTAAAAGCAATACAATACGGACACATAGACCACCCATGGGCCCCAAAGATAGATTGATAACTATTTATTAAATACAAGTACTTCTCTCAGGGTACCTAATTGTAAATATTGATTTTTTTGGATAGTTTTACACAAACTATATTAAAATTCAACTAGAAATACCAAGAAAAGGTTGTTGAAGTTATGTTAGATATATTTATTAACAAACAAAAATAATAAAATAAGACATTTGGATACATAAAATTGCTTAAAGTGGGTCATACACGTTATAAAATATATCACGTAAAATTCAACGTATGCGGTTAGCTTTACTATATACGTATTTATTTCTTATATTACATTTGACTGTGGTTATACCATTTAGATATTGTATTTTATATTATTGTTAACTAATTTTAGGATTTTAACTATTAAAAATGACTAATAATGAATTTTGTGTGAGATTTGTGAATAATACTGTTAACTGTTTGACAGAGATATAACTTATAGTGATTTTTTATTATAATTTTAAGCCTATATGTGATGTTTTTCTTTAGAAAATCAAGGAGTATGAGACCGATGATATAGAATGTAATTTTTTATTAATGTAGTATGTAGTGAAAAAAATAAATAAATTTCATACCAAATAAATAATTGTAAATATTTTTTCAAAAATGTTTTTTATTTATACAGGGTGTCCCAGAAATGAGTGCAAGTATTTTAAGGGGTGGTAGATCTCGAGAAAAGAAACATATTTTCTCTTTATCGTTTTTCAAATAAGTCCAAAATAACGGAGTTATTTTACTTTGAAAATTTCCAAAAAAAAATGATTTTTTGCTAAAATTTTCAGAACCACTGGACCTATTCTGGATTTTGTTTCTTGTAAATTTAATCTAATACCTATGTTGCCATATTTTCAAGAAATTATGTTTTTTTTAACTTAAAACTAAAAAAAATTCCAAAAAAAAAATTCAAAAAATTGTATATTAAATACTGTATATTAAATATTTATATAACAGAGCATTTTACCTGTATATTAAAAATCGTCCTGTATATTAGAAATACAATTATGTATTAAAGAAATCTAATATTATTAATAAGTTTACTGAGATCTAGTTAAAATAACCTCTGTGACATTAGATAAAACAGAATCCTACATTATGAAAGATATAATACACTGTACACAGTGTCCCAAGCCTATTAATAAGCGGACAAAACATTAAAATCTAAAAAAAAACATTTTTTAATGTGCCAAAATAACATAAACAAAATCTCAAATAATTTACTGAATAATATAACACTTTCTTTATTTTAAAAAATATCTCCTACAAGCAAAAAAGTAATTTTCGTATTTTTTAAAACAGTACACCGCGTATTTTAGACCATTAAAAAATGTTTTATCACGAAATTATACATTATCGAGAAACAGTAAGCAGTTTATTCAATAAAAGCACGTTAAAAAATGTTTTTAGTCGCTTTAATCTGACTTATCCATGTACAAGCACCTGTTCTATAAAAGCGAATCTATTATATCTTAATAAAATGGCGGAAAAAATAGATTTAACTGCGCAAGATAACCCAAATCAAGGTGATATAAACGCAGACACCGAGGCCAGACAAGCGGAATCAGAAACAGTCGCTATTATTATGTCAGAGAAAACGGAAACCGTACCCACAGAACCGCAACTCGGTGAAAATTCAAAAGATGACAAGGGGAAACACGGAAAACACGGGAAACACCACAAGAAAAAGGACGTGGTGACGTACAAAACACACCTCACTTCCCTCGCTCACGTTAGTGTTCTAGTGTTTGTTTACGTTGTTATCAAGCTGTCGTTCAGAGAAGACTTTGTCTTGTTTAGTTGGCATCCGATTTTGATGAGCTTAGGGGTAAGATATATTTCATTTTAATGTTTTTTTGTCTTTAAATTACGAATTTTAAGTTAGGAATGATATATTCTCGTTGTTAAATGTGCAAGACTGTATATTTCGTAAGTTTTTCATTCAAGATTTGTTTTATTTACATGACACCCCATTTTGAGGGGCTTTAGGGGTAAGAAATATTTAATTTTGGTGTTCTTTTTGTCTTTAGATTACGAATTTTAAGTTAAAATTGATATATTCTCGTTATTAAATGTGCAAAACTATATATTTCGTAAGTTTTTCATTCAAGGTTTTTTTTTTGTTTACATGGCACTTCATTTCGATGATCTTAAGGATAAAGAATGCTTAATTTGAGTGTTTCCTCTTTTAAAATTAGGTTTAAATTGCTTGATTTTTCCTCCGATTTTCTATGTATCAAATAGTATCAATACTTAAGTTCAGGGTCATAAATTATTATTAAAATCCAAAAATTTTTAGATAAACTAAACAAATATAATTAAATAAAGCTCAAATTTATGAATGGAAGGTAAGCTTTAATGAATGTATTGTTTAATGTTTAATAGTACTAAAGTTGTTTAAATAATAGATAAATATGATAAAATATACGTGCAGATAGATAATGCATATATAGATAAAACATTTTTACGAAAAAATATTGCATAATGTTACTTAATGAAAGCACTTCATATATTTTGGCATGTTTACATTGATTTTAACTGAGATAAAATTGATCAAATACTTTCAAATCATTAATCTAAATAATAAAAGCTTTTCTACGTTCCTTTTATAAGCTCAGGAAGAAAACACTTTTAAATATATGTCTTTGTGTCATATAGTTTGTGTGATTTCTATGAAATAACAAATGTAAAATGTGAATTCCCATGAGGGGAATTAAAAAGAACTGATATGATTCCATAACATTTTAGAAGGAATGGGTTTTTTCAATGTATACAGCTAGAATTACATGCATATTGGTCAAAGACCTTGACATGGTAAAAGTTTATTAAGCTCTGCTAAAACTATTATAGTTATTAACAAAAGATATACTACATTATTAAATTTGTCTTGCATTGGTCAGTCTATATTTTATATGAACGAAAAAAAATGATCAAGTTTAATTCCTTTCATTTTTAAATTCGATAATTGGTAATAAGGTTTGTCGAAATATACGGGGTGACCCGCAAAAGGAGAGTTAATCTAATCTCACAGAAGTCTGCGGATTTGGTGTATTTTAAAGTTTTATACAGGGTTGTTCACCACATACGACACGGAGTATTGTAGCTAAACGATGAGATTTTTACAAATTGTAAGTTTGGGGTTCGTTGAAGGACTATTAGAACTACAATTTAAAAATATTTTTACAAGATACAGAGTGTCCCAAATAAATAAAAAATATCAAAGTTGTATTTTTTTAAATGAAACACCCCGTATATTATTACATTTTTAGTTTCTACGATTAAAATAAAGGTAAATTTGATTAAGGTTTATTATACTTAAACCTTACCTTTTTTTAAAATATTTTTAATTTTGTGAAATTGCAGTAAAATTTTTAAAGCTTCATTTCTCCAAGGGTATCAATGTTTTTAATCCTAAATATTTAATGAAGTTTATTTATTAATCAGTTATTGTGTTGCAATAATAAAAATAATACTACCTTATACAGAGTGTCTAAAAATTTTAATTATTAGCTTCAAACGGCAATAACTTCTTTAATTTAAATGGAATGCCCTGTATATTTTAGGAGAATCAGATGCACAATTAAATTGTCTATCAAATTGTATTATACCATTTTTTACCTATCCCTTCAAGTTTTCGTATAAAATGCATTTTCTTATAATTTAGACCTCATTTATCAATATATCAATGGAATATTGACATTTTAGATTGTTTTTAAAGCAACAAATGTACAAAATGTACAGACTAGTAATATTATCGTTTTTAGCAAAACGATAATATTACTAGCCCATTTGTATGCAAAAAGAAAACTATTTAAATCTTTATAAAAGAGTATACCATTAATTAAATATAACACCATTATTTGCGCCCATATACTAATTAATTACATACTTAATTGTGTTCGTTATTAAATTATTATAAATAAATGTGGATTTGAGTCAGAAATCAATATAATAATAAGTTATCAAATTAAAGTCTCTGTAGTTATAAATAAGCATTTATTAAAAAATGAAATATCATTTTTAAGGTGTTACTTTTTATCACACTGTCTAATGCCCATACAAAATTCAGTTTTTTAGTATTTGGAGCAATTATTATTAATCAAAGCAAACAGTCAGTTAATGTTGTTTGAATACTGGAATCATATTAACTGATCCTCTTTAACAAATATTTAAACAGTTTTTTTTTATTTTTTAATGAAATAACGAATTATATCGACAATATTAGTATCTGTACTCTTTAAAAATTTGGTACATCTTTAATAATAATCTAAAATGTCAATAGTCCATGGGTATATTGATAAATAAGTTCTAAATTACAAGAAAATGCATTTTCTACGGAAACTTAAAGAGATAGGTAAAAAATGGTATAATATAATTTGATAGACAATTAAATTGTGCATCTGATTCTCGTAAAATATACAGGGTGTTCCATTTAAATTAAACAAGTTATTGCCGTTTGAAGCTAATAATTATTTAAAATAAATTTTTAGACACTCTGTATAAGGTAGTATTATTTTTATTATTGCAACACAATAACTGATTAATAAATAAACTTCATTAAATATTTAGGATTAAAAACATTGATACCCTTGGAGAAATGAAGCTTTAAAAATTTTACTGCAATTTCACAAAATTAAAAATATTTTAAAAAAAGGTAAGGTTTAAGTATAATAAACCTTAATCAAATTTACCTTTATTTTAATCGTAGAAACTAAAAATGTAATAATATACGGGGTGTTTCATTTAAAAAAATACAACTTTGATATTTTTTACTTATTTGGAACACTCTGTATCTTGTAAAATTATTTTTAAATTGTACCTCTAATAGTCCTTCATCGAACCCAAAACTTACAATTTGTAAAAATCTCATCGTTTAGCTACAATACTCCGTGTCGTATGTGGTGAACAACCCTGTATATTGTGTTCTAGTAGACCGATTTTGATGATTTTTTAAGCAATTTGTAGCTAAATTATTAGACTTTTTCATGTCTTTTTCTAAATTAAAAATGAAAGTTTCTGTCAATTATACGAGGTGAAATAAAATGTTGATATCTTGGAATTTGAGGTTCGAGAAACCCCTCCTTATCGAATCTCTACTCCCCACAACCAATCCGTTTGCCAAAAATCAGCTCTAAACGTCAAGCAGTTTAAGCAGAATCGTGATTACTCAACGGTCATATTTTATGAAACCCCCTGTATAAATTTTTAAAAAATCTTAAAATATGTAAAACAACAGAATAAAATATACGTGTTTAAGAGTTTTTCCGAAAAACTCACCGGTTTTTAAATAGAAAATATTCTAATATTTGAGGGGTGGTTTCACCCCCTTAGAATTCGAGTTTCGAAAAATCCCTTCTTATCGAACCTCTACACCCTAAAGTCAATCCGTTTTCCAAAAATCAACTTTTTACGTCAAGCGCTTTAAGCAGGATCGTGATTAATCAATGACCGGATTTTTCGAAACACCCTGTATACATTTTTAAAAAATCTTAAAGTTTCTAAAAAACAAAATAAAATATACGTGTTTAAGCGTTTTTTCGGAAACTTGACCGCTTTTTAAATAAAATATATTGTAATATTTGAGGGGTGCTTTCACCCTCTTGGAACTGGAATTTCGAAAAATCCCTTCTTATCGAACCTCTACAACACCCTAGAATCAACCTGTATGCCAAAATTGAGCTTCTTACGTTGAGTGGTTTGAGCAGGATCGTGATTAATCAGTGAGTCAATCACTTAAGGATTTTATATATTAGTATAGATTAAATTTAATTATGAAAAAAGTATTTATTTTTTATTTTTTCTTACAGTGGATGCTGTTAATGACTGAGGGCCTCTTCGCCATCAACAAATACAACACGTACTGGCGTTTCAAAACTAAAGGCGGGTTCAGAGTGAAAATTCACTGGATCACAACTTCCGTAGGCTATACACTGGCCGTCATAGGTTTCATAATAGCCTACATCAACAAAAACTTAAAAAACAAAGACCACTTCGTGACGTGGCATGCGCTGTTCGGTATCATATCTCTGGCATGCACTTTACCGCCTATAATAAATGGTATAGTGCTACACTACAAAAAGGAACTGTCAGCTTACATATCCAGACCTAGGTTGCTGAAGTTTGTTCATGTGTCGTCGGGAACTCTGGCGTTCTTATTTGGCGCGTTGAGTGTAGTGCTGAGTGTTTACAGTAACTGGTACAGGAAAAAGTCTTACAGGAGTGACTATATCTTTTGGTTGGGTTTGATTAGTGCGGCGTATCCGCTGTTTTGGGCAGTGTTTGGACCCAGTGTGAAAATGTATAATGTGGTAAAAGACTACTTTAATCCTAAAGAGGACTAGGAAAGATTTATAATATACGCTTTATATTAGACTACCAAATGTAATTATTTATTTTTTAAATAAAATGATTTTAAATCAAAAAGAGTTTTTTTAAATTTAAAATAATAAGGATTGATTAATATATCTATACTTTTTATAAAGAAAAATATTTTTATAGGCATATTAAATTTAATAGACTGTATTTATATATCGAGAAACTATGGTTACGCTCGTTGAATTTGACACTTTATGTCAGTTTAATTTTCATACTTTTGTTAAGGCGTGAAAAAAAAGTGAAAAAAGTCATTTTACTTTTTTATATTGTCAATCACGTCGCAAAAATTAATACTTGTGACGTTTGAAAAAAATTAAAATTATAAAAAAACTGCAAAAAATATTACAAATAAATGGCTTTTACCATTTTAAAATAATCAAAACTCACTTACTAAATATGGCGCCTTTTTGTAAAAACAGTTGTTTTTATACAGGGTGTCCCAGAAATAAGTGCAAGTATTTTAAGGGGTGGTAGATCTCGATTAATGAAACATATTTTCTCTTTTTCGTTTTTCAAATAAGTCCAACATAACGGAATATTTTACTTTGAAAATTCCCCAAAAAAAAAGATTTTTTGCTAAAATTTTGAGAACCACTGGATCTTTTCTGGATTTTCTTTCTTGTAAATTTAATCTAATACCTATGTTGCCATATTATCAAGAAATTATGCTTTTTAACTAAAAAATAAAAAAAAAATTAAAAAAATATCGAATTTAAAAAAACATTGCGGCGCCTTCACCGCTTTGGCAAGCTCTATCACAGCTCCCTTATCAAAACAGTCGTTTTTCGTGAAGTACTCTTCACAATAACGCACGTCGTGATAGTGCGTCAGATGTTTCACTACGAAACACTCACCGCATTCCATGCATTGGTACGCTGTGGATATTGTTCTGTGGGTCTTGACATGTTCTTGGAACTTCGTTCTGTCAGTTTCTTGGTGGGAGCACGCAATGCAGGTATACGTCCCGTCAAAAATAATGGGTTCGTCAGCTGTCAGATCGTTTTCCACTTCAGGCTTTCTGGGTCTGGCCACTTTTTGACGTTTTCTAGACTTTTCATCGTCACTCGAGTCCCTTCTAGTCTTGTAGGAACCATCAGTAGACCCATCCAGATCGCTGGTACTCGAATTGAACCCGTGACTACTGTGATTCTGATTTTTCTGCAACATTTCAATGGGTAGCTGAAGTTTTGCGACCACAACTTGTGGCCTGGAATATTTGCACTCCCTCTGATGTCTGCGTCGTTCCTCCATGTTGATTTGCTTCTTGCACAGGATACAAGTGCATCTGTATTGGGGTTTCTTGTTTCTGGAAGAGCATTTGCTGCAAGTAGGTTGTTTGGATTTTGTAAAAAAACTATATGAAATTTATAAATTTGATTTTTATTGAAATAAAACCAAAAATAGTACAAAAAGTTGACTTTATTTTATAAAATTCAGAACTTGTTTAAACATAATGCAACTATTCCTAACTTATATACAATTTTTTGAGTCTATTTTAACGTGTAACCAATACTGAATAAACAACAAAAACAAATCAAACACTCTCACTCCAGGCTTTTAGTCATCAAAAACGCCATCCCATGTATCCTGAAGTGCTTGTCATGCATTTCCTTGCTCTGGAACTGTTCCAAGCACACCCTGCACTGGTTCTCCTTGACCGCGTTGGCTAAATACGGCGCTTTCACCACTTTGGCCAGCTCCATCACAGCTCCCTTGTCAAAACAGTCGTTTTTCGTGAAGTACTCGTCACAATCGCGCACGTCGTGATAGTGCGTCAAATGTTTCACCAGTGAAGGTTTCACAACGAAACATTCACCACATTCCATGCATTGGTACGCTGTGGATATTGTTCTGTGGCTCTTGACATGATCTTGGAACTTCGTTCTGTCAGTTTCTTGGTGAGCACGCAATGCAGGTATACGTCCCGTCAAAAATAATGGGTTCGTCAGCTGTCAGATCGTTTTCTACTTCAGGCTTCCTGGGTCTGGTCACTTTTTGACGTTTCCTAGACTTTCCATCGTCACTCGAGTCCCTTCTGGTCTTGTAAGAACCATCAGTAGACCCATCCAGATCGCTGGTACTGAAATTGAACCCGTGACTACTATGATTCTGATTTTTCTGCAATATTTCAACGGGTAGCTGAAGTTTTTCGACCACAACTTGCGGCCTGGCATATTTGCACTCCTTCTGATGTCTGCGTCGTTCCTCCATGTTGATTTGCTTCTTGCACAGGATGCAGGTGCATCTGTATTGGGGTTTCTTGTTTCTGGAAGAGCATTTGCTGCAAGTAGGTTGTTTGGATTTTGTAAAAAACTATATGAAATTATAAATTTGATTTTTATTGAAATAAAACCAAAAATAGTACAAAAAGTTGACTTTATTTTATAAAACTCAGAACTTGTTTAAACATAATGCAACTATTCCTAACTTATATACAATTTTTAGTCTATTTTAACGTAACCAATACTGAATAAACAACAAAAACAAATCAAACACTCTCACTCCAGGCTTTTAGTCATCAAAAACGCCATCCCATGTATCCTGAAGTGCTTGTCATGCATTTCCTTGCTCTGGAACTGTTCCAAGCACACCCTGCACTGGTTCTCCTTGACCGCGTTGGCCAAATACGGCGCCTTCACCACTTTGGCCAGCTCCATCACAGCTCCCTTGTCAAAACAGTCGTTTTTCGTGAAGTACTCGTCACAATCGCGCACGTCGTGATAGTGCGTCAAATGTTTCACCAGTGAAGGTTTCACAACGAAACATTCACCACATTCCATGCATTGGTACGCTGTGGATATTGTTCTGTGGCTCTTGACATGATCTTGGAACTTCGTTCTGTCAGTTTCTTGGTGTGAGCACGCAATGCAGGTATACGTCCCGTCAAAAATAATGGGTTCGTCAGCTGTCAGATCGTTTTCTACTTCAGGCTTCCTGGGTCTGGTCACTTTTTGACGTTTCCTAGACTTTCCATCGTCACTCGAGTCCCTTCTGGTCTTGTAAGAACCATCAGTAGACCCATCCAGATCGCTGGTACTGAATTGAACCCGTGACTACTATGATTCTGATTTTTCTGCAATATTTCAACGGGTAGCTGAAGTTTTTCGACCACAACTTGCGGCTTGGCATATTTGCACTCCTTCTGATGTCTGCGTCGTTCCTCCATGTTAATTTGCTTCTTGCACAGGATACAAGTGCATCTGTATTGGGGTTTCTTGTTTCTGGAAGAGCATTTGCTGCAAGTAGGTTGTTTGGATTTTGTAAAAACTATATGAAATTTATAAATTTGATTTTTATTGAAATAAAACCAAAATAGTACAAAAAAGTTGACTTTATTTTATAAAACTCAGAACTTGTTTAAACATAATGCAACTATTCCTAACTTATATACAATTTTTAGTCTATTTTAACGTAACCAATACTGAATAAACAACAAAACAAATCAAACACTCTCACTCCAGGCTTTTAGTCATCAAAAACGCCATCCCATGTATCCTGAAGTGCTTGTCATGCATTTCCTTGCTCTGGAACTGTTCCAAGCACACCCTGCACTGGTTCTCCTTGACCGCGTTGGCTAAATACGGCGCCTTCACCACTTTGGCCAGCTCCATCACAGCTCCCTTGTCAAAACAGTCGTTTTTCGTGAAGTACTCGTCACAGTCGCGCACGTCGTGATAGTGCGTCAAATGTTTCACCAGTGAAGGTTTCACAACGAAACATTCACCGCATTCCATGCATTGGTACGCTGTGGATATTGTTCTGTGGCTCTTGACATGATCTTGGAACTTCGTTCTGTCAGTTTCTTGGTGTGAGCACGCAATGCAGGTATACGTCCCGTCAAAAATAATGGGTTCGTCAGCTGTCAGATCGTTTTCTACTTCAGGCTTCCTGGGTCTGGTCACTTTTTGACGTTTCCTAGACTTTCCATCGTCACTCGAGTCCCTTCTGGTCTTGTAAGAACCATCAGTAGACCCATCCAGATCGCTGGTACTCGAATTGAACCCGTGACTACTATGATTCTGATTTTTCTGCAATATTTCAACGGGTAGCTGAAGTTTTTCGACCACAACTTGCGGCTTGGCATATTTGCACTCCTTCTGATGTCTGCGTCGTTCCTCCATGTTAATTTGCTTCTTGCACAGGATACAAGTGCATCTGTATTGGGGTTTCTTGTTTCTGGAAGAGCATTTGCTGCAAGTAGGTTGTTTGGATTTTGTAAAAAAACTATATGAAATTTATAAATTTGATTTTTATTGAAATAAAACCAAAAATAGTACAAAAAGTTGACTTTATTTTATAAAACTCAGAACTTGTTTAAACATAATGCAACTATTCCTAACTTATATACAATTTTTAGTCTATTTTAACGTAACCAATACTGAATAAACAACAAAAACAAATCAAACACTCTCACCCAGGCTTTTAGTCATCAAAAACGCCATCCCATGTATCCTGAAGTGCTTGTCATGCATTTCCTTGCTCTGGAACTGTTCCAAGCACACCCTGCACTGGTTCTCCTTGACCGCGTTGGCCAAATACGGCGCCTTCACCACTTTGGCCAGCTCCATCACAGCTCCCTTGTCAAAACAGTCGTTTTTTGTGAAGTACTCATCACAATCGCGCACGTCGTGATAGTGCGTCAGATGTTTCACTAGCGAAGGCTTCACTACGAAACATTCACCGCATTCCATGCATTGGTACGCTGTGGATATTGTTCTGTGGCTCTTGACATGTTCTTGGAACTTCGTTCTGTCAGTTTCTTGGTGTGAGCACGCAATGCAGGTATACGTCCCGTCAAAAATAATGGGTTCGTCAGCTGTCAGATCGTTTTCTACTTCAGGCTTCCTGGGTCTGGTCACTTTTTGACGTTTCCTAGACTTTCCATCGTCACTCGAGTCCCTTCTGGTCTTGTAAGAACCATCAGTAGACCCATCCAGATCGCTGGTACTCGAATTGAACCCGTGACTACTATGATTCTGATTTTTCTGCAATATTTCAACGGGTAGCTGAAGTTTTTCGACCACAACTTGCGGCTTGGCATATTTGCACTCCTTCTGATGTCTGCGTCGTTCCTCCATGTTAATTTGCTTCTTGCACAGGATACAAGTGCATCTGTATTGGGGTTTCTTGTTTCTGGAAGAGCATTTGCTGCAAGTAGGTTGTTTGGATTTTGTAAAAAAACTATATGAAATTTATAAATTTGATTTTTATTGAAATAAAACCAAAAATAGTACAAAAAGTTGACTTTATTTTATAAAACTCAGAACTTGTTTAAACATAATGCAACTATTCCTAACTTATATACAATTTTTAGTCTATTTTAACGTAACCAATACTGAATAAACAACAAAAACAAATCAAACACTCTCACTCCAGGCTTTTAGTCATCAAAAACGCCATCCCATGTATCCTGAAGTGCTTGTCATGCATTTCCTTGCTCTGGAACTGTTCCAAGCACACCCTGCACTGGTTCTCCTTGACCGCGTTGGCCAAATACGGCGCCTTCACCACTTTGGCCAGCTCCATCACAGCTCCCTTGTCAAAACAGTCGTTTTCGTGAAGTACTCATCACAATCGCGCACGTCGTGATAGTGCGTCAGATGTTTCACTAGTGAAGGCTTCACAACAGAAACATTCACCGCATTCCATGCATTGGTACGCTGTGGATATTGTTCTGTGGCTCTTGACATGTTCTTGGAACTTCGTTCTGTCAGTTTCTTGGTGTGAGCACGCGAAATGCAGGTATACGTCCCGTCAAAAATAATGGGTTCGTCAGCTGTCAGATCGTTTTCTACTTCAGGCTTCCTGGGTCTGGTCACTTTTTGACGTTTCCTAGACTTTCCATCGTCACTCGAGTCCCTTCTGGTCTTGTAGGAACCATCAGTAGACCCATCCAGATCGCTGGTACTCGAATTGAACCCGTGACTACTATGATTCTGATTTTTCTGCAATATTTCAACGGGTAGCTGAAGTTTTTCGACCACAACTTGCGGCTTGGCGTATTTGCACTCCTTCTGATGTCTGCGTCGTTCCTCCATGTTGATTTGCTTCTTGCACAGGATGCAGGTGCATCTGTACTCGGGTTTCTTGCTTCTGGGACAGCACTTGCCGCAAGCCGGGTTGTTTTGGCCCTTGAGGACGATCATGCGACATCTGCAGTAGGTGCATTCGCCAGAGATGTACTTGGAGGTCATGAAAGGACGGTTCGGATTGGCTGGTTCTTTGCTTTTCGAAGTGCTTTTCTTACTGCTTCCGTACTTTAAAAATTTGCAGTTTTGGATGTGGGTTGACATGGTGGCTATAGATCTGTAACAAAAAAAAAACATTACAGTGCAATGAAATCTCCCTTAAATTTTTTTTTTCAAACGTCACAAAAGTGTTAATTTTTGGGACGTGATTGACAATATAAAAACGTCATTTTAACGCCTAGGCATAAAAGTAAAGCACTTTACGCCTAAGCATAAAAGTATGAAAATATATAATTAAACTGACATAAAGTGTCAAATTCAACGAGCGTAACCATATAGTTTCTCGATATATAATTACATACAAGGTATGACTTTTAAATCTTTTTATATTATTTAGAACGTTTGAAATTGTTTAAAAAATTATTTGTGGCGTTTGAAAAAAAGGGACATGTTCTATTCGGAGTAAAAATAACTTTTTTGTGCTTCGTCACAAAAAGTGTCATTTTTACTCCTAATAAAAAAATATACTATTTTAATATAGGAGCTATAGAAGCACGAAGCACTGTTCTAGGACCCTGTATATCCGAGAGTGTGGTTTCAAGCATTTCTGCATGCACTATAGCTTTTAAAATTAATTGTTTCAGGTTGATCAATCATTGTAATGCCTGAATTTCAATCATTTGTGTATAAACTATATCAGTCTCAGAATTTTTATTTTCTGTCATTTTCTGTCAAAATCTTCCCTGGCTCACTGGACTTTTATTAATGGTCAAATTACTTTGAATAAGAAGACTAAGGAAGGAGCATATCAAAAATCTTAGGTTATACCGCGATAGGCCTCAAATATGGCCGACTTAAATTCCGGTTTATCAGTGTCGTTCTAATTTTATTTAAAAAATGTAAAACTATGATGTAGGGTAGATGTGGGGTAGACTCAATAATTTGTTGTTTTATTTTACGTTGTGAATAAATGTTGGTAGTTATTAAAATTGTTATAAAAATATATAATTCTAATAAAAATAGATAAGTTATAATAAGTATTTATTAACACAAACATCCGATACGCTACTGAAGCAGGTAAGTCAAATTAACGTATCTAAATTCTGTGACATCTAATCTTTGACAAGTAATAAATAAAAGGTAAAATGCAAGAAAAATATATAATTTAGTTAATTTAAGTGAATTTCATAAATGATCGGTTTACTACACGTATGTATATTATATAGTCACTTACTAGCGAAAAGTTGTTCCATTATTTCACTCAATTTTTGCCGAGATCTACCGCACGCTACACAACCAACTATTTTAGAGTCTTTTTCGATAAATCGCGATAGTGTCACTGTTAATTTAAGTTCTGTCACAATTTCCACCTAGATTTACTACCTTTATACAACTATCAGTAGTAGAATAAATAATAAATAACATAAAATAAGTTCCGTAAAGACTGACAAATCCACAAAATTTCAAATCAAATTCAAATGTGTCAAATGAATCGTCAAACAGAACTGTCAAGGATCCCCACCCTAGAGTGCTTTTATCCCCACCCTAGAGTGCTTTTTCCGCCCACCATGCATGAATACATGGATAGCATTATGCTCCTTCCTTAGTCTTCTTATTCAAAGGGATTGTGAAACATCAATCATTGTATTGCCTGAATTTCAATCATTTTTGTGTGTACTATATCAGTCTCAGAATTTTTATTTTCATGGTATTTTCTGTCATTTTCTGGATGTCGTCTGTCTAAATCATCCTTGACTCATTGAACTCGTATTAATGATCAAATTATGTATTTTTATACAGAGTGCACCAAAAAAGTTGACAACAAACCGTATACGGCTCTTATCGAGTTATTAAAAAAAGTTTACAGCATACCCAATAAGAAAAAAAAAACATTCTGACATCTGTCATATGTCAATTGTCATGGCAGCAAATTACACAAATCCTCTTTGAATATGAATATGCCAAAAGTGAGGTTAGGTGACAATATATCGAAAAAAGGTAAAGATATACGGGGATTTTCAAAAAATATTTTTTTATATATTTTTTTTAAATATATACAGTACGTACCTAAAGTATCCTCTGCATGCTTTGCACATGTATATATACAGACGTCTTGTGGGGTCCATTCTATGAAACTCAATGTGTTCCTCCTTCTCTGTCAACGTCATTTCGTCAGTGAGACAAGACTAGAAAGAAAGGTTTTATAAAATCTATCAGTAAAAATAAAGATATACAGGGAGTTTAAAAAAACATGTCCCTTCTCTCTTAAAAACTTTAACCCCTGTAGCTACAAAACAAAGCAAAATCGGACCTATATTAATATTAAAAATAAAAATTTATTTTTACGTGAGAGATAGCACGTGTTTTTTGAAACTCCTTGTACAGGGTGGACCATTTAAAAACTTCTATTTAATTCTTACCGGACAATTGTAATATTTGACGATCTTCGTTTTGTCCTCGTGAGTGAGACAGTGTTTTTGACAGTCGTCCACTTCGGGGAACATATCTTTACAGGTGTAACACTGGTATGAGGTTACAATGTGCGAGGCACGAAAATGAGGCTCGAACGTGTGCTCGGTGGCGAAGATTTTACCGCAACGCCTTCCAGGACACCTAAAAATAACGTATATACAAAGTGTGCCAAAAAAATCGCAAAAGAAGGGACTTTTTTTTATTGAATTATTTTTTTTTTGCTAGTACTGCGCATATATCGGGTGGGTTTCAAAAGTGGCCCTATAACTTTTTTATTTTTTCAGTTAAAAAAACGAAATTCGGTATGTTATATATGACATAAATTAGGATTGATTGACGTATTCAATTGTTTTCGGTCACTTCCTGTTTCACCGGAAATGACTACAACTTTTTATTTTTAAATGACACGCTCGGTATTTTTTTACTTTATTCGATACAAAATGACACTCTGAATAGACTGACATATCATATGTCAACTTTTGACATTTTCTCATATGGTTTATTTGAAATTGTAACGTGCGGTTCATGACGATGATTTGACTCGGAATATAGTCTATAAAATGAATAACTTTTTAATTTTGACCGTTATTTTTCACCAACATGGCAAATATAAAATCCCTCTGTCAAAAATTACTGATATTCTTTAAATTGAGTGCCTGAACGAATCAGATCGGTAAATCTTTTTACTTTCGTGAAATAGAAAAGGAAAACAATAAAACAAGTGACAGTTCTTCCTCTTCTGGCAAAAATTAACACTAAATGCCATAATTGTCAAAAGTAAAATGTCATCAGCTTTTGACATTTCTAAATATCAGACCAATGCCGTCTCTAATAGAATAGCCTCGGAGCAAGATTTATGACGTCAGGCTAGTTAGATACTATATAATGACAGCAATCTTTATTTCATAGCTATCGCTGACGCCTTTTTTTCGATGATATTGTGGTATTATTTTGCAAAATATACACATAAATTTTGTGAATGCAAATAATAATACATCACTATCAGTAGATATTGAATGTTTTTTGTTAAATTAGATCGATTAGACAAACCCCAAAATTTAAAATATATTTTACATTTAAAATTAACCCATTATCTTATGTACCTATTCATTATTTGTATATTGTAAAACATTTTCTGCATTTGTATGGTTCATAGTTGATTTGCCAAAGTATTTATTACTATAAATAGGTATATATGTATATTGTATTTATTAACTGTATATTATGAATATTTCATTTAAACTATATCATTTTTAAAATACAAACCAAAAATACGAGGAATAATTATGTTTTCCATGTATTCTACAACATATTTATTAATCCGTAGTATCTAACTAGCGTGACGTCATAAATCTCGCTCCGAGGCTGTTCTATTAGAGACGGCATTGCGTCAGCATGGCCGCAAGTTGCTAACCTAATAAAATTAACACTAGAAAAACCCGCGGGAACTGTCAAATTCAAAGTTATTCGTTTCACAGACTATACCAAGTGTGTGGTCAAGGATACTATAGAGATAAGGATAGTTCGATTCCTATCTTCCTGCACTGTCAGCTTTTTTACGTCATCTACTGACCGAATTGAAGTTGGCGCTAAAGATTTTAGACAGTGATAGTTATTTTTGCATTTGACGGACGAGCGCACAGTGCGTTGGAAGATAAATTTAGCGGGACAAAAGCGTTTGGTTAGAAATAAGCCAAAAAATGTGTACTGATAAGAATAAATAGTAGACATTCCAATTGATACAAAAATGCATGAATATTCTTTGTATTTCGATACATTTTTATCAACCAAATTTGGTCGTTTTCTGCTCAGCAAGGCAGAGATCATACGAAAACAAAATATTTACAAGTGCTTATACATTTTATTAGAAAGCCATTTTATGTTGAAGATTGCCAAAGGTATGTACTTTTCTACTGTACGTATATTATTTGTTAAAATCCTTCGTGCCTTTGTTCTGCAGGTATCAAACTTTCACTTTTTTTCAAATATCGATATATTGAATGATGTAGATCTTTTGAGTTACCAATAGTTACCAACACAGGTAGTCACAGTCACAGGGAGTTCAAGCTTAACAGGTGAATGTCCAAAAAGATTCATTTCAATCGGATAGTATAAAAACAAAACAACTCCATCAAAAGGCACTGAGTTTAAAAAATTGTTTCAGATACTTACTATATATGAATTTACAATTACCGAGTGTTTATAATATTAAAATTAAAATATCTATCTTATTTATTATTTTCAAAATAAAATATATTTTTTTAAAATAAATTATAGAGGGTGTCACAAGATTACAAATTAATTAAGAAAAAACTGCTTAAGAGTTTTTTGATATGATAATTTTATGTATTTGGCAATAGTTTACAATACGGTTTTTGTGTGTCATGTACGAATAATATCATAGTTTTATTATCTTGTATTTATTTATTAATAAATTAAGTTGTTAATAAATAAATAAATTTAACCATATAGTTGCTATATATTAGACCATTTGCTACGTTCTTAGATTTTAAGTCCCAAACATTGCTCTTGAGATTTTGTCTCGCTAGAATAACCATCCGCCGCACTGTGGAGCGCTGGTCAGCGCGTGACGGAGCATTCCACGGCGACTACGACAGCGGCGATTTGACGCGATCGAACAGTCCTTTACAATATATACAGTCCTTGATGTGTGGTATCAAATTATTCGTAAAAAAATGCTTTTTCCAAATATGCTAATGAGCCACCCTCGTTCCATTTAAAAAAATTGAGATATGATTAAAAATACGATTAGGGCATCTTTTATCTGGCCAGGACAAGACACGAAAACATTAGACGATCAAATCTATTTTTCCAAGGCTCTTTAATTAAAAATTAATGTTTTTAACAAGTCCATGGCACTCTAGATTGAAATTTAAAAAAATTATATCGAAAATGTCAAAAGTTGACATATTATGATATGACATTCTATTCAGAATGTCATTTTCTATAGAATAAAAGTTGTAGTCATTTCCGGTGAAACAGGAAGTGACCGAAAACAATTGAATACGTCAATCAATCCTAATTTATGTCATATACCTACTAACATACCAAGTCTCGATTTTTTATCTCAAAAAATAAAAAAGTTATTAGTTAGTTAGAGGCCACTTTTAAGAAACACCCGGTATAGACATAATTACTTACTTTAGTCTTACTGATTTGTACAGATGAAAACAAATTTCTTGCATATGGTCAGACAATTCCTCAAAAGTCAAAAACTCTATGCCACAATCGGGGCATACAAATGGTGGAAGTTGCTTGTGTACCCTCTTATGTGCCTTGAAAAAAAAGTAATAAAAAAAAATAAAAAATAAAAAAATAATAACTTACCTTCAGAGAGCACATTGTAGGACAAATCAGCGAGCACACATTCTTCGCGGTACTGCATTGCAAAGTGGAATCTACCGGCCTGTTATCCCCCAAAAAATGCAGTTTTATATCCCCGGATATTTCTTTCAAACACTCGGTACATTTGAATTTGGGCATCTCGGGAGGACTCTCGACCACGTAGACCTTTTCAGGGTTGACAAATTCCTCGACGGTCTCGATTTTCGTGATGATGGGCAGCGTTAAATTCTCGAAATCGTTGTTATTCTCGACTACGCCATTCAAGAGAGTGTCTGGAGAGGCTAGAGGGTCCTCGGATGTTTGTTGAGGCTCGATTGTACCATTTACAAGCTGCTGACAAAAGAACTAAATAAGTTTATTTCTTAGTTAATGAATATAAGCTTATATACAGGGTGGTCTGCAGCATATTCTGCAGATAAAAATAAGTAAAAAAGTTCGTATAAATGTATGTCCAAAATTGCTTAGTTTCGGAGATACAGGGTGTAGAAGTTTCGTTTTTATTTCGGTTTTTTCCAAATAAGTTATGAACCTTCATTATTTGGATGAAAACTGGTATCTGGGAGTTTTTTGACATGGGAAATTCGATTTTGATGTCAATATGACTCCTATTTGTAGAGGGCGCTACCTAAATATTTTTTAACTTGTTTGAAGACTAATAACTTTTCATTCGTACCTGTATAAAACTACTGAGTTAAAAAATATACATTTACGACGTAGCTATTTTTATCAAGAGACCTTTTTTACGTAAAAAACGTCGTAAATGTATTTTTTTTACTCAGTAGTTTTATACAGGTACGTACGAAAAGTTATAAGTCTTCAAACCAGTTAAAAATATGTAGGTGGCGCCCTCTACAAGTAGGAGTCATTTTCTCATGTTAAAAACCTCCCAGATACCAATTTTCATCTCAATATTGACGTTACTTCAGAAATTTTTTGAAAAAAATCGAAATAAAAATGAAACTTCTACACCCTGTATCTCCGAAACTAATCATTTTAGTACATACATTTATACGAGCTTTTTTATTTATTTTTATCTGCAGAATATGCTGCCGAAATTTCCGGAATACAGTTCGGACCACCCTGTATATCAAAATTCCCAGTAAATTTATACGAATAATTAAATTGAATTTCAATTATTTAATGTATATTCAATTTTTGTAACTTCAAAATTAAAGACTTTAATTAAAAAAAAACTCTTACACCTGTATCAATGCTTTTTTTTCGGAGACCCTGTATAAAACAAAATATTTTTAGAATATTCACCTTTACAAACCATACAAAATTTATATAAAGCTTTTTGTCATATCTTTGTCAACAACGACGATATTGGACTTCCTTGCACTAATAGACAACCCTGTATATTTTTTGTGGATTCAAATTATAAAAATATTTAAAAAAATTATTATACCTCTTCTTGTTGCTGCTCCTCATGTTCAGTCTTAACTTCTACATCGCCTACAGGCTGCTCTACAGTCTGCTCTACCACTGCACTATTATTCTCATTCGGTACTCGTAACTCCCTAAAGGCGCTCAGCGTAATAAACTCACATTTCGGAATATTTCGAGTTATCTGCTTGAGGGTAATCGGCGAATTCTGACCACCCTCCAGCCTGTTTATAACTAAATTACTCGGAATCAAAATAACAATTGCGTTTCCTTTGTCTTCAGACCTTGGACTGTAAAACTGGCAGTTCACATACGAATTATCTAAAAAAACGTTATTTAATCTTTTCTTTATTCCAAACCCTTAATTTTCACCTGTAATGTAGTCTTCTTCCACGTCAAAGAAATAGGGTATGTCAGGATGCTTGGAAAACCCTACCATTGCCATATCTAGAGACATAACCTCCAAATTGTTCAAATTTATCGCTCCCTGAGACAAACTATAGTGCCTTCGGCAGTGTAATAGGAGCGCACATCTGAAATATACGTTTTACAACCTGGTATTCTTAAAAAACCGAAAAATAATACCTATTATAAAAAGTGTGAAGGGTATTAGCACACCCTGGACATTTATATGACAATACAGTAGCCCTCCTGTTGATATGGTCCAAAAACGACTTTCTGGAGTAGAACATATGTCTGCATGAGTAACAGGGGTACACGGACAGTCCTAGGACAGGTTTGAATGCCATCCACTCCACCAAATCCGAGCCGAACAGCGTATCCCATTTTGACAGTAGATTATTTCTTAACTACATAAAACGTCACTTATTACTCTAATGTTTGATATATTAATCATTTTCTAACGTACCCTGTGTATTCCTTCAAATTGATGCCTATCCATAGCCATATTTTCACCAAGTGGGATCATTGAACTGGTTTGTTGCGTATCGACGCACTACACAAACGTGAAATGAAAGAATAGGCGGTATTCGAGTCGCATGGTGACGATCTAGTGAGAAAGGACAGATTTTAGTTGGTTACTTTTCGCGAAAAGTCACTAGACTTTTAATTTGTTGTATACAGCTTATTTATTCCATACATTTGCTAGTATATAACTAACAGAATAAATAATATTGTTCATTTAAAACTCTTATTCGGTTTCTTTCCTAAAAATATATTAAATAAGTATTTAAAATTAATGTAGAACGACTCTAAACCAGTAGGCAACCAGTAATACTTGAGTATATTAACATAACAAGTCAGCTGATGGACTGTCAGGTGACTTGAGCTTCCCAACAGTATATTTTTCAGTGTAGAACTACTCAATTTTTCTTTAAAAATACTAAAAAATGGCTTTACACAGTGCACAAAAAGGAAAACTAATCTCTGTTATCGGAGACGAGGTAAATAAAAGCATATATTTCTAGAACTTCTAACAAATACGTTTAATTTTTTGTAGGATACTTGTGTTGGATTTCTCTTGGGTGGAGTTGGAGAAATCAACAAGAACAGGCACCCCAATTTTATGGTAGTGGACAAAAGTAAGATTTTCTTTAATTCTATAAGATGTACATCTAGGTTTTACTTATTTAGATGCCTCAGTATAATAAAACAATATTTTGTATCTCTAGACACTGCTGTCAGCGAAATTGAAGAAACTTTCAAACGTTTTGTTAAACGAGATGACATAGATATTATTCTGATCAACCAGAACATTGCTGAGATTATTCGTCATGTAGTTGACAGCCACAACAGTCCCATTCCGGCTATTCTAGAGATTCCCTCAAAAGACCATCCATATGACTCTTCGAAAGACTCTATTCTGCGCAGAGCAAAGGTAATAATGCTATTTTTTATGTTTGAATTGAGGAATTTAAATTGTCTGTTTGAATTTTAGGGTATGTTCAATCCAGAAGATATTCTTTAAAAGGATTTCAGACAGACAAAATTGTCATAAGTATTATTACTGTTATTTTAGTAAAAAATCAATATATTATGTTGTATATAGCTTACATTCCCTGTTCTATCATTTTATTTCTAAATAAACTTGTGTAACAAATTCGCTAAGAATGTTTTTTTTTCATAAATCCTTTGAATAACATGAAATTTAATGTGATTTTATTATTTTAAAATTTTTAATTACTGTGTATTATGAGTTGCATAATCTTAATTGTCAAAATATTTATTATAACCTCAATTTTTTCACGTGTGTTAGCGGTGTTTATAAATTATTCTTTTATAAAAATAATGGTTTACAATCAAATTCCAAGTCTAATTAACATTACAAATTAAAATGTTTATTACTTGTTAACTTATATACAAAAATAGACGTATTTTTAAAGCTCTCTATACACCGTTGCCTTCAAAATTAAATATCGAAAAATCTATATTTGTTAGTAAAGTTTTTCAGATTATTTATAAACAATGACGGTAACATCCGACGGGGTACAGAGCCCCACTGAAAGACAACTATTATCAGCACCAGAAACCCCAGCAGTTGAACATGCTCCAGAAAAAATAAAAATGAAACGACATATGGGCCTTCTCGAAGGTATTGCAGTGATTCTAGGCATAATATTCGGATCAGGTACGTACTATTATCGTTATATTAACTAACTTATTATAATTTAAGTATTTTAAGGCATTTTTATATCACCTAAAGGTGTAATCGAACAGGTGGACTCTGTAGGCTTTACATTAGTTGTTTGGGTGCTTTGTGGCTTGTTGTCAATGATTGGGGCCTTATGTTACGCCGAGTTAGGTACCTGTATTCCTAAATCAGGAGGAGATTACGCTTATATTCATGAAGCATTCGGACCAACGCTGTCCTTTTTGTACCTGTGGGCAGCTAATATTGTTTTTGTGTAAGTACAGAGTCAAGCTTTGAGTTTTTAGGATTAAAAATAGTGTTTTTTTTTGTTATTACAGCCCTACAACTAACTCAATTATGGGTCTAACTTTTGCCAAATATGTAATTCAACCGCTATTTCCTGAATGTGATATGCCTGATCTTGGTGTAAGACTGGTTGCAGCATCTGTAATATGTAGGAAACTTTAAATTTCATTATTAACCCGAATTAAATGTAATTTTTTCAGGTTTTTTGTCATTTTTAAATTGCTATAACGTAAAAGCGACTGTGCGGTTGCAGAATGTGTTCATGTTTTGTAAATTGCTAGCTCTGGGTGTTATTGTGGCCATAGGAATAGTTTGGATGTCGCTGGGTCATGTCGAAAACTTTAATAACGCTTTTGCGCATAGTTCACACAACCCTGGAAAGATTTCCAAAGCTTTTTATAGCGGAATCTTTTCATATTCTGGATGGTAATGTAAACAATGTTATATACGTACAAAAACTTACTAGAAATATAAATTTTTAGGAGCTATTTGAATTTTATGACTGAAGAATTACAAAATCCCTTTGTGTAAGCTTCAAAAATGTCTATTATATCTAGTTATTTTTATTTTATTCTTATTTTTTAGCAATCTACCTCGGGCAATCTATATTTCACTACCTCTAGTCACTTGTATCTATGTCCTGGCAAACATGGCGTATTTTTCAGTGCTTTCACCTCAAGAAATGCTGGCTACAGATGCAATAGCTGTGGTAATTACCTTAAATTTGAATAATTACCCAAAAAATATAGTTTTTCTCGCATAACACTTCCCTATTGTACCATTTGACATTTTTTATGGCAAAACTGTGGCATAAACAAAAAATCCCTAGATCCCCAGTCTTGTTACGTCAAATTGGGAAAAATTACGCGGGAAGAACTATAGATTCACGATTTTTGTATAAAAATGCGAATTTTTAGACTTTCAGTAACTCAGTTTTGGGTAAATATAGTTGGATCTTGCCCATTATGGTGGCCATTTCAGCGTTTGGTGGACTGAGCATCCACATAATGTCTTCCTCAAGAATGTTATACGTTGGAGCTAGAAATGGCCAATTCCCTGCAATGTTGTCACATTTAAACATGAAAAAACTGACACCCATGTCAAGCATTCTTTTCCTCGTAAGGAAATACGATATTTCAGAGAAATAAGTGAACTTAGAGGGTTATTTTTTATGGTGCCTCTATATTTATTTATTTTTCTGGGACGAATAAAAAAATATATTTTTTTCTCTCTTTTAGAACGTGCTCTCTCTGATAATGCTATGCTCTAGTGATATACAACTTTTAATTCACTATTGCACGATAGTTGAGACTTTTTTTGTGACATTATCTGTATCAGGCTTATTATACTTAAGGTAGTTATTTTTTTTCGTGAAAATATTATTGAACCGTCCCCGTATTTTATACAGGGACTGCTCAAATAATTTTATATTATTTTTAGATGGAAGCAACCAAAATTGGAGCGTCCAATCAAGGTTCATGTTTCAATTCCCATAATATTTGTTCTGATATGTCTGTTTCTTTTGATCCTCCCTGTAACTGAGTCTCCTCTAATTCTGTTGGGTGGGGTTTTGATAACGTTGAGTGGAGTCCCTGTATATTATTTTGGGACGTTGCAAGATAAGCCGGAGAAATTTAAAAAAATTATGAGTAAGTTTTTTTTATATTAGATAAAAGTAGTTGTCATATTTTTTTTTCAAAATTTTTAGGAAGCCTGACAATTTTTTGTCAAAAATTATTCATAGCGGCTCATGAGGATGATTAATTCCTGTTTTTACCATCAAAAAATCTGTGTTCATTATTTGTTAGAATATTTTTAAGAAAAAAATCCTTTTTACTAACTTATTTCATGTACAAACTTCTATATCTTCTTTATAATTTTGCTCATTATTTATATTAAGTATTTATTAATATACAAAACTTTTTAATGAATCTCTTAAAAATTAATTGATATTAAACAATAAGAATTAATTTTAATTCTTTCATGTTACCAAACGAAATTATTTACTTGTGATTTATTTTTTGCTCAGTATTTTTTTAGTGTTGTACTTAATTTTACTTGAATATGTCGTCATTATTATATTGGTTTGCTGTGGATTATACAAATGAATTTAAAATTTTATGAGTTTTATTTGTTTCTGAGAGAAAAATCAAAGAAAGGAATTCAAATAATTTAAACAAAATCCATTTCCGATTGTTTTTAACATCATTCGCTTAGTCTAAGTCTCAATGCATCATAAATTATCCTTTCTAAATAAATATCTTCTTTTATCCAATATAGACTACTGATAAAATTTGAAACATGATTTGAAGGATTAATGATAACAATACAGGGACTTAAGAAAAAAAACTATATAAATTTAATGCAGGAAACAAGATTAACATAATCTGTTCAAAGTTTCTGCAGTACTATACATTATTTTACTGTTGAATGTTGGTGCATTTTGTAAAATAAGTATTGTATTATCGGTTCTTGGTTTTTGAAGCCTCTAAAAACAGGTAAAACGAGTAAAACATAATATTTTATAATTAATTGATAGTTGTAAAGTAAAATTATTAAGTATACATTAGTGGTAACAGTACAGCTTTATTTAGTATTTTATTAGCCTTTTTTATAAATTATAATATCTAAGTTTACTATAATGATTTTAACTACCGTATGATCGAAAAAAACGGCGTCAGCAATGGATATGAAATGAAGATCGCTGTCATTTTATAGGTAAATTTATATGGGAAATGTCATCGATCGTCATTTCCTAGCCAACTGGACGCCGTTTTTTTTTAAACGGTTTTATTTAGCTCGACCCGTACGGTATTTATTTATTTGTTTGTTTATTTGAGTCAAAATTAGAAATTGAAATTTAAGTACCTTCCTGTTGTCAGATTGATCTGAAATTTGGTACACACCTTTAGTTCCGATGACAATACAATATAGTAATATCGATAACATTGTAAATCTAAGATGGCCGCCGGTACAAAATGGCGGATTTCATATTTTTCCACAACCCCCCCAATATGGGTATCAAATGAAAGGGCTACACTAGTAGAATACTGTGATTATGACAAAATTTAAAATCCAAGATGGACGTCGTTACAAAATGGCGTATTAGGTGAGGGCATGAGTAGTCGTGTCCAGAACAGTTGTGTCCAAGATTGTGTGACGTTAGAAGGACAAATAAAAAAAAATAGGTGTGATTAGATGTACCTACGTAGTTAGCGGTAGCCTTACCACCAAAGTTAAGGTAGTAGGTTAAAACGTGCTGAGGACTGTATGGCATTAGGGTGGCTAAAAATGTAATGTCGCAAGCGTTTTCCCCTCAAGATTGGGCGCCTCTTATTGTATATTATAGCGTAGCCCCTCTACTGAACCTCTGGGGGGGTCGACCGTTAAAATGTCCATTACTCGTGGGAACAACATGGAAACAATAAATAAAAAAACAAACAAAAATAAAAACGAAACTGCTACACAACGGAAAAGAAGGCTCGAAAAGGCGAAAGAAAAATATAGAACGAAACGTGCGAAAGAAAGTGAAAATGAAACCTATAGTCGACTACAGAAACAAAGAGAACGGTTAGTAACAGAAACACCTGAGCAACATGATGCCAGGTTAATAGCACAACGTGAGAGACAAAGGCAGCTGGTAGAGTCAGAAACACCTGAGCGTCATGAGTCCAGGCTAGCATCACAACGTGACAGACAGAGAGAGTTGTTAGCGTCAGAAACACCTGAGCGTCATGAGTTTAGGCTGGCATCACAACGAGAGAGACAAAGAGAGTTGTTAGCGTCAGAAACACCTGAGCGTCATGAGTCTAGGCTACCATCAGAACGCGACAGACAGAGAGAGTTGTTAGCGTCAGAAACACCTGAGCGTCAGATTGTAATAAATTATCAGGTAAAAAACCATGTAATAATGATGCACTAAATGAATTAAATAGAATGAGGAATATTCGGTAGGCATTTCCGTTAAATACTAAAAACTAGAAAATAAAAAATCGGTAAAAAAACTTAACGTTAAACGGTTTTATCTTATGTGCACTGAAAACTAGAAAATAATAATAACAATTAGGTATTTTGAACTTCTAGTTCAGAAATATTTTAGTACTAGGCAGAATAGCTTTTAGGCATATTAGACTTAAATAAAAACGTGGGGACCCTCTGAAATCCTACCTATGGCAAAGCATATCTTTATACTTTGGTAGATCATGAGATCGGCGTTCGCTGGTGAAGCCGCCACGGCTGGTTATTGATTGTCAAAATCTCCAGTTCGATTATAGTAAGTCGATGCAATCCACACTTAGTATAGAAGAAAGTATTACAGCAATAGTTAATGGGCCCACGTTTTTATTTTAGTCTAATATGCCTAAAAGCTATTCTGCCTAGTACTAAAATATTTCTGAACTAGAAGTTCAAAATACCTAATTGTTATTATTATTTTCTAGTTTTCAGTGCACATAAGATAAAACCGTTTAACTTAAAAGTTTTTTTACCGATTTTTTATTTTATCATACGGTCAAATAATTATAAATTTCGGCTGTTTCAAGCAGCCAGTAAAACTTTCAACAGTTCAAATTTTTCTTTTTTCAAAATTCCTGAGTTTTTTTTGAAACTTGCTGAGTTCGGCAGGGGAACGTTTTGTAACTTTTTACAAAGAATATTATAGTTTTAATATTCTTAACTTTTTGCAATAATAAAATTACTGAAATTAAATGATGTAATGCAAGGTGAGCGCTTGGACACTTGGTACTATGCTTATTCAATCCGATATATCCAACTCAAATCATTTAATTTATAATAAATATTTTTGATAAATCCTAATAATCCACAATGCAGTTATTAATACCTACATTATTATACACTAGACAAAGTTTGAGATATCAGACATAATCAATCAAATCTAAGATTTATTATAGATCAGACATACATAAGGTAGAGCTTAAAAAAGTCTTACATTTTTTTGAATTAAACCTAAAGGTTTTATAAATAATCTGTGAATTTTAATATCAAATAAATTCAAAAAGATTCCTCACAAAAGTTATATAAATTACGTCTACTGGATCTGTGTCTATGAAAGGAATTTCATTAATGCAGAAAAAATATTGTAGTATGATCAATTTACTGCAAGACGCATTTAAAAAAACAGCAATATATTTTATAGATCGCTACCTATACAGGGTTGTTCACCACATACGACACGGAGTATTGTAGCTAAACGATTATATTTTTACAAATTTCAAGTTTTGGGTTCGATGAAGGACTATTAGAGGTACAATTTAAAAATAATTTACAAGATACAGAGTGTCCCAAATAAGTAAAAAATATCAAAGTTGTATTTTTTAAATGGAACACCCTGTATATTATTACATTTTTAGTTTCTACGATTAAAATAAAGGTAAATTTGATTAAGGTTTATTATACTTAAACTTTACCGTTTTTGAAATATTTTCAATTTTGTGAAATTGCAGTAAAAATTTTAAGGCGTCATTTCTCCAAGGGTATCAAAGTTTTTAATACTAAATATTTACTGAAGTTTATTTATTGGTACGAAACCTTTCGTGCGCGAGTCCGACTCGCACTTGTCCAATTTTTGATTTTTATAAAGATTATGTTGCATTTAAAAAATAGAGAACTGACTTGGTATTTTTGAAATTTTTGTATAAGTAAGTACCTAATGTGATTTAAAATATTTCTAGCACGCCCATGAATTGCTAGTAATATAATCCACGTATTGTATCTCTTTAATTAAGTCATTTTTTTATTATTTTCAGGAAAATATGAGATTTTATCTGATTGCCCTATTCTTTATTGGGATATTTTTCCAAACAATCTCTCCAGAAAGACTACCATCTTTAGAAATCTCCACCTATAAACTACATCTCACCCTAAATGAAAGCACATTCTACACAGAACCCTACCAATTTAAGGGTTATTTACAAACAAAACTCACTGTGAGTAGCGCGTACGGCACTGACTTGCAACTGCACGCTGATCCTGACTTTATCACCATCGAAAAAATCTTCTTGGACGACACTGAAATGACAGAGTATTTTTTCAATACATCCAGTGATGTTCTAACTATAGAGAATACCAAGAATAAAATCGGCGATATTTATGGAGTCACCCTGTATATTCATTACAGAAGCAGGTTGGTGGTTTAAAATGGGACAAAATATACCAAATTCAGTAATAAATAAAATTATATTAATAATTATAGTTAAATAGCTCGGATATTTTCAACTTATATGTTTATTTTTGTCCCCATCTAACTCATTGAAATACTTGCACTTATTAAAAAACACCCTGTATATGTGAATTTCTTTTTCTGTACAGGGTCGCTGTTATGTATGGAAACGGACGATTATTAGATAAAATATACAAGGTATTGCAAAAAGTTAAATATAAAAATTATGGGTTTCTAACTGTCTATTGGCGAGTAATAAATGTATGTATACAGGATCGATCATAAAGTCGTGGCACATCAAAGTTTCCTTTTTTTTTAATAGAATCCCCTGTATATTATTGCATATTTCAATTCTTCCTTCAATTATATAACATAGGATACAACATTTTAATGAACAGTGCTTTCCAAAAAATCAATAAAATGAAGAATATACGAAATAATATACACGTTCTGATTTCTTTCGAAAATCGACATCTGTGAAACTATGAACCCTTCCTGGTCACAAACGGTACATTGTGAGACAGGAAATTGTAGAGAGAAACAAGCCCTATAACATAGGATACAACATTTTAATGAACAGTGCTTTCAATAAAATCAATAAAATGAAGAATATACGAAATAATATACATCACTTTCATTTAATGATGCCATTCTGGCGAAACTGTGATACTATTCTAATGGGGTTTTAAATGCCTATTAGCTATGTATATTATTGCATATTTCAATTCTTCCTTCAATTTTAAGCAATAATCGTAATACACAATGTGCATAAATTGAAGAATTAAAATGTTAAACGAAAATTTTAGAATTTCCAGACTTGATATAATCTCATTTTATACATCTATAAACGCTAACTTGAGAACTAATGTCAAATATTATTAAGTATCACAGTTTCGGCAGAATGGCATCGTTAAATGAAACTGAACATATCGAAATTAATTAAAACAAATTGTTTAAGTGATATTTTCAAAAGTCAGTGACTGGGAAACGGTTAGTTTGATGCAAGGACTGTATATATTCTAAAGGACTGTTCGATCGCGTCAAATCGCCGCTGTCGTAGTCGCCGTGGAATGCTACGTCACGCGCTGACCAGCGCTCCACAGTGCGGCGGATGGTTATTCTAGCGGGACAAAATCTCAAGAGCAATGTTTGGGACTTAAAATCTAAGAACGTAGCAAATGGTCTAATATATAGCAACTATATGGTTAAATTTATTAATTAACAACTTAATTTATTAATAAATAAATACAAGATAATAAAACTATGATATTATTCGTACATGACACACAAAACCGTATTGTAAACTATTGCCAAATACATAAAATTATGATATCAAAAACTCTTTAGCAGTTTTTTTTTTTTTTTTAATTAATTTGTAATCTTGTGACACCCTCTATAATTTATTTTAAAAATATATTTTATTTTGAAAATAATAAATAAGATAGATATTTTAATTTTAATTTTAACACTCGGTAATTGTAAATTCATATATAGTAAGTATCTAAGACAATTTTTTAAACTCAGTGCCTTTTGATGGAGTTGTTTTGTTTTTATACTATCCGATTGAAATGAATCTTTTGGGCATTCACCTGTTAAGCTTGAACTCCCTGTGACTGGGATTACCTGTGTTGGTAACTATTGGTAGCTCAAAAGATCTACATCATTCAATATATAAATATTTGAAAAAAGTGAAAAGTTTGATATCTGCAGAACAACGGCACGAAGAATTTTAACAAATAAAATACGTACAGTAGAAAAGTACATACCTTTGGCAATCTTCAACATTATTTGGCTTTCTAATAAAATGTATAAACACTTGCTTTGGCACTTGTAAATATTTTGTTTTCGTATGATCTCTGCCTTGCTGAGCAGAAAACGACCAAATTTGGTTGATAAAAATGTATCGAAATACAAAGAATATTCATGCATTTTTGTATCAATTGGAATATCTACTATTTATTCTTATCAGTCCACATTTTTTTGGCTTATTTCTAACCAAACGCTTTTGTCACGCTAAATTTATCTTCCAACGCACTGTGCGCTCGTCCGTCAAATGCAAAAATAACTGTCACTGCAAAATCTTTACGGTCAGTAGATGACGTAAAAAAACTGACAGTGCAGGAAGATAGGAATCGAACTATCCTTATCTCTATATAGTATCCTTGAGTTTGATGTACATTGTGTGTATTTCGATTTTTGCTGGGAATTGAAGGAAGAATTGAAATATGCAGTAATATACAGGGGGTTCCATTTAAAAAAATGAAACTTTTTTGTGCCACGACTTTATGACCGATCCTGTATACTTAAATTTATTACTCGCTAATAGATATTGAAAAATCCTATAACTTTTGTATTTAACTTTTTGCGGTACCTCCTATATTTTACCTAATAATCGACCGTTGGTTTAGCTCCATACATAACAGCAACCCTGATAATCAAATTTTTATATTTTGATCTATAGACTGAGCACGAATGACATGTACGGACTGTACAGGACCAGTTTTGGCAGTAAAGGAGCCGAAAAATACATAGCATTATCGCAATTTTCTCCAAACTTTGCCAGAAGAGTCTTCCCCTGCTTCGACGAACCAACGTTCAAGACAAATTTCCAATTTTACGTTAGCTATACAGAGGGTATCGAAGTTTTCTCAAACACTTTGGGCAGTGTTATCGATACTACCGACGTTATCGGTGACGATCCGTGAGTAAAAACATTATACAGTGTGCCCAAAAAACATTTTTCTCATTTTTAGAACTTTAGAAACAATCGAGTTCAAAGGAACCAGAAAATTATCGTCTTACATGACCTCGCTGATTTTTATGCACAAAGACGACTTCTCTTGCAGTGTTGCAGCGGAAAATGTGTCAGAGTACGGTGGGGTATACAGGGTGTGTTCAATATCAGGTTCAGAATCGTCAAGAACTTGGGCTCTGGAGACTGGACCAACTCTCATAAGAAAACTCATCAATTTTACTAACTTCGTGTAAATATATATCAATATATTGTTGTATACAGGGTTGTTCACCACATACGACACGGAGTATTGTAGCTAAACGATTAGATTTTTACAAATTTTAAGTTTTGGGTTCGTTGAAGGACTATTAGATTCTTCATAAAATAGTATACCATTAATTAAATATACCACCATTATTTCTGCCCAAATACTAATTAATTACATACTTAATTATGTTCGTGAATAAATTATTCTAAATAAATGCGGATTTGAATCAGAAATCAATAAAATAATAAGTTATAAAAATGAATGTCTCTGTTGTTACAAATAAGCATTTGTCAAAAAATTAAATATAATTTTTAAGGTGTTACTTTTTACCACACTGTCTAATACACATAAAAAATTCAGTTTTTTAGGTTTTGGAGCAATTATTATTAATCAACACAAACAGTCAATTAATGTAGTTTGAATACTGGAATCATATTAATTGGTCCTCTTTAACAAATATTTAAACAGTTTTTGTTTTAATGAAATAATAACTATGTCGACAATATTAGTATCTGTACTCTTTAAAAATTTGGTACATCTTTAAAAATAATCTAAAATGTCAGTATTCCATGGGTATATTGATAAATGAATTTAAAATTACAAGAAAATGCATTTTCTACTGAAACTTGACGCTATAGGTAAAAAATGGTATAATACAATTTGATAGACAATTAAATTGTGCATCTGATTCTCATAAAATATACAGGGTGTTCCATTTAAATTAAACAAGTTATTGCCGTTTAAAGCTAGTAATTATTTAAAATAAAATTTTAGACACTCTGTATAAGGTAGTATAATTTTTATTATTGCAACACAATAACTGATCAATAAATAAACTTCAGTAAATATTTAGTATTAAAAACTTTGATACCCTTGGAGAAATGAAGCCTTAAAATTTTTACTGTAATTTCACAAAATTGAAAATATTTAAAAAACGGTAAGGTTTAAGTGTAATAAACCTTAATCAAATTTACCTTTATTTTAATCGTAGAAACTAAAAATGTAATAATATACAGGATGTTTCGTTTAAAAAAATACAACTTTGATATTTTTTATTTATTTGGGACACTTTGTATCTTGTAAAAATATTTTTAAATTGTAGCTCTAATAGTCCTTCAACGAACCCAAAACTAACAATTTGTAAAAGTCTAATCGTTTAGCTACAATACTCCGTGTCGTATGTGGTGAACAACCCTGTATACTTTTATATGTATATATTTTTTAATTTTTTAAAGGTATTTTGACAAAATGGACTTAATGGCAGTTCCTCATTCTGTTGTAGCAGCCGAAGAAAATTGGGGACTTATTACATTCAGGTAAATTCAATATTTAAGACAAAACCACATCAGTGTTACTTATTTCTTATGTTATAGAGAAGAAAATTTATTATTTAACACAGATGATGCCAGTATATTAGATCTGGAACGTATCACAATGCTTATGGCTTACGAATTTGCTCAAATGTGGTTTGGAAATGTTGCAACGCCGCAGTGGTGGTCGATATCTTACGTCACCAAAGGTTTAGCAACGTATTTGCAATACTTTATTACACACCAAGTAAGTCCAAATTATGCAACTAGTATTACACTTATTTCTCCCAATTTGCTCGTGTAATTTCGACCTTAAACATAACTGACCTATGGTCGAGAATAAAATAGTACCAATTTAGTTTATGCAATTTTTCAAGAGGAAAAAAACCGTTATTTTCCGTAGATATTTGAAGAATGGGAACTGGACAAGCAATTTTTGAGCAATGTCCTTCATCCGGCCTTTGAAATTGACTCTTTTATTGATTCGCCGCCTTTAAATGCAGATGCAGAAAGCAGATCAGATATTATCACTAAGTTGGATAAAATCACAAACTTAAAAGGTAAAATGACAACAAAAAATATTTAGTATGTCAAATAAATGTTGCCAAATTCTCTTATTTAATCATAGTTCTTGGATATTTTAGGAGCTTGCTTGTTCAGGATGCTAAAAGAAGTGATAGCAGGCTATGAGAAATTTAGACAGGGAATAGAATACTTTCTAACCTCATTGTAAGTCACTACATATGCAACTAACAATACACCTACTCCTAAACTATTTCTTCTTTATTTTTATGAGGTCTATATCGTTTGAAAATTTTAATATACTTTTCTGTTAATAGTTCGTATAAAAATACAGAATCTCAAGGACTATGGAACTTGATCAGTGCCCAATTGAACTTCCAAAGAGGACTATTACCTACTAATAAAGTACTAAAAGAAGTACTACTAAACTGGGAGGTGTATCCAGGTTATCCACTGTTGGAAGTAAGCAGAGATAGCTACAAAACATTTTTCATAAAACAAAAGGTACTTTAAACTATATTATATTAATATTATATTTTATAGAAAAAGAACGATTTTAGGGTAGGTTTTTATATTCTGGTTTGAACGAAACGTACCAATGGTACATACCAGTGAGTTATACCCTGTCTACGAATTTAACACAGTTTGAAAACGCAACTTTAAGCCAATGGTTGTTGCCTAACGAGACAATTGAAATATTTGTGCCTACCATTAATGAGAAATGGATTATCTTAAACACTCAAGCTGCAGGTTAGTATGCAGAGAAATTTTCTTACAATTACTCCTGCGAATTTCAGTTATTTCACACCATTATTAATTTTTTTATATGTTGACTAGCGTGTTCGAATTAATCATTTGTAATGGTGATGATAAAGCAAAGCAAAAATTTCTATTAACATACAAACTGGATAAAATTTTCTCACATTTATGTCAGCACGAGAAAAAACAATATGGCGATATTATTATATAACTTGGTAATATTTGAGGGGTAGTTTCATCTCGTTGGAATTTGACTTTCGAAAAATCCGTTTGCCAAAAATAAGCTTTTTACGTCAAGCAGTTTAAGCAGAATCGTGATTAATCAATTACCCAACTTTTTGGAACACCCTGTATGATTTTTTAAAAAATTTCAAAATATGTAAAAAAAACTAAATTATGCTTGTCCAAGCGTTTTCCCGAAAGACTAACCGTTTTTTAAATAACAAATATTGTAATATTTGAGGGGCGTTTTCACCCTCTTGGAATTTGAGATTCGAGAAACCCCTCCTTATCGAACCTCTACACCCCACAGGCCATAGGATTGCTCATCCTCATAAGACGTACGTTCGCCTCTTCCCGCACTTCAGCTGACAGTTGTGACGTCATTGTAGTCCTTGTCAAAGCCTTCGTGGCCTTGTCATGATAGTGTGTATTATTAGTTGCCTATGGTAAACTTATAAAAATAACAGCTGTGAAATTTTGAGTTAATTATTTTGTCAATTTTAAATGTGAAAAAGGTGTCTTTAAAGTTTTTAGAGCTATAGAGTGTATAAATACGTTCATTTTGTGTTGTGGATTGTGACAAAGTGCATACTAAGTGCCCGCGATTTTGTTTATTAATTATTTTAAAGTAAAATATGGAAGTACTCTAAAAAGAATGCTTGCAAAAGGGGATGCTGGGAACTGCTGCCCTTAAAAATGCAATATCCGAGTATTTAATACGATTTATACAGTTAATTTTCTAAACTGCATACATATAAGGTGTTTAAATAAATGAACTAAATAATGAACGTTTTGCATTCGGCAACCAATAATGCACGTGTGTGTATTACTGGTTGCCGGATAAGGACTAATAACTATGACAAGGATTACAATGACGTCAGAAAGCGAGTAGTTTTCGCATGCACCTGGCGGACACTTTTGGCTGAATCTTTGAATAAGAAGACTAAGGAAGGAGCATAATGCTATCCATGTATTCATGCATGGTGGGCGGAAAAGCCACCATAAAAGCTCTCTAGGGTGGGGATCCTTGACAGTTCTGTTTGACGATTCATTTGACACATTTGAATTTGATTTGAAATTTTGTGGATTTGTCAGTCTTTATGGAGCTTATTTTATGTTATTTATTATTTATTCTACTACTGATAGTTGTATAAAGGTAGTAAATCTAGATGGAAATTGTGGCAGAACTTAAATTAACAGTGACACTATCGCGATTTATCGAAAAAGACTCTAAAATAGTTGGTTGTGTAGCGTGCGGTAGATCTCGGCAAAAATTGAGTGAAATAATGGAACAACTTTTCGCTAGTAAGTGACTATATAATATACATACGTGTAGTAAACCGATCATTTACGAAATTCACTTAAATTAACTAAATTATATATTTTTCTTGCATTTTAGCTTTTATTTATTACTTGTCGAAGATTAGATCTCAAAGAATTTAGATACGTTAATTTGACTTACCTGCTTCAGTAGCGTATCGGATGTTTGTGTTAATAAATACTTATTATAACTTATCTATTTTTATTAGAATTATATATTTTTATAACAATTTTAATAACTATCAACATTTATTCACAACGTAAAATAAAACAACAAATTATTGAGTCTACCCCACGTCTACCCTACATCATAGTTTTACATTTTTTAAATAAAATTAGAACGACACTGATAAACCGGAATTTAAGTCGGCCATATTTGAGGCCCATCGCGGTGTACCTAAGATTTTTGATATGCTCCTTCCTTAGTCTTCTTATTCAAAGGGCTGAATGAGCAGTCCTAGTAAGTTAACTGTTCTTGATATTAGTATAGATTTGTCGAGAGATGGCGCGTTGAAAGTTCGAGGAATAACTTCAAATAAATTAAAAATAAAAGTTTTTTACGAGTATTAGGTTCTTTACAATTGATTGCATTCTAATTTTAGGGTACTATAGGGTTCATTATGGAGAAACATGGTCCAATATCTCTGAAGGATTGCAAGATACAAACTTTTCGGGAATCCCAGAGCTAAACAGAGCTCAGCTTTTAAACGATATGTTCTCCCTTGCTAGAGCTAACATAGTAAACTATACCACAGCTTTAAATTTCACGAAATATCTGAAAAATGAAGAAGACCACTATCCTTGGACCAGTGCTCTTGGAGGTTTCAACTATATCTTAAGAAGAATCTATAATAGATCCAAACTTAAATCAGCTCTTTTAGTAGGTTTAGCCATCTTTTTTGATTGAAAATTTATTCTTAAAATAAAATTGTATTTTGCAGGACTTTCTATCTGGTCTTATAACCAACGTCTATGGTACAGTTCCTTGGAATAAGTTGGACGATTCAAATTATTCTTACACTTTGAAACAGGTTGATATTTTGACAGGGGCATGTCATTTCGGACATGCCGAATGTGTAGAAAATGCAGTGGGGATGTTTGAGGACTTTAAAACGAATGGAAACAGGTATATACAGTGGGATATCAAAATTACCAGACTGAAATAAAAAAAAATAAACGTTTTAGACCAAACAAAAATCTTAGAGAGCTGGTATATTGTCTTGGACTCAGACACGCTAAAGACTCTAAAGAAAATTGGAACTTTTTATGGAATATCTTCGAAGCAACTACAATAGAATCAGAAAAACTGAAACTAATTAATGCTTTTGGTTGCTCAACTAATGAGGACCTACTAAAATCGTACTTTTTTCAAATCTAGATGAATTCAAAAAGGCTAAAACTTTATTTTTTCTAGGTATTTAGCTATGACCTTAGACAGTGATTCTGAAATTAAGCCTCATCAAGCTTCTACAGTTTTTGCAGCAGTATATAAAGGTAGTAACTTAGGTGCTAGGTTGGCTTTCGAATTTTTAGCAGAAAACCAAGAAGAAATTATAACAAGGTACAGATATAGTACATTTTATATCCTTAAAAATCAATTATATCAGTTTTTTATTGACTTCTATTTCATTTGAGCGATCCTAGGTAAATACAGGGTGTCATAGTTTAACTCCAGAAACACGCCTAAGAGGTTTTTTCGCGAAAAAAAAATTTGAAAATTCGGAATTTTTTGAAAAAAAATTTAGATTTTTTTTAGTTTTTAGTTAAAAAACATAATTTCTTGATAATATGGCAACAGAGGTAGTAGATTAAATTTACAAGAAAGAAAATCCAGAAAAAATACAGCGGTTCTCAAAATTTTAGCAAAAAATCATTTTTTTTAAAATAACTCCGTTATTTTGGACTTATTTGAAAAACGATAAAGGGAAAATATGTTTCTTTTATCGAGATCTACCACCTCTTAAAATACTTGCACTTATCTCTGGGACACCCTATATAATAAGCAGTATACCGGGTGTTTCTCAAAAATGACTCGCCTCTATAAAATATAATATTTTTTCTGATAAAAAACGAACTTCAATTGTTTTCGGTCACTTCCTGTTTCAACGGAAATCAATGCAACTATTATTACACAGAATCCTAATGAGTGTCATTTTTTTCCTGTTTATTTTCAACCCTAATCATGGTAGACATATAAGATCAAGAATAAAATTGTACTAAGCTAGCATTTGGTTTTTAAGCATTTATGAGAATATAAAAAATATATCTTCGGCAAGATTAGGATTCAGCGTGCTACTGGTTGCATATCGCTACTTGCTGCTAATCTATTATTTCTTATTTTTTAAAAGGTACCAAGACATGAACTGCCTGAAGTCCATAGGTCTCGACTTGGCCGAGCATTTGACATCTGTCAGCCACAAGGATAAGGTGAATATAAATTTCCTTTTCACATTATTTCGATAAAAAATACCTTTTTTGACAGATCAAGACATTCTTTTTTAACCGTACTGATGAGTTTAAACCTGTGTCTAAGCAAGTACTAGAAGTAGTGGAAAACAACGAAATATGGTTAGAAGAAAACTTACAAGAGTTGTACGACCATTTTTCTTTGGATCCCGACGATGAAATCATTATTCCCGACGAACCATCCAAAGCAGAAGCTTATAATTCTCAATTTATTTTAATTTTGTTAAGTATCATTGTTTATTATGTATAGAATTATTTTTTTAGAAAATAAAAGACACATTTTTAAAAAAAAAACACATTTATTTGGCAGAAAAACATGACTAAATGAAGTCACATCACGGTAACATATCTATGCACACTGTATAGTCTAAAAGCACATAGCGCTTTCTTAACATATGTATAACCTAACATTTTTTTATGTAAAACATCAATAGTCATTGTTCAAATATCGTTAAAAATCTCCAACAGTTTATTTTAAAATGGACAAAACAAATTTTTTTTTTGGACACCCCGTATATTCAGACTTTATCTTTAATATATATTTAACACACAACCGTATCTATAATATAATATAAAAAAAACACAGTCAATATGATATATTTCCTTACAATAAACGTATTTATATTAAAAAAAGAGAATACATATTAGTATAACATCAAACTGAACAAAAAAAATCAATAAAATATTAATTCCTTTTGAAGGAACTAGCATAGAATATATCAAAACCTAACACGCCTCGTTTTTACACACCCTGTATAAATTAGGTTACGAATATACAGCCTGTACAGTGACAAGCTGTATAACAAACTGGCCATTTTAAAATAATTTTTTTTTAATTAAATTCGTTAAAACGAACACCCTGTATATAATTGGTAACGTTAAAATTAATTGATATACAGAGTGTATTATAAATAACATGCTGCTCTCGATATCACACATAGGTAACGCAAATCCAAAGACAGTGATTCTGAAATTAAGCCTCATCAAGCTTCTACAGTTTTTGCAGCAGTATATAAAGGTAGTAACTTAGGTGCTAGGTTGGCTTTCGAATTTTTAGCAGAAAACCAAGAAGAAATTATAACAAGGTACAGATATAGTACATTTTATATCCTTAAAAATCAATTATATCAGTTTTTTATTGACTTCTATTTCATTTGAGCGATCCTAGGTAAATACAGGGTGTCATGGTTTAACTCAGAAACACGCCTAAGAAGGTTTTCACTTGAAAAAAAATTTGAAAAATTCAGATTTTTGAAAAAAATTTTTTTTTTTTTTTGTTTTAGTTAAAAAACATAATTTCTTGATAATAGCAACAAGTAGTAGATTAAATTTACAAGAAGAAATCAGAAAAAATACAACGGTTCTCAAAATTTTAGCAAAAATCATTTTTTTTTGAAAATAACTCCGTTATTTTGGACTTATTTGAAAAACTATAAAAGGAAAATATGTTTCTTTTATTGAGATCTACCACCTCTTAAAATACTTGCACTTATTTCTGGGACACCCTATATAATAAGCAGTATACCGGGTGTTTCTCAAAAGTGGCTCGCTCCTATAAAATAATATATTTTTTCCGATAAAAAACGAACTTTGGTATGTTAGTATATGACATAAATTATGATTGATTGACATATTCAATTGTTTTCGGTCACTTCCTGTTTCAACGGAAATCAATGCAACTATTATTACACAGAATCCTAATGAGTGTCATTTTTTTCCTGTCTATTTTCAACCCTAAGCATGGTAGACATATAAGGTCAAGAATAAAATTGTACTAAGCTAGCATTTGACTTTTAAGCATTTATGAGAATATAAAAACTTGCTACTGGTTGCATACCGCTTGCTTCTAATCTATTATTTCTTATTTTTTAAAAGGTACCAAGACATGAACTGCTTGAAGTCCATAGGTCTCGACTTGGCCGAGCATTTGACATCTGTCAGCCACAAGGATAAGGTGAATATAAATTTCCTTTTCATATTATTTCGATAAAAAATACCTTTTTTGACAGATCAAGACATTCTTTTTTAACCGTACTGATGAGTTCAAACCTGTGTCTAAGCAAGTACTAGAAGTAGTGGAAAACAACGAAATATGGTTAGAAGAAAACTTACAAGAGTTGTACGACCATTTTTCTTTGGATCCCGACGATGAAATCATTATTCCCGACGAACCATCCAAAGCAGAAGCTTATAATTCTCAATTTATTTTAATTTTGTTAAGTATAATTGTTTATTATGTATAGAATAATTTTTTAGAAAATAAAAGACACATTTTTTAAAAAAAAACACATTTATTTGGCAGAAAAACATGACTAAATGAAGTCACATCATGGTAACATAACTACGCACACTGTATATCGTCTAAAAGCACATAGCGCTTTCTTAACATATGTATAACCTAACATTTTTTTTATGTAAAACATCAATAGTCATTGTTCAAATATCGTTAAAAATCTCCAACAGTTTATTTTAAAATGGACAAAACAATTTTTTTTTTTGACACCCCGTATATTCAGACTTTATCTTTAATATAATTTTAACACACAACCGTATCTATAATATAATATAAAAAAAAACACAGTCAATATGATATATTTCCTTACAATAAACTTATTTATATTAAAAAAAGAGAATACATATTAGTATAACATCAAACTGAACAAAAAAAAATCAATAAAATATTAATCCCTTTTGAAGGAACTAGCATAGAATATATCAAAACCTAACACGCCTCGTTTTTACACACCCTGTATAAATTAGGTTACGAATATACAGCATGTACAGTGACAAACTGTATAACAAACTGGCCATTTTAAAATAATTTTTTTTTAATTAAATTCGTTAAAACGAACACCCTGTATATAATTGGTAACGTTAAAATTAATTGATATACAGAGTGTATTATAAATAACATGCTGCTCTCGATATCACACATAGGTAACGCAAATCCAAATAGTTCGTTTTGGACATCCTGTATAGCCCATATTTTTCTAAAACTTAGGAAAAAAATATTTATCTTTAAATAATCCTAAAAATTAGTTAAAACTAAAATTTTTTGAGTGTTTCAAGTTATTACTAATAGTGGAGATTATTGTTTATAAAAAAAATTCTAGCCTCATTTGTTTTCTTTGAATTTTCTTTTCACAAGGTTTTCTTTTTGCTTGTTTTCTTAACACGTGGTAATGTTGCACTAGATTCCTAAAAAAAAGGAATATTAAAAAAAATCAAAGTAAATTCTGTAAAATCTCATAAAAACCAATGAAATTTTTTTACCTATTCTGTATAATTGAAAATCACGTATTGCCTCATTGGTTTTTATTTAGTTTCACATATAACACAAATATGTTAATAAGTATACAAAGTATTCCAAAAAAAAACATGTAATTTTCAAAAATATCGCAAAAAAATATCATTAATACTTGTTAGTAAAGAGCCACGACACTCAGAACACTCACTGTAAAAAAATGAACACAAAAACTAAAAAACAATTCACCCTATCTCTTTTTCTGATTCAAACTTCAAAATACCATTTCAATGATACAAAGATGATTTTTTAATCAACATCACTATCGACATATCTTCTTATTATCTTTAACCTCCTGTGAGCCACTGGAGAGTCTGTCAAACTCCTCACGGAACTCACACTACCAGATTTGGACTTCAAAACGCCATCTTCTGGTACAACTTCCAAATTACTGGCACTCAGTGACTGTTTCTTCGTATCAGAAAGTTTTTTTCCGTGAAAAAACTCACTCCAGGAATGCCTTTTTTCTTTGATCTTTCCAGGAATATTCAGATGTGTCATCTTCTTCGGCAATCTAAGCATTTTGTTCAAAGCATTCTCAATTTTACCAGAATCTGAGCTTTTAGAACTTCTGGATGAAGCAGGACTATGGTTTCTAGACTTCCTCCTCATTTTGGGAGAGTAATTTAAAAAAATCTCTTTGTTTAAGTTCTCAGAACTGTTACTGATGCTCCTAACTACTCCAGGTTGGAGTACAAGCCTTGCTTTTATTGCACTCGCATCCAGATCTTTATTTTTACTCTCTGGTGGTTTGGGGGCTTGTTTTTTATTATATTTCCCCCCTCTTGATAGTTCAAGATGCTTAGATCCTTCAAGAAACTCTCTTTTCAATTTATTATCACCTTTTTGACTTATATCATCTAATTTTCTACTAATTTCATCATCAGTATATTTAGAGGCATCCAAATTATCTTTGTTTGACTTATTTCCACCTTCAGAATACTTAACACGATCAAGTTCCTTAATCGCAGTTAAATCATCTAATTTTCTATCAGTTTTATTCAGAGTATATTCAGAGGCATCTAAATTTTCTATGTTTAACTTATTTGCATCTTCAGTGCCCTTGCTGCTTCTATCAAAGTGATCAAGTTCCTCAATTTGAACCGATGGAGAGGAAGAAGGAAACAGCAGCGAAGATAAAGCTTCGGAAAGTTTGGTTAGGTTAAGACTGAACGCGCTCGAAGAATTGTTGCATGCAGTTATAGATTTACTGTTGTACGACATAATTGGTAAATGTACTAGATCATTCCTTATCGGTATTATTTTACTGGCTTTACCATGCAAGTGAAAATCGTTATTTTCGGGAAGAATATCAAAAAATTCGGTCTCACTAGATGACGAATCTGGCTTGCACGGGGGCTTTTTGGCGGTGTCTTTGGTGAAAACTATATTGGTGTCGAATATTTCGTTTTCGTCACTATCCTATACATCAATAAAATAAATAATAATAATACAGGGTAGTCCGGAAACTTCGGCAGCATATTTTGCAGATAAAAATTATGTCCTAAAATGGCTTAGTTTCGGAGATACAGGGTGTAGAAGTTACGTCAATATTTGGATGAAAATTGGTGCCTGGGAGTTTTTTGACATGAGAAATTTGGTTTTGATGTTAATATGACTCCTATTTGTAGGGGGCGCCACCTATATGTGTTTTAACTGTTTTTAAGAGTAATAACTTTTCGTCCATACCTGTATAAAGTTGCATCGTCGCACGGGACATAGGAAATCCCATGTAAATTTTAATGGTGTCAATTATTGGCTTCCCTAATTATTTTAGAGAATAATTCTATTTACGTTTATTGAAGAGCACTAAAACCCACATTCAAAAGAATAACTTTAGATATTTTTGATTAGCTCGTTTACGAGTTATCGCCGATTTCTTTTTAAATATTTCTCCTTTCTTATGGCCCTGTATTTACTTATGAGCACCAGTCAAGGTAAAAGATAACTGTCAAATGAAGTTGTCATTTCAGAAATTTACCTATTTAGTGCTTTATTATTTTTGAAAACTCATTCCTACATCGGAAATCTTAAAGATGTATTAATATGAATTAAAGTAAAATAAAGTAATAATTACAAGGTTAATTATAGTATTCTTACAATATTCAATAACTTATTAATTTAGGTACTATTAAATTGTTAGAACTTTAGGATTTAAGATGTTCAAATATTCCTCCATCGACTGCTAGACAATAACCCAGGCGATCATAAAATTCTCTTCTTACATTCGCTAGTTGGTAAACTGAAATTCTATCTATTCTCGTCTAGATTTGGGTATTTTTTATCCTTGTATATCCTGGTTTTTAAAAGGCTTCAGAGAAAGAAATCATTTGGCGAAATATCAGGAGACCTTGCTGGCCAATTTACTGTATGATTTAGGCCAATAACGTTTCCGTTAAAACTATATTGTCTAAATATTCCCGAACATTTCTTGCATCTTCTCTTTGTTCCTGCCTTGCTTCACATCTGCAGTTATTTACTAGGGTATCTTTGGTCTCAAATCTCTGGATATTCCTTGCGATTGTAGATTTTCCAGGTATCGGTCTATTCGGATACAGAGCAGCAAACATGTCCGACACCTTTTGATAACTATTTCCTTGATAATACCATTTAATCATCAATACTTTATCTTCGGTAGGGTAATTCATGGCTAATATTTTCGATGTAGGTATGAGTTTTTAATAATAATAATAAAGCACTAAATAGATAAATTTCTGAAATGACAACTTCATTTGACAGTTATTGTACCATTACTCGTAGCGATTTTTACCAAGACATCTTTTTTACGTACAAAACGTCGTAAATGTATATTTTTTTACTCAGTAGTTTTATACAGGTATGGACGAAAAGTTATTACTCTTCAAACCAGTTAAAAATATGTAGGTGGCGCCCTCTACAAGTAGGAGTCATATTGACATAAAAATCAAATTTCTCATTACAAAAAACTCCCAGACCTCAATTTCCATCCAAATATTTTTTGACGGTACTTCAGAAATTATTTGGAAAAAATCCAAATAAAAATGAAACTTCTGCACCCTGTATCTCCGAAACTAAGCAATTTTAAGATAATATACATTTATACGAACTTTTTTACTTATTTTTATCTGCAGAATATGCTGCCGAAATTTCCGGAATACAGTTCCGGACGACCCTATACTATATTTTCTTTTCAAACATCAGAAAAACTCGTAAAAGTTAAAAAGTAAGGTTAAAATACTTACGTCACTGGTTGCAGTCGATTTTTTCGGTATATTCGACCGGGTGACCCTGGTAGAACGCGACCTAGTCAAAGAATTAGTTCTCTGACTAGCTATGCTCTCTCTGGCATGTAATTTTAGGGGATGTTGAGAACCGTATAGACCCTCACCGCTTGAATACCCTGAAAAAATGTCACAAAACCGTTATACAAGAACTTTTAAAAGGTTTTTAAGGGAAAAATACCCGAACTGATATCCTCAGCACTCCTAACCTCAGAAACCCTGTCCGCAGGTATGACAGGCATGGTAGTAACGTCAACCTCCTGGAAATAGACTGAAGCTGATGAAGCTGAGCTGGATCTGTGAGGACTTCGATCTTTTTTTCGTCTAAAATTAAAAAAATGACATTTTCACAACAAAGGCTTTAACGCTCTAGGGTTTTTTACCTCCTAACTAATCTAGAATCTGTCATTAAAACGTCATCAACTTCATCAGCTCCATTATTCGGATCGCTGAGATCGCTAAGACTGTACGATTTCCTCAGCTGGTTCACTATACCACCTCCGCCCTGAAAGAAATAAAATCACTGCCTCATGTACTGTAATACCGCTAGAAATTTTACTTACTTTGTTAGAAAATAAAACAGGTTAATACACTAACACCAAAAGAGAACGAAAAAAAAAGGTGCTAAGCCATGCAGAGCTAAGCAAAAGTTCTTTGATTAAGTTTTTTTCAGTATAAAAATGATACAATCCCAGTGAAATAAGTAAACATAGAGGGGGTTCCAAATTAATCTGGTTCCTCTATGGTTACTTATTTCTCTGAGAACATGGTAAGAAGCTGTTTTTTTAGTAAATCCATGATTTTTTATGTTAAATTTTAGCTGTGTAATGTAAAAATGAATAGATAAAATAAATAAAACCAATATTTTTCATCAAATAAACTACAATTTATTATCTAAAAAAACTTTTAAAAATGTTGGTAACCACAGATACTTAAGGCACATAGTGTGAATGCTTATTGTGTATCTAAAATAATAACTTAAAAACTAAAAAAAAAAATTAAAATAACATCAGTCTATAGCGTCAAGACAAAAAAAAATAAACTACAACAAAAAAAAAGGATTCAGACAAGAACAAATCACAATTATCATTAAAATAAAGGTATATAATCTAAAATAAATATAACAAAACAGGCCAGCATCCATATACAGTGCGATCAAATAAAAATAAAACAAATTTTTAACTGGTTGTCTATCTATTTATTTGCTGTCAAAACATACATAAATGTAGGCAACCAGAAATTAAAAAAAAAAGACCTGCTGGATTATATTTATACAAAATTATACGTTAACTTAAAATGGTAAAACTATAAAAAGAACTATTTAGTATAAAAATATTAAAATACAGAGAGTTTTTTTTTCACTAGTAATCACTATAATCGTCTTGGTCAATTTTGGTATTCTTCCTAGTGGCTCTTTTAGCGTTTTTTGACGTTCCTTTAGCGGGTTTTCTACCCTTAGTTTTAGGATTTTTTTTGGGCTCAAGCGGAGCCACGAAATAATCGTTTTCTTCGTCACTAATCAAGTTATTATCATCGAAATCCATCAAATCAGGAGAACGATACTCTTGCCTGTGTATTTCCTCATCCCTTTGATATGTCCTTTCGATTTTTTGTGAGGTTAGGGCCGAATCCCGTTGATCAACATTGTTTTGATTGTCAAATAGGGTTGATACGAGTTTTTGGGAGGTAACTGACTATATTAATCAAATAAAAAATAAGAAAAACAAGATAATAAGGGAAATGTATTGTTGAAATGTATTTCCACCCTTTTTGCATAATTTTTACGTAAATTTAGTAAACTATTTTACGAAAAATGTACCAACGTGCGTACTGAAAATTATAATAGCGAAGTTATCCGAGTATATATAGGATGTTTCTTAAAAACCATCAAAATGTAATTTATGCTGTTTGGAAATTTAGGAATATGCCGGCATTTACACCACCCGTTAAAATACCTGCATTTATTCAAGAATCACCCTGTATATTTAATCAATAACAGTTCAAACTTGTCATAAAAATAATAGATGTAAGCTTAGAAGATTAATAAAGCATTCTATAGATCTTGTAGCGGGTTAAAATTGATACAAATCGAAGAAGAAAAATACCAAAAAAGACTGAAAATTTATTAAACCTACACTATGAGTATTTTTTTATCACTTATAAGTCTCTTAACATTAAATTTTGATTAATGTGCTACTACCTACTAAAATCTGTCAAATAAAATTTGTACAAATAATCAGAAAATGCGAAAAAGCTAAACAAAGATGTTAAAACATAAGATCATGCAAAAAGGTGCTGTCACAAGCCTATACAAGAAGTAATATGGTGTCATAATGAAATTGTGCGTGTAAATGTATAGAATAAAACTCACTTTTATGGCTGTTTGCATCAGTACAGTGACCCCCTTTTGTCCCAAATCCAGGACTTGTCTGTAACTTTGTTCCTTGGCCTTGGATATGTATTCATCTATTTCCTAGTAAATAAAAAAAATGACAATCTATGATAGCGATTTTTTTCGTTCATACAGTATAATTTTAATAATATGACTTTCCTCATTATTACTTTATAAATCAAGCAATTATGTAAGCCATGTTGCGTTACTAGTATTTTTAAATTTGCTGTATAACGATTGCCCTAAAAATGTAACCAGCCAAGCATAACATAAAATAGCCACAATAAAATAATATTAACAAACATCAATCTATGAAATCACTGTCTATTTCCTTTACAACCATGACAATACAATGTTACAGTTGACTTAATATTTCAATATTTCGTTGCGAGTAATAAAAAAATAATTTGTAATTATTTCATCAAAAATTTACAATAAAAAGTTGAAAAATAAATCTAAGAAATATCACGATATATTTTTATAAAATTAATACCAAAAAAAAGAACCTATCAATTAATTATAATGTAATTTTTGCCCTTATATGACGTCAAAACATGGGTTATGTTGGTTACAGAATGACCACCTCAGATGAGTTCATGAGTACAGGGTGGGTCAAATTCGACGCTTTTAAATTGAAACACCCTTTTCTATAGGAGATAGACAAAAACTAATATCGGTGTCTGGAGCTCAATTTTTGTCAAAAACATGATGGTGAAAACCGCATATCGATATCTGTTACCGTTTCGGAGTTACGGGGTGTTTTTCAAAAATATGCATTTTTAACAAATCGCTGTAACTTTTTTGCTATGGAAAATTTTGTATTTCTATGAAAACATTTCCAAAGCACCTTTTTACGTAGAATTTAATGTTTTAAGTATAATTTTTTTAAAATTAATAATTTAAGAATTATCAACAGAAAATTTGAATTGAAATACAAAATTTTCAAAAAACACCCCGTAACTCCGAAACGGTAACAGATATTGATGTGCGGTTTTCACCATCATGTTTTTGATGAAAATTGAGCTCCAGGCACCGACATTAGTTTTCGCCTATCTCCTATGGAAAAAGGTGTTCCCATTTAAAAGCGTCGAATTTGATCCACCCTGTACATGGATAGCATTATACTCTTTCCTCAATCTTTTTATTCAAAGATTGCTACACTTTTCTGCCCTAATGTGACGTCAGATGAAACGCTATATATGTTGGTTACAATATGACCGTGAAAGAGCGTATCTAGAAATATTTGATAGTCTATGTTTTTTTTTGACAAAAATGCGCAAATAATAACAGAAACATTTCTAATAATGTTTTTGCCCTGTTGTAACGTCGCATTGTAGTTTATATCGGTTACAGAACGAGCACTAAAGAGCAAGTTTAGATATATATTATGGTTGAAGAATTATTTTTTAAAAAAATGTGAATAAAATTTAAAAAAAAATAAATTTAAAAATTTATACCTGTTCCTTGCTGCTGAGCATCGGATGGACGAACTTCCTGTATAATATACTGGATCCTTTCGTGGCAGGCGAAAGCAACCATATTACAAGGATTATTTTGATTTCGTAGTAGAATGGAAACCTATAAAATAAATTTAAAAAACGTGTAAATAATAAGAAATTAATTTTTTTAATTTCAACACAAAATTCATACATAAAATTACTGACTAACTAATATATTATTTTATTTAGGAACTTACCAACTAAGAAATATGTCTGTGAAGGTCTCTGTGCAAGTGAACAGCGCAAACACAATCCAATACATCATCCATTTTACCTAAAAAAGCCAAAAAAAAATAATATAACAAGAAATATGTTTATAGACTATACATATAGAAAATATACAGGGTGTTTCAAAAAACATGTGCCATCTCTCGTGGGGAGATTCCTCACGTAAAAATAAGATTGATTTAACATATCAACATAGGTCCGATTCTGCTTTGTTTCGTAGCTACAGGGTGTTAAAGTCTAAAATATTTTTTTGTTTTATTATAATTTTTTTCCAAGTACCTCTACCGTTTCAAATGAAATTTTGAATAATTTTAAACGTTTTATTTGTTTATTTTATCATATTTATATAATCCCATGAAGCTAATATAATTAATTATATCGAAATAGAGTTTTTTAGAATCGATTAAGAGCTAAAATCGTGTCAAACGGAGTCAACGATCTCTTTAATATAAACTCTTGTAGAATGAGACCAATACAAAGAGAGAGTCTATTTTTAGATGCTGCAAACTGAGGCAGGAACTGTCTTTGTTTTAGGTTTTAAGTAAGCATATAATCAAGGATATTGAGGAAAATTAAAGGAACCAATTCTATAAAATGGTACTTAGTGATCTCACTGAGAACTACCATAAAAAACAGTAAAAAAATAAATTACTTATAATATCACAAACCAAAAAAAAAAAATCATTTAATTGAAATGATTGACTTAAAAAGATAATTACACCAAAACTAATAATTTTAAACTAGTTTACAACACTGTTTATCATTGCTTCAAAGTTTTAGGTAAATTTTTCCATATTTCCTATTAACAAACCTTCTTTTTTGTTTATTGGAAGCAATTAACAAATTGTTAAATATAAATTAACACACAGTATCGACATGTAGAGCGTTTATACATTTGTCCCACTTTTAAAGGACCATAACTTTTTTGTTTTTGGATATTAAGAACTCAAACTTTACCAGATTTTTTTTCATCATCGTGAACAATTTTTTTACGAAAAAAATAGTATTAATTTTAGTTTTATCTGGGTCTCTCTACATTTACCTATATCTCTGAGTACAGAAGAGCCAAAAAAACTCTATGCTTACGTATTCTCTGACGTTTTTCGTTCTCACAGCCTTGTATGATGCGTACGCCGGATACAGAGTACCAAACACCAATCTGAAAAAAGGAAAAATAAAAGAAGTACCACGAAAAATACACAAACACAAAGCCAGCCCTGTAAAGGTCACTACTGGCATTGTTTTTAATAATTTCCTCAATTTAAACATTTTTTTTTGCATCAAAAGCAATCAGAATTTAAATTTAAATTTCTGTATAACATTCAATTTTTCAGTGTTTATAATAATAGTATTAATAAAACTGTTTTAATGAACGATAAAAATTAAGAGTTTCATGATTCGAAAAATTATGGGATTGGAACCAATGATCTATATAATATTTCAAGGTTTTTAATTTTATAAAAATCGTCACAATTTTTAAATACAGTTTTTTTTTCATATAAAAATAATTAAAAATTTGTTTAAGTTTGTGCCAATGTGCCTTGACGGACAGACAAATGAAAAAAATACACCACTTGTACTATTCATATGATAATTTCAATACATTGAAGCATAATATGCAAGACATACTGCGATCTATTTTAAAACCTTCTGCTCCCATTCTTTAGGTTTAGTACACTCTTTCGAACATATAGACCCTGTATTTCCTGGAATAATCCAGTGAAATATAAATAGAAAGTCTTCCAGAGCCTACATTATTTCCTGTGAGAAAATTACTTCAAGACTCCGAAAATATCGTTTTTTTTTTCGTTATAGAGTAGATTATATGAGACCTATTAATATGCAACCAATAAAACGCTTAGAATCTGACTTAATAATATAGGCCTTAGGTGCTCTTCATTTAAGGACTTCTATGTTTCCCTGAAACAAAAATAATCGATCTTTTTTTTGGACCATCCAGTATTTTTAATTTTTCTAGAGCAAAAAACTTATTCTCTGAAACTAAATAGTTTTTAATTCATAATTAATGATTATTTTTATCCAAAACAGAACTTTAAAACTTTGAAATGGAGCTAATGAGCACAGGGGAAACAAATAAAAAAAAAATATTTGTTTGTCTCAAGCTTTTACCTAGCCAACACGTAGAACATCCTTCAAAGATATATCACAACCGAGTCTCCCCATATATGTACGATTATTCTGACTTCCGGTTTGTCTTTTTGAGACATATTGCTTCGCCTAGTACTGCCAATTTCAATTAGGAACAAGGAATCGAAAATTATTCGTACCAAACTAGGTTAATTTCAGATTTAGAGGCCAAAACTGTGCCTAATGTACGCCAAATACGTATTAAGGATGTCTGTTTAAAGAAAAAAACATCGATACGTATCGTATCGATAATTTTGAGACATTTTACTATCGATAAAAGTTCCTTAACGAATAACACTGTTCCTTAACGAATCACTACTAACTTATTTTATATGCTAGGGGTAATAAAGAAACTATAGTATCGTCAATTATCAAACGATAACCTTCAAAAGGTATTATAACTATCGATATTTCAAAATTTCGATAGTTTCGCTCATCCCTAATAAAAAAATTGAAAATTTTGGCAAACTTTCAGATTTCTAGAGCTTATTTATAGAAGCCCAGATGTTATCGTGCATTTCTAGAGTTTTATAGTAAAACACATCAGTCTACTCTTACTACAGAAAAAATAAACAAATATAGTAAATTTACTCTCAATTTCAACAAAGACCTTTAAATGTAAAGTTATTAACTTAAAAAAACTTATGAACTATATTTTGAAATATTTTCCAACTTTTTAAATATTATAAAACAGGAGCCAAAACAAAGACCTACCTGTGGACCTACTATAGAAACTAAAAAAAAATTACGTACTACATATTAGCATATAATTGAAAAAAGAACAAAAAATTATTGGTAGGTACTATAAATATAAATATGTGGGCAAGAATTTCCTTGGTACTAAGAAAGTAGGCTTTGAAACAGTTGATAACATTGAAGTACCATTTATGGTTGACAACGGTTTTGCAAAAAAATAGGTAAGAATTAATGAAATCGAAGAATTTATAGGCCGAAATCATTTGAAAAAAAATATAGCAGTTCTATGTGCTAATTGATCTAACAAACAATAAAATGTCACAAAAAAATTGCACAGGATTCAATAGGAAACACAAAAGGTTAAAATATTTTAAAAATACATATTTAAAACTTGTAATATAAATAATTGTAAGGAGTTGTAATATACACAAAATAAACAATATTTTAAAACAAGAAAAACCGTTGTAACTCATTGTTTAAATTCAATAAAAAAAAATATTAATAGATCAAAGAAATGAAGTACTGGATTCAAACAATAGTAATACAAATAGTATCTGTACAAAATAAAGCGTAAATAGACTCAGTTAATGATGCAAATTCTAATGTACTTTGAAAATTACCCATTTATTGATGTAAACAAAGAAAATTTTTGAATTAATACAAACTAATGAACGTTAGGCTTACTTACATCACTATTCTGCTTATTATAGATGAGATCATTGTGGTTTTCAGTGTTCCAGCACTAAACACTTATTGTTCGAGTTAAAATGTTAAAGTTACAATTAGGATCATGTCAAAATTTTAACATATTTTTGAGCAAAACGCCACAGTCAAATACCAGCTCAAATTGTTGCATCCATTTTGGATTTTTTTTTGACAATGACATCTTCCCCTCCCCATCACTCTTTCCTAAATTTGCCTAAATTTTAAAAAACATAATTCTAAAGATAAAAGGTAGCTGAATTGACGGCTAGAGGTATTTTTTAATATATTTCAATTATCTAACAAATATAGAACTAATAAAATTTTTAATAATATGCTAATTTAAAAAAATAGACAAATGGTTAGACAACCAGATATACAACTGAAGTTTACTGAACTTGGTGGAAGGGGAAATTAGACCTAACCTCACAATTTTACCAATGTTTAATCAATTTAATTATCAAGTTACTAAATAATTACAATATCTAATCAGAATAACATTAATTTTTAGCATAAATTACCTGCATATCTAGAAGACAAAGCGTTTTAACTTCAAGTATCAGCAAATACAGCTTCGTTATCAACCATGAAAGTTGCCAGTGTAGTAACACTACTTTATTTCTTTGTTTTAAAAGTTTTCGCTGATAATACCGAAGATACTCCATCGTTTAAGTATACAGCACAAAATTTCAACGATGAGGTTTCCAAAAAGCACCATTTCATCATGTTTTATGCCCCATGGTTTGTATTAATCAGCTCTCAAGTTTATACTTTTTTATAACTTTTTTTATAGGTGCGGACATTGTAAAAGCTTTAGTCCCACATGGGAACAGCTAGCCGAAATGCTCAACGAGGACGACAGCAATATCAGAATAGCCAAAGTAGACTGTACGAGTGATGCTAAAGTTTGTTCAGAACAAGACATTACCGGTTATCCCACTTTAAAATTTTTCAAAGTCGGTGACAATGAGGGGGTTAGATTTAGAGGCACCAGAGACCTACCTACAATAACCAACTTTATCAACGAACAGCTGAGACAGGTTATTTAGTTTTTAACCTGTTCGAACTCTGTAATTTATTGATATTTTTAAATTTTAGGGTGATGAAGATCATCCTGATATCAGGAAGGAATTTTCATTGAAGGAATTGACAGATGATAATTTTGATAGTGTTATAGAAAGTGGAAAGGCTTTTGTTAAGTTCTATGCCCCTTGGTGTGGACATTGTCAAGTAAAATCTTTTTTATTAATATGTTTTTTCATTTAGAATATTTTTCTTTCAGAGATTAGCTCCAACATGGTTAGCTTTAGCTAAAGCCATGGAATTTAACGAAGAAATAACCATAGCAAAGATTGACTGTACCGAATACAGAGATGTATGCACAACATTCGATGTGAAAGGTTACCCTACAATGCTCTGGTTCGAGAACGGTCAAAAAGTCGATAAATACTCAGGAGAAAGATCTTTGGAAGACCTGAAAAACTACGTTAATAAAATGGCTGGCAGTAAAATCAAGCTTAACCTTCCCGGACTGGATGATGTTAAATTTCTGGACGACGATGCAGTCTTGGACTTAAGTTCAGAGAACTTTAACGAAGAAATACAAGACGGTATTACTTTTGTCGATTTCTTTTCACCCTGGTGCGGGCATTGCAAAAGACTGGCCCCTACGTGGGAACAATTAGGCAGAAAACTACAAAATACTCAAGGCATTAAGATAGCTAAAGTCGATTGTACCTCACCTGAAAACAGAGAATTTTGTAATCAACAGGAGGTAAGTTTTAATATTTAAATATAAAAATGGATGCTTTACTATATTTTTCATTTTAGATTGAGGGATTTCCATCGTTATTTCTTTACAAAGATGGACAAAAAGTGTCACAGTACAATGGCAACCGTGAGCTAGAAGATCTCTACGATTTTGTGACTGATCATATGGTTCATGATGAACTCTAAGTCAATTTTTACAAAAAAAATACTATCTAGTCATTCTTCAGTCATCAAAGTATATATTCAGTCTGAATTTTTTATTTTTCGTCAAAACAGGACAGAAATAATACAGAGTTTTTAGTATTACAACCAAAGTATTCTTGATGATTGTCCAAAATATTTTCTTTTTGAAATAAATATTAATTACTGTGTATTTAAAACTCTATTTTTTTAACTTCTTGTTTACTCAGAGTCAACTTCAAACTTTATAGTAACAATATCTTTAATTCCTCCTTCAATGACATCTCCTTTATGAACAGGCCCCATTCCTGGTGGTGACCCAGTTATTATAACATCATAAGGTTCCAAAGTGATGTAACTCGATATGTATGATACCAAAAATGGTACATTGAACACCAAATCATTTGTGTTTCCTTAAAAATCAAGTTAATAGCACTAAAAATTATATAAAAATTCAAAAAATACCGTTTTGTTTTTGTATACCATTGACTGTACACCATAGATCAACATTATGGGGGTCTGGTATTTTAGATTTTGGAATAAATCCACTTACGGGACAGGCTGTATCGAAGCCTTTACCTAAAGTCCAGCTGCCTCCAGTTTGTCTTGCTTCAGTCTACAGAAAATGGGTTTAGTTTCATTTTTACACATAGATAATTGATATTTTTACCAGTCTACATGTCGCGGTCATATCTAAGGCTACACAGTACCCACTGATGTAGTCCATTGCATTTTGTTCAGGTACTTTTGTGCATTTTTTCCCTATTACAACCCCAAGTTCTATTTCTTCATTCACTTTAAAGCCTTTGGGTATCTAAAAATATACATTGAGCCAAAAGTATCTCGATTTTTAAGAACTATATTAACTTACAATAATTTTTTGGCATTCCTTTATATAGGAACTGATTGGTTTAATAAAGAAATCCGGTACTTTAGGTACTGGCTTGTTTAAAATTTTTAAAAGTTCGCTGTAAATGTCAAAAGAATTAGTACAATAAAAAATATAAAATATATGTTGTTTTATTTACTTGTAATTTGCTGCCACGCCTATACATTTTGTACCCTTTGTTACGAAATCGTCGCACATCACTGAAAAGAACCGACGACATAATACTATAGTGTTTTTCATTTAAAAAATTTATCAAAAACTATTTATTTTACACAAAACAGACAGAGTATTATATTATATAATTTTTAACTCACCCAAAGTATGGTTATACGTTTACTTGTAACGAAAGGCGTAGACATTGTGAGGACTTTAAGTTGAATTTGAAAACTCATTGAAAAGATTAAGAGGATTTTGAAATTTTTAAATAAATAAATGATTTTTAGAATTTATATAAACATATATTACCGCCCAAATTTAAATTTTTGTCAAATGTCAGTCTAGTAATTTTGTGTTTGGTTTGGTTGGTATGATGTAAAGCAATGTTGTCACATATTTTCAATTAATAAATTACTTTAAATAAATCTATCCAGCACACCTAATTCTTTTATTTCGAATATATAAAATCTTTACCATTAAATTAAAATGAATTGTTTGATAGTCTATTAATAATTTAACAGAGACAAATAAAGTTTTTATGGATGTTAATATTGCGTAAACGCTGGCAACGGCGTAGGGCAGTGCATTTGTCATGTCACTTGTCAAACGATCATTTCTCTACGGGTAGTTTGCCATCGAGTGTGTGGTTTTGGCACGGAAATTTCTTAATTTTTACCCTTTTAATTTGGAAACAGTTATGTGGAAGTGATATTTTTGTGCGCCGGAAACACTTATCGACGATACCCGTCCGCCTAACAGCCCAGAGCAGCGCAAACCTGATCGAAAATGATGAAAATGGAAACAGACAAAATTGAAGACGTTACAAGCAACAATGCCCAGGTAAGTCGATTCTCTCGTTCTTAAGCCTTAACTGATGTTATTCCTACTTTCGAATAACGTTAAATTAGTTGTTTTAAGTTTAAGAAAGAGAATTTATTTATGGGAAAATAGCGAGAATATTGTTTGTACGTAGGCAATAATTTTTTTCTTAATATCGTCTGTCATGTAGGTAGTTATCTGTCAACCTTAGCCTTGTATACGCTTCCTAGATATTTCAAAAAGAAAGTTTGTGCAGAAGTAAATTTATTACCCAACTTGGTAATATTAAATCGCCGTTTATTCCCTGCTATACGAAATTATTCTTCCTCCTGTTCTCATTTTACAGGCGTAAGTAGAATATTGATGCTAGTTTCCTGAGACAATTGATAAGTAGGACAATATTATTGTTTCTTAACTGTAAATTGTTTTTTTATATACAATAAAACGGTTTATTTTAACAACAATACTGGCGTTCTTTGTTTAAAACGAATTTTACCTTCTTTTGTTGTTAGATTTGACCTTTTTAGACACGAAGAAACCGAAGATAGAGTCTTGCACAATAACTTAACATAGTTTTAAATTAGCATGACCTCTAACGGAGTGTTGCAATTTTTTTTAAATATAGGAATTGCTTCTAATCATATCTGTACTATTTTATAGTTGTAAATCTATTTTTATGTCTTATTTGTATAAAAAGAAAGTGATATTGAAGAAATATTGTCAAATTACTCACTTTCACTTCTAAAAATACATTGAAAACAAATTGCATAAAATTATAAGGTTCCTTTTGGATTTATTCTGTGTTTTTTATCGCTAGTAGAAAGTTGAAGGAGTGTGAAACAATCAATCACTGTGTGATATATTGTTTTTATTGCTTTAATTTGATTGAACGTCTTTTACCATGTATATTTGTTGTTGTCCTCAGAGATATACCCTTAAAAAGATCACTGAAGTGTAGAAGACTCCATAAAAATAACACTTTATTTACTGGAATCTCACTTAAAGACAAATCAGGCTGAATATTATTTGTTTATTTTAACTTAAATCATGTTTGTTTTATTTTTATATAAATGATTTCATATTAAATAGCATTAAATGTATTTTTAGGGGTCTATTAAATGAACGAATCATTCTGTATTGTTTAAAATATTATATTACAGCAATTTAAAGTCAAATTTATCAAATAATTACTTTATTTCAATTTAAATATATTTTTTTTATTTTTGTATGAATGTTTTCATACTAAATATTTTAGGATGTCTTTAAACGAATGAATCATGTCTGTTTTGTTAAAATACCCTATTTATAATAATTAAAAATCTATAAAGTTTACTGATAAAGCTTGCCGTATTATAGAATGATTAAGTGAACTTTAATTATATGATTAGTTTGATGTTATTGAATATTTTAATGGTTTCTTTGTACTTTTTTCATCTCTTATCCGCTTATCTCCCAGGGTCTTGTTATATTTGAAGTGTCTCCTGTGGCTGTAATAATATTTGCTTTAAATTACTCAGAAAAATATACGTCATTATAACGGTTACCTGCAGAAACGCATCTTATTGAAAATCTCATATTTTTACACGCAAAATTGCCAGTTTTGTGGTTACCGTTCAGTGGTTTTCTTAATTGTTGTTTGTGTTTATATTGTTTAAAGGTATTGCATTAATATAATTATTGGTAAATTATATTTTAAATTGGTAGATAATACAAGCTTTTTATTCCTTTTTGAGAAAGTTGTTGTCTTATTACTAACATTCGTAAGTTTTAAAATTATTTTGATTATTGATGTCGACTATAAATATCCTTCAATATATACAGGGTTGTTTACCACATACGACACGGAGTATTGTAGCTAAACGGCTAGATTTTTACAAATTGTAAGTTTTGGGTTCGTTGAAGGACTATTAGAGCTACAATTTAAAAATATTTTTACAAGATACAGAGTGTCCCAAATAAATAAAAAATATCAAAGTTGTATTTTTTTAAATGGAACACCCTATATATTATTACATTTTTAGTTTATACGATTAAAATAAAGGTAAATTTGATTAAGGTTTATTACACTTAAACCTTACCGTTTTTGAAATATTTTCAATTTTGCGAAATTGCAGTATAAATTTTAAGGCTTCATTTCTCCGAGGATATCAAAGTTTTTAATACTAAATATTTACTGAAGTTTATTTATCGATCAGTTATTGTGTTGCAATAATAAAAATTATACTACCTTATACAGAGTGTCTAAAATTTTATTTTAAATAATTACTAGCTTTAAACGGCAATAACTTATTTACATTAAATAGAACACCCTGTATATTTTATGAGAATCAGATGCACAATTTAATTGTCTATCAAATTGTATTATACCACTTCTTACCTATTCCTTCAAGTTTTCGTAGAAAATGCATTTTCTTATAATTTAGACCTCATTTATCAATATACCCATGGAATATTGACATTTTAGATTGTTTTTAAAACGACAAATGTACAAAATGTACAGGCTAGTAATATTATCGTTTTTAGTAAAACGATAATATTACTAGCCCATTTCTATGCAAAAAGAAAACTATTTAAATCTTTATAAAAGAATATACCATTAATTAAATATACCACCAGTATTTCCGCCCAAATACTAATTAACTACATACTTAATTGTGTTCGTTAATAAATTATTCTAAATAAATGTGGATTTGAATCAGAAATCAATATAATAATAAGTTATGAAAATGAACGTCTCTGTTGTTATAAATAGGCATTTGTCGAAAAATTAAATATCATTTTTAAGGTGTTACTTTTTAACACACTGTCTAATACACATACATAATTCAGCTTTTTAGTATTTGGAGCAATTATTATTAATCAACGCAAACAGTCAATTAATGTAGTTTGAATACTGGAATCATATTATTTGGTCCTTTTTAACAAATATTTAAACAGTTTTTTTTAATGAAATAAACGAACTATATCCACAATATTAGTATCTGTACTCTTTAAAAATTTGGTACATCTTTAAAAATAATCTAAACTGTCAGTATTCCATGGGTATATTGATAAATGGGTTCTAAATTACAAGAAAATGCATTTTCTACGGAAACTTGAAGAGATAGGTAAAAAATGGTATAATACAATTTGATAGACAATTAAATTGTGCATCATAAATATATTCATTATCATTCTCATAAAATATACAGGGTGTTCCATTTAAATTAAACAAATTATTGCCGTTTAAAGCTAGTAATTATTTAAAATTAATTTTTAGACACTCTGTATAAGGTAGTAAAGTTTTTATTATTGCAACACAATAACTGATCAATAAATAAACTTCAGTAAATATTTAGTAATAAAAACTTTGATACCCTAGGAGAAATGAAGCCTTAAAATTTATACTGCAATTTCACAAAGTTGAAAATATTTCAAAAACGGTAAGGTTTAAGTGTAATAAACCTTAATCAAATTTACCTTTATTTTAAGCGTAGAAACTAAAAATGTAATAATATATAAGGTGTTCCGTTTAAAAAAATACAACTTTGATATTTTTTATTTATTTGGGACACTCTGTATTTTGTAAAAATATTTTTAAATTGTAGCTCTAATAGTCCTTCAACGAATCCAAAACTTACAATTTGTAAAAATCTAGTCGTTTAGCTACAATACTTCGTGTCGTTTGTGGTGAACAACCCTGTATATATACAGTTAAGGAAAGGAGGGTTTATAACAGGCGTGCTATACAGGGTGTCTTCTAAAAGTGTCCTAAAGGTTACAGCTGTATAAGTGTATAGTTAAGTCAGTTGTGTTAGTTTTTTGCAATTAATTATACAGGGTGATCCGAATTGTATTCGGGAACCTTATTGTATCTATAAAAATAAGTAAAAAAAATGTTTCGTTTTGGAGATACAGGGTGCAGAAGTTTCATTTTTACTTCTAGACCCCCTACGACTTGATAAATACAAATTCGGTGAAAGAGAATCAGAATTTATTTATTCATTTCTTATTTGACGCGTATTAAACTATTTATTACACGTAAAAAACTATTTGTTACACGTAAAAAAAATGTTACACGCAGAAAACTGTTTGTTACACGTAAAAAATTATTTGTAACGCGTAAAAAATACATTTTTAATTTATTACTTTTTCAACATTTCAAACTACACTATTTCAAGCATGTTTTTCAATTTAATAGCTGTTAGTAATACAGCTATTACCTAATGTACAGACATTTTTTTAAATTATAATTACCGTATAATTTTGATTAAATCACAAAAAAAACAGGGTCTTTATGCAAGGAACAACTGTCCAAATTTTAAATTGAGTTAACCGTGTCATGTGGGGTAAAGGATGAAAGGGTTTCATTGGCACAAGCTTAAACAGATTTTTAGTTATTTTTGGCAAAATCTCCTTTATTTTTGTATTATTTTAACTGGTATATTTTTCTTTCAGTTCGGCAAGCATTTTGCCTTCATTAAAATACTGTTCCGGAAGCTGATGAAGCTGAATATTAATATACAGGCTGTTCAAAAAGGCGGATCGCTTTTTGGACACCCTGTAACCACATTTTTTATTTAGTTTTAAAAATAATAAGGTAGATAAGTACCATAAATGCCTTTTAATGTAACAACAAAGAAATTTAGGACAAGTATACCATAAGATCGAGAGAAAAAAGGCGTCGCGGTTGGCTCTAAAATTACAGTCGGTGATAATATTCTATAACACCCAAGGTTCCAGCCCAAAGTGTTTTTTTTTAATGAACTGTCATGTTTGTAACATCCAAAATTCAGTGTCGTGACTTGGGAGGCAAGTAATTATATTAAATTAACCTAAATAAAGTGATTTTTTTAAAACGTACTTGTCAAATGTCAACGGCGACATCTAGACAACCTACTAACTTGAACGAGTCTACTATAAACTTTTTTTTCGATTTAGCTGAAATTTTGAATGCGCGTATAAGTAATTTAAAAAAAATGAAGAAACACATTACTAAAAATTGTATTAATCTATAATAAATATGTAAAAATTAAAAAAAAACGATTAAAAAAAAGTCGCCTTGACTAGGATTCGAACCTGCCTTACTACGGCTCCAACGTCATAGCAGCGTAAAGTCCTAACGCTTTAACCACGCGGCCACCGAGGACTGGAAAGATTCTATGTAAAATTCTTACTTAAAAGATAATGTTTAGTGAAAGTAGTTTTTTATTTATAAACATTTATTTAATTCTGTTTTTAGTATTTGTTCTTATAGCGGCAACATAGATACATTATCTGTAAAAAATTCAACTGTCTAGCTATAACGGTTCATAAGATAGACCTTTGTGACAGACGGACGGACGGACAGCGAAGTCTTAGTAATAGGGTTCCCGTTTTTACTCTTTGGGTACGAAACCCTAAAAAAGAAAACCTAAGAAACCTTATTGTTTGGAAAACGTACAAAAATATTTTCTCGTAATTTTTTCTATAGTCAAGCACTCTCAGATCTTTTTTTCTTATGCTTACAAATTTTTTTGTTTCTTAAAATTGTCATTTTAGACGTGTTTTTTTTGCAGTATCCAATGACTATTCTGCCCCCGTACGAGACGACGCGCAAGAAAGAGGCCTCCTCCGCTAATTTCAGCGCCGAGCGCGAGTCTTGCCTGAAGTGCTTCGAGAAATGGACCCAGAGCGACCAGGTGGAGTTCGTGGAGGGCCTGCTGACCCGCATGTGTCACTATCAGCACAGCCACATCAATTCCTACTTGAAACCCATGCTGCAAAGGGATTTCATCACTCTACTGCCAAGTAAGCTTAGTGTTAGCCTTATATAGTATTGTCTGTAATAAATTGAATTTCTGTGATTTTTTTAGAAAAAGGATTAGATCACGTTGCAGAGAACATTCTATCCTACCTAGACGCGGATAGCTTGAGGAACTCAGAAATAGTGTGCAAAGAATGGTTCAGAGTCATTTCTGAGGGCATGCTATGGAAAAAATTGATCGAGAGGAAGGTCAGAACCAACACTCTATGGCGCGGTTTGGCTGAACGCAGAGGCTGGTAAGAAAACGTGTTAAAACTCTTGTTTTTTTTCTTTTAAATTGAATTTTTAGAAGTTTTTTGTAGTAGTAATTTTTTAGCTTAGACCATAAAGTGTCTAGATACAGAATTTGTATGTAGTATCATGTAAAAATGGTAAAAACCTATATTTTCATAAACACCAAGGATAACAGTATAAATTAATGAAGGGGAAAACTCACATTACATTACACAAGGCATTTTTTATGGCATGACCAACATTGCAATATTTATAAATCTATATCTCTGGCTAGGGAATGTTTCTTAGATCTAGAGAATTTTTATTAGTTCTAGGGAATTTTCCTTATATTTTTGGTAATACAATTTTCCTTGGATCTAGGGAATTTACAGTAGATCCGAGGAATATTTTCATATCTAGGGAATTTTCCTTATCCTTATATCTAGGAAATCCAATTTTTCTAGAGAATCTAGTATATCTAGAGAACGTTTTCAGCTCTAGGGAATTTTCCTTATATCTAGAGTATCTAATTTTCCTTGGATCTAGGGAATCTACTGTAGATCTGAGAACGTTTTTAGATCTAGAGAATTTTCCTTATATCTACGGTATCTAATTTTCCTTGTATCTAGAGAATTTACCGTAGATCTGAGAACATTTCTTAGGTCTAAGGAATTTTCATTAGTTCCAGGGAATTTTCCGTAGGTCTCGGGAATTTTTGTTATATCTAGGGAATACAATTTTCTTTGGATCTAGTAAATTTACTGTAGATCTGGGGAATGTTTCTTAGATTTAATGAATTTTCATTAGTTCTAGGGATTTTCCGTAGGTCTCGGGACTTTTCCTTATAGCATGGTAATACAATTTTCCTTGGATCTAGGCAATTTACCGTAGATCTAGGGAATGTTTCTTAGATCTGGGGAATTTTCACCAGTCCTAGGGAATTTTCCATAGGCCTCGGGAATTTTTATTATACCTAGGGAATACAATTTTTTTTAGATCTAAGGAATTTTCCGTAGGTCTCGGAAATTTTCCTTATATCAAGGTAATACAATTTTCCTTGGATCTAGGGAATTTACCGTAGATCTAGGGAATGTTTCTTAGATCTAGGGAATTTTCACAAGTCCTAGGGAATTTTCCATAGGCCTCGGGAATTTTTATTATACCTAGGGAATACAATTTTTTTAGATCTAAGGAATTTTCCGTAGGTCTCGGAAATTTTCCTTATATCAAGGTAATACAATTTTCCTTGGATCTAGGGAATTTACCGTAGATCTAGGGAATGTTTCTTAGATCTAGGGAATGTTTCTTAGATCTAGGGAATTTCTACAAGTCCCAGGGATTTTTCCGTAGGCCTCGGGAATTTTTCTTATATCTAGGGAATACAATTTTTCTTGGATCTAGGAAATTTTCCGTAGGTCTCGGGAATTTTCTTTATATCAAGGTAATACAATTTTCTTTGGATCTAGGGAATTTACCGTAGATCTAGGGAATGTTTCTTAGATATAGTGAATTTTCGCAAGCCCTAGGGAATTTTCCGTGGGCCTCGGGAATTTTTCTTATAACTAGGGAATACATTTTTTTGGATCTAGGAAATTTTCCGTAGACCTAAGGAAGGTACCTTAAATCTAAGAAATTCTTCGAAGACCTGGGGAATTTTCCGTATGTCTCAGGAGTTCTCCTTATGTCTAGGAAATTTTTGTTATATCTAAGAAATTTTCTTTAATGGCACACCCTGTATACTATTTTAAATCAATTAAAAAACCTTAGACCATAAAATTCATAGACACAGTCTCGGCTATATTTTGAAGCCATCATATATATCAAAAAATCAATTTCCTTTACAGGATTCAGTACCTGTTCAAGCCGCAGCCTGGGGAGAACCATAGACCTCACAGCTTCTACAGATCTCTCTATCCCAGGATCATCCGGGACATAGACACCATCGAGACGAATTGGAGGAGCGGCAAACACATCTTGCAGCGAATCAATTGCCGTTCGGAGAACAGCAAGGGCGTCTACTGCTTGCAGTACGACGATCAGAAGATCGTGTCCGGCTTGAGAGACAACACCATAAAGATATGGGACAGAAGTACTTTGCAGTGCACTAAGGTGGGTAAAATACGAGTAAAGAGATTACTTATAGGTAGTTTATTTTTATTATTAATACATTTTTATAAAGTTTCTTTTTTAATTTTATTTTGTAGGTACTTATCGGTCATACGGGTTCAGTACTGTGCCTTCAATATGACGATAAAGTTATCATCAGCGGCAGTAGCGATAGTACCGTTCGCGTTTGGAACGTCAACACTGGGGAAATGGTGAATACGCTGATCCATCATTGCGAGGCCGTTTTGCATCTTAGGTTCAACAATGGAATGATGGTTACATGTTCGAAGGTAAACAATCGTTTATTTTTGGTAGTTTCATGCTCTAGGGAATTATTTTTCCTAGATCTAGTGAATTTTCCTTATATCTAGGGAATTTTTACCTACATTTGTGGACTTTTCCTTAGATTTATTGATTTTTCCATATACCTATTGAATTTTCCTTATATCCAAGAAATTTACCTTAGATCTAGTGAATTTTTATGAGTTCTAGGGAATATTCCTTAGGTTCTCGGGAATTTTTCTTAGATCTAGAGAATTTTCCTAGATTTGGGGAATTTTTCTTAGATCTAGAGAATTTTCCTAGACTAGCGGAATTTTTCTTAGATCTAGGGAATTTTCCGTATAGCTAGGAAAATTCGTTCCTTATATCTAGGAAATTTTCCTTAGATCTATTATTTTTTTATATCTAGGTAATCCCATTTTTCTTGGATTTAGTGAACTTTCCGTAGATCTAATGAATTTTCATTAATTCTAGGAAATATTCCGTAGGTCTCCGGAATTTTTCTTAGATCTAGGGAATTTTCCTAGACCTGGGGAATTTTTCTTAGATCTAGAGAATTTTCCTAGACTAGTAGAATTTTTCTTAGATCAAGGAATTTTCCGTATATCTAGGAAAGTTCGTTCCTTATATCCAGGAAATTTTCCTTAGATCTATTATTTTTTTTATATCTAGGTAATCCCATTTTTCTTGGATTTAGTGAATTTTCCATAGATCTAATGAATTTTCATTAGTACTAGGGAATATTCCGTAGGTCTCGGGTTTTTTCCTTGTGTCTAAGAATTTTCCTTATATCTAAGGATTTTTTGCACGCCTCGGGAATTTTCCTTATGTCTAGGGAATTTTCCTTATGTCTAGGGAATTTTCCTTAGATCTAGGAAATCTTTCCTATATTCTCTAGGATCTAGGAAATTTTCTGTATACCTAGGAAAGTTTTCTTTTGTCTAGGAAATTTACCTTAGATCTAGTGAATTTTCATGAGTTCTAGGGAATATTCCGTAGGTTTCGAGAATTTTCCTTAGATCTACAGAATTTTCCGTATACCTAGGAAAGTTCGTTCCTTATATCCAGGAAATTTTCCTTGGATCTATTATTTTTTTATATCTAGGGAATCCCATTTTTCTTGGATTTAGTGAATTTTCCGTAGATCTAATGAATTTTCATTAGTTCTAGGGAATATTCCGTAGGTATCGGCACATTTCCTTAGATCTAGAGAATTTTCCTAGACTTGGGGAATTTTTCTTAGATCTAGGGAATTTTCCGTATACCTAGGAAAGTTTGTTCCTTATATCCATGAAATTTTCCTTAGATCTATTTTTTTATATCTAGGGAATCCCATTTTTGTGGGTTTAGTGAATTTTCCGTAGATTAATGAATTTTCATTAGTTCTAGGAAATATTTCATAGATCTAGGGATTTTTTCGTACACATCGGGAATTTTCTTTATGTTAAGGGAACTTTTCTTCGCTCTAAAAAAATCTTCCTTAGAATCCAGGAAATTTTCTAGATTTGTGGAATTTTCCTCATAAAGGAAATTTTCTATATACCTGGAAAAATGTCCTTTATCCAAGATATTTTCCTTAGATCTAGTGAATTTTCCTTATATAAATAATATCTAGGGAATACAATTTTCTTTGGATCTAGGGAATTTTTATTAACACTAGGGAATTTTCCGTGGATCTCAGGAATTTTCCTTGTATCTAGGAATTTTTCCTGAGATTGAATTTTTCTTAGGTTTAGAGAATCTAATATGCCTTGGATTTAGGGAATTTTCCTTTGGTATAGTGAACGTTCCTTAAATCTAGGGAATTTTCCATGTGTCGGGAATTTTCGTTAGATCTCGGGAAAGTTAAAGTTGTGAAGGAAGGAAAAATTATGTGGAGGAAAATTTGAAGAGCGAAAAAAATTTTAGAAAGCCTTTTAAGACAATATTTTTTAATAATAATGATATTTAGCAATCGTTTCTTCTGGCAACCCTGTATTTTAGTTCGAGACTATCCATACAGAGTGATCACGGTCGATAGGGTATTTATATATATTTTTTGTTATTTTACAGGACCGTTCAATAGCCGTTTGGGACATGACATCTCAGAGCGAGATAGCACTCAGAAGAGTGCTTGTAGGCCACAGAGCTGCAGTGAATGTGGTCGATTTCGACGAAAAGTATATAGTTTCGGCCAGCGGTGATCGCACCATTAAGGTACTCCATTTTATTTGTTTTTTAGTGTAATTTTTTAATAAAAAATGTCTTTATTTCTGTTTTCAGGTATGGTGCACGTCCTCTTCTGATTATGTACGTACTTTAACCGGTCACAAGAGAGGAATCGCCTGCTTGCAGTATAGAGATAGGTTGGTTGTGAGCGGCAGTTCGGACAATACTATAAGGTACATATTATTTTTATAACAATAAATTTATATGTAGGATACGTAAATATAATACATCCTTCATTTATTCAATAAAATTAAGTTTTTTGAAATTTTTTTGATTCAACCATTTCTGTTCACACCATAAAAATTTTAAAAATGTTTGAATGTTATTGATTACGTTATTTGTTTTCAAGTTATTTAAATTGAATACAAATTCTCTGTTTCAAGCATTTCTGTCTGTACTATAGCAATGATTTTTTTTTCTGTTTTTAGGTTGTGGGACATCGAGTGTGGAGCTTGTCTACGCGTACTGGAAGGTCACGAAGAACTAGTAAGATGCATCAGATTTGACAACAAAAGAATAGTCAGCGGAGCATACGATGGTAAAATCAAGGTCTGGGATCTTCTAGCTGCTCTGGACCCTAGAGCATCGACTAATTCGTTGTGTCTGCGCACTTTGGTGGTAAGTACAAAATGGTGCAAAGTACACAAGTCGTTTTTTCATTATATTTTTTTATGTTTTTTTGCATTATTATTATTTTTTTATTAATTTTAATTATATTCTCCACAGTCATGTTTTTTTCTTTACTTTATAGGAGCATACAGGTCGCGTGTTCAGACTACAGTTTGACGAATTTCAAATAGTGAGTAGTTCTCACGACGACACAATACTTATTTGGAACTTCTTAACTTCGATACCAGAGGGACCTGTGAACAACAGCACAGCGACCACACTAAACACTGGCGTGTCGCCCGAGACTCGTAAGTAATTCTTATATCGCTTCACGAAAAAAAAGTGGTTCGTATATACTTACAATATTTTTTAATATCTCTTTTCTTTTAGCCGATGTTTTTAATGATTTTTTGATATTTTTTTAACGAATTTTGCTTCAAAATAGTTTTTTTAAGAAATTTCACGTTTTCTTATCGAGTAGTTCATTTGAACATTTACTAGTTAAACTGTCTGTTTGAGTAGTTCATTTGTACTGTATGGTAAAATGAAGCCTTTTAAATATTTTTAACTCACTAACGCATTTTTGAGACACCCGTTATAATCTAACTGCTGCCTTATCCGATCTATGAGATCTTTTAATATTGATTTATTTTGCAATTTTCTGAAGAAATTTTATTTTTTATAGCGAGTAGTTCATATGACCGTTTAGTAGTCCAAATGTTTCTTTGAGTAGTTCATTTGTACTATATGGTAAAACGAAGCTTTTTAAATATTTTTAACTCACTAACGCATTTTTGAGACAGCCGGTATAATCTAGCTGTATCCGATCTATGAGATCTTTTAATATTTATTTATTTCGCAATTTTCTGAACGAATTTTATTTTTTCATATCGAGTAGTTCATATGACCGTTTAGTAGTCCGAATGTTTGTTTGAGTAGTTCATTTGTACTATATGGTAAAACGAAGCTTTTTAAATATTTTTAACTCACTAATGCATTTTTGAGACACCCGGTATAATCTAGCTGTATCCGATCTATGAGATCTTTTAATATTTATTTATTTTGCAATTTTCTGAAGAAATTTTATTTTTTATAGCGAGTAGTTCATATGACCGTTTAGTAGTCCAAATGTTTCTTTGAGTAGTTCATTTGTACTATATGGTAAAACGAAGCTTTTTAAATATTTTTAACTCACTAACGCATTTTTGAGACAGCCGGTATAATCTAGCTGTATCCGATCTATGAGATCTTTTAATATTTATTTATTTCGCAATTTTCCGAACGAATTTTATTTTTTCATATCGAGTAGTTCATATGACCGTTTAGTAGTCCGAATGTTTCTTTGAGTAGTTCATTTGTACTATATGGTAAAACAAAGCTTTTTAAATATTAACTCACTAATGCATTTTTGAGACACCCGGTATAATCTAGCTGTATCCGATCTATGAGATCTTTTAATATTTATTTATTTTGCAATTTTCTGAAGAAATTTTATTTTTTATAGCGAGTAGTTCATATGACCGTTTAGTAGTCCGAATGTTTCTTTGAGTAGTTTATTTGTACTATATAGTAAATGAGCATTTTTTTCAATTTATATTTTTTTGCAGCTGTTTGGAGCGAATAACAGTAGAACTGAGACCGATCCACGTACGAACGGTTCATTATTTCAGTTTAATAAAACAAATTTGAAGGATATACAGTGATGGAAATAAGTCGCCTGTACGATCTACAGCGACGGATTACAGTGACACTGACTGACTTTCCAAAAAAAAATACGTATTTTTTCGTTCTTTTCTTTCTTCGAAGCTTAAAAAACAACAAACAACGTTGTATAGATCTCTTAAAACATATTTTTTATTCTTGTTGATGATGTGTGTAAAAAAAACAAAAAAAAAACGAAGTGGTGGTAGTAGTTCAAAAGACTCGTGACTTCGCGATGAGGAACTTTATTAAGATTTATTATATAAATAATTATGTGGATGAATGATAATTTTAAGGTTATATTTCTATATATTTTCGATGTGTGCTAGTGATGATTCCATGACATGTGAAAAAGATTCGTTATTTATTCTCTTCAAAAACTTTGAATTTTCTGGACAAAAAAAGCATAAGAAAAAAAGATCTGAGACTGCTTGACTATAGAAAAAATTACGAGGAAATATTTCTGTACGTTTTCCAAACGATAAGGTTTCTTAGGTTTTCTTTTTTATTTTTTCTTGTCCACGGATTCATTATTTTTTATATTAGACTCGTTCAAGTTAGTAGGTGTGTGGTTGTATAGATGTCGCCGATGACATTTCAAAGGTAGGTTTAAAAAGCACTGTTTTTAGGTTAATTTAATATAATTACTTGCCTCACAAGTCACGACACTGAATTTTGGATGTTACGTCTTACATGACAGTTCATTGAAAAATCACTTTAGGCTGAAACCTTGGGTGTTAGAGAATATTATCACCGATTGTCATTTTAGAGGCAACCGCGACGCCTTTTTTCTCTCGATCTTATGGTATACTTGTCCTAAATTTCTTTGTTGTGACATTTAAAGGCATTTATGGCACTTATTTACCTTATTATTTTTAAAACTAAATAAAAAATGTGGTTACAGTGTGTGCAAAAAGTGATTCGACTTTTTGGACAGCCTGTATATTAATATTCAGCTTCATTAGCTTACGGAACAGTATTTTAATGAAGGCAAAATGCTTGCCGAACTGAAAGAAAAATATACTAGTTAAAATAATACAAAAATAAAGGAGATTTTGCCAAAAAAAATATAAATAAATAATAATTAAATATAATAACGAGGGTAGTTTGTGAAGAAACTAGTAAAAGTGCTTTTGTGATAAACATAATAAAAATCTCTTATTAAGTAGAAAGAATGGGTGTAATTAATTCTATATATGTTATACAGGTTGTCCTAGAATTTTTTTTGATCTATACGAAAAAAAAACGATTTTTTAACAAATTTTGGAAAATTAGACCACATTACTCTTGAGTAAAACTTTTTTTAGTGTGTATCCAAAATTCTAGGACATCCTGTATGCACGAAGCAAGACGGATTAATGAAAATATTTTTTTTTGTATTTATGCGTAATTTTTCGAACAAAGTAATTTTATCAATAAATTGCGGTAAATTTCAGTTTATTTCTAAGTTTTATTGCTGCTTGAAACGTAGAGTTGACCCTGTTGGTCTTTTTCTGTCAATTTGACGTATTTTTTGAAGCCTCATGATCTAGAAAAATACGTTATTCCTTGCAAATTTCCTAAATTTGAAGAATAGTTCGATTATGTCACTCTTTGAAGAAAAAGCAGCAACGTAAGATTCCGACTTGCAAGAAAATATAGCTTTATGCGTGACTGTATTTTTTAGACTTATTTTTATGTACTAATTTGTAAAATTCCCTAAAGTTGTAAATATCTTCTTGTATTAAGTGACTAGTTGTTTAATATAATTGTTTGCATTTATAAAAAAAAAGTTTGTTTTACCTATAATTTATTTGCAAATCCTTTCCGAGATAGACAACCAGCAATACATCGATTCCTAAGAAAACTTCGATACTTTGCGTATTGTTAGTTGCATATGCAATTGTAATCCTGAGAGAATATAGGCAACCAACATTACACTGACTCTTATGGAATGTATTATTAGTTGCATACACAATCACAAATTAGTTTCAAATAACTTCTTGGTCAAAAGGAGAGGAAAGGTTGAAATAAAAACCATTTTTTAGATAAATAAGTTTTTATTTAAAAAAAATCGTATTTTATATATCGAATAGTGAAATCACCACACACCGCTTATATTTTGAAATATATACCTAGGCTACATTCTAAAAAATAAAAACCGAAAAATATCACAATAGGCTTTTCATTTCATTTAGTTTTATATTAATAATAATATAAATAAACAATAATTCTTAACAAGTAGTTGAAAATAACGAAAAAATCGTGAGAAAACGAATTTTAAAAAGTATTTATCGAAAGACAAAGTAAATACTATAAAAGATCGATAATTTTATGTTACAAAGTTTTTTTTTAAACAATGAACTGGCGTGATAATAAATTAAGCAGAGTTCATGCAACTGTATTTTAGTTTAAATTTTACTCTGACATATTTTTCTCAATTACAATCACAGTTATATATTATATAATCCACCTTAAATACAGACTTATAGGATATAGATACAGTTCTTATATTCTTTGACGGGGAATATCCAATATGATTGAAAAAAAAACGGCGTCAGCGATGGCTATGAAATGAAGATCGCTGTCGTTTCATATAAAAAATGGCGGACGCCGTTTTTTTTTTCGATCATACGGTATATGATAAAAAGTAAAACGTCTTAATCAATGCTAAAATTCTGGAAAAAATAAATAGTCAAAAATATTTTGAATCCGCCAAAATGTCTAGACTAATTTATTTTAATTTAGCCAAAGAACAAAATATAATTATTATTCTCCTAGAAATAATGAACACATTTTTTTAGAAATCGTATGTCTGTATGTATAAAGAAAAAAATCATGTTTTTCCAAAATTTATCTTACAAAATTTCAAACGAGGGAGATTTTTTATGACTTTAATACCGAAATTTACCGATAAAATTATGTAAAAGTAAAAGTTTTTTACTGTCGATTTTTTTCGAAATACACCAGCCCTACAGTTACTTTTTTTGCGTAGTTTGCGTGGCGCAACTGCATTTTTTCCTTGTCGGTACGAGACATTTCATCATATTATACATCAGACTACAGAAAAGATCCTTGTATGATCTCGAGCGTTCCAGCATCAGCCATTTTTCCTGAAAATTTCAGAAAAAAAATTAAAATTTTCCCAATTCCATTAGGGATGTGCAATTTTTTTAAAATATCGATAATATTATGGATGCGCGGTACTTTCAATAATATCGATATCGTGAATTGGTAATTAATGTTATAGGTTAGTTAAAAAATAATAATTTATCGAAAAAACTAACCTCAAATCACCTGACGTCTGATTCCGGACCGGCGGAATAGTCTTCGGGCTTGACGATCTGATAGGTTATGAAATATTCCGGATACGCTTGCTCCCCCCTGTATATCACGTACTCGGGGAAGTTCAGGCCTCCCGCCGAAGGCCTACCGACTACGGAATGGTGGCCTGGGGGCGCGTGCGCTATCTTCATGGCGCTGAACTGGAGGAACGACTTGCCCAAGGTCACTCGGCACAGTAACAAATGTCTGGCGAAGAAAATCGAGGTAAAATTATGATTTTATTTTATGCATGTTTTTATAATTTTCAAATAACTACTGGAATATATTTTTATCCCCTCTACTGGGTGTTTAAAATTCGACTTGTATCATTGGGATCTCGGTGTGACATTTAAAGGCATTTATTTACCTTAGTATTTTTAAAAGTAAATAAAAAATGTGGTTACAGGATGCCCAAAAAGCTATTTGACTTTTTGCGCAGCCTGTATATTAATATTCAGCTTCGTTATCTTACGGAACAGTATTTTAATGAAGGCAAAACGTTTGCCGAACTGAAAGAAAATATACTAGTTAAAATAATACAAAAATAAACGAGATTTTGCCAAAAAAAATTATAAATAAATAATAATTAAATATAATAACGAGGGTAGTTCGTGAAGAAAACTAGTAAAAGTGCTTTTGTGATAAACATAATAATAATATCTTATTAAGTAGAAAGAATGGGTGTAATTAATTCTATATATGTTATACAGGTTGTCCTAGAATATTTTGGGATCTATACGGAAAAAAATCGAATTTTTGACAAATTTTGGAAAATTAGACCACATTACTCTTGAATAAAACTTTTTTTAGTGTGTATCCAAAATTCTAGGGCATCCTGTATACACGAAGCAAGACGGTTTGATGAAAATGAAAAGAAAAGAAGATTTTTTGTATTTATGTGTCATTTTTTCGAACAAAGTAATTTTATAAATATATTGCGGTAAATTTCGGTTTATTTCTAAGTTTTATTGCTGAAACGGTAAGAGATACTAGGTGAGAGCCGAATTTGAAACACCCTGTATATTATAATGTATGTTTCATTATTTTTTTAAAAATATTTATAATGAATAACACAACAATTTGATAAAAATTGTACCCAAAAAAAGGCCTTACCTATGACATGCATAACAGCTCCTGTCTTTATGAGTGGGACACCCTGTACCACCTCCTATACCGTAAACGTACTGGTTACTTTTAGAAGAATGTTCGGCAAAGTATATCCCGGCTCCAAACATCCCTGCAATATTTAAAATCATTTTATAGCTACAAAAAATCTATAAAAATCATTTTTTACCTCCTATATAAGCATGTCTTTCATCAAACCCTTTCTGAACTATGGCATTGATGAAGGGCGATCCATGGAACAGCATCCTTTCACTAGGTTGATTATTATTTTCTTCAGCAACTTCCTGTCTTCTGTGGCTGTATCTTTCCCAAAGTTTTCGGTTTTGGACTTTCTGAATCTAGAAAAGAAAAAAAGAAAAATTAAATTTATCATTATTTATAATTTTTTTTATTTTTTTTTGTTTTTTTAATTTATTTTTTGTTTTTTTTATTTTTTTTATCTCTATTTGTTTTCTTAACTCTATTTGTTTTTCTATAAAACTCACCCTAACTATGTTGTATCTGGAGAAAACACCCCCTGCATGACCGTTATCTCTGTGACCTCTGATGCTGTTCTGCATCTCCTCTTCGACTGTTATGAATTCCTTATCATCTGTCAACAGATCGACCAATAGAGTGCCAGGGTTTGTGGGCGTGGTCCATAATCCTCCACAATTGGCCACCAGTCTTTCCATTCCTAAATTAGTAATAAAATAATGACAGAGTTGTTATGTTTTATTGTCTTTTATTAAAAAACCCTGAAAACATTAATAAAATTATATAGTGGAAGAAAAATACCTTTGATGAGTTTGTGTCTGAACCCATAGGCAGATATCCCAATCTGTTTCAAATCTTCGTGCCCCATTTCAGCCAAAATATCCAAAGTTATCTGCTCCCTTTCGAAAATATCCAGCAAATGTTCTAAATTCAAACTGGTCAGGAATTTAGCCACTGAACATATATCACTAACATCTTCTGAGACATTTTCCAGCTTCACTGAAGACCCAGAACCTATAAAACATTAGAAACTCAACATTTAGTGAATCTAACCTAAAATATAAATATATTTTACTCTCTACGATGCTGGTTCGGCTACCGGCGGGTACTACAGGGATCATAAGTTGGACGGCTGCGCCTGACGGCATGACAACAGTTTCGACAGTTACTCCTGTCGTGGCAGTACTTAGTGTCGACGGTACTATGGAAGGACTGGGAGAATGAGCGGGTAAGGCTATCGAGGGTGGTCGTGATATGGTCGCTGCTGTGGTGGGTACACCTGAAAAATGAAGTTACTTTGGTTAAAGATCCTTTTTTCCCTTGCATACAACTTAGAAATAATTAATTCATATTTTTGGCAAATTTTTTTACCAAGACCAAGACCTTACCTTGCTGGGATGCCATAGCATCTTGCAACAGACACCTGACGTCATCGGCGGACGCCAGATCTACCGGAGCTTGTGCCTCCTGATTTTTCATGAAGGGATCCGCCCCATGAGCAAGCTGCAACGCAAAAACCAAAATATCGTCACTCGGTTTCCAAAATACATTTTTAAACACTCACCAATAAAGCGCAGAGCTGAGTCCTGCCTTTTTGAGCAGCCTCGTGTAGCGGGGTGAATCCCCACTTGTCAGTCGCGTTCACTACAGTGCTGAATTTGATTAGTAAGGCGGCTATGTCCAGATGGCCATAGCTTGAAGCGTTGTGTAGAGGTATCAGACCTCCTTTGTCTTGAGCATTGACATCCGCACCGTTTTCTAAGAGGTATTCTGCTACCTCTACATTATTATATCCAGCTACAGATTAAAAGAAGTATAATTACTAACAAGAACTTTATTAAGGATTTTTTTTAATGTAGTGAAATTATTTTTGAATTCCTCTTGAGGTATATCTTTGAATTTATTGTAGCGATAATGTATTTTCGAATTTATCGTATTCTTAATTCACTGAGAGAGTATGTTTTTGAATTAATCGCCGGTATTGTATTTTTAATTCATTGCGAAATACTATACCTTTGAATTTATTCTAAAGCGCAAATTTTTGAATTTATTATGGGGAATGTAATTTTGAATTTATCGCGGGGAGTTTTTTGAATTTATCGTGTTCTTAATTCACTGAGAGAGAGTATATTTTTGAATTTATTGCAAAGCGCAAATTTTTGAATATATCGCCAGGAGAGTATTTTTGAATTAATCGCAGGTAGTGTGTTTTTAATTCATTGTGAAATAGTATACCTTTGAATTTATTCTAAAGCGCAAATTTTTGAATTCATTATGGGGAATGTATTTTTGAATTTATCGCGGAGAGTTTTTTTGAATTTATCGCAAGTAAGGATTGCGAGTATATTTTTAAATTTATTATGAATTATGACCATATTCTTGAATTTATTATGCTGGATTTATTGATGAATTTATTGCGGGAACTGTATTTTACGAATATAATTATTGACAAAAACTTTAATAAAAAAAATAAAAGGACTTTTTTGTCTTTAATATAAATTAAAGAAAAAATAGTAAGTACCTGCTAGGTGTAAAGGTGTAGAATTGCGTCCTTGAGCATCCCTACAGTTAATATTCTCCGCGGTTACCAGCCTCTGAACCCTGGCCAAGTTTCCTTTTTTGGCTGCATCTAACAAGGCGGCGTTACCTCTCAGAAGATCGGCCACGTCTTGATCTCCTTCCCTGACCAAATCCAGTGGCGTAGCGCCGTCCCTGTTCTTTTTACTTGGGTCAGCACCATGCTGTGACAAAAACATTATACGCCAATTTTTAAAAAATATATAAAGAAAAATAATTACCTTCAAAAGTAGTTTGACAATTTCATACTTTCCTTTAGCAGCCGCTTCATGCAGTGGGGTAAATTTCCACCAATAATGATTGGTACCGGCGTCAGCGATGGCTATGAAATGAAGATCGCTGTCGTTTCATATAAAAAATGGCGGACGCCGTTTTTTTTTCGATCATACGGTATATGATAAAAAGTAAAACGTCTTAATCAATGCTAAAATTCTGGAAAAAATAAATAGTCAAAAATATTTTGAATCCGCCAAAATGTCTGGACTAATTTATTTTAATTTAGCCCAAGAACAAAATATAATTATTATTCTCCTAGTAATAATGAACACATTTTTTTAGAAATCGTATGTCTGTATGTATAAAGAAAAAAATCATGTTTTTACAAAATTTATCTTATAAAATTTCAAACGAGGGAGATTTTTTATGACTTTAATACCGAAATTTACCGATAAAATTATGTAAAAGTAAAAGTTTTTTACTATCGATTTTTTTCGAAAATACACCAGCCCTACAGTTACTTTTTTTGCGTAGTTTGCGTGGCGCAACTGCATTTTTTCCTTGTCGGTACGAGACATTTCATCATATTATACATCAGACTACAGAAAAGATCTTTGTATGATCTCGAGCGTTCCAGCATCAGCCATTTTTCCTGAAAATTTCAGAAAAAAAAATTAACATTTTCCCAATTCCATTAGGGATGTGCAATTTTTTTAAAATATCGATAATATTAGGGATGGGCGGTACTTTCAATAATATCGATATCGTGAATTGATAATTAATGTTATAGGTTAGTTAAAAAATAATAATTTATCGAAAAAACTAACCTCAAATCACCTGACGTCTGATTCCGGACCGGCGGAATAGTCTTCAGGCTTGACGATCTGATAGGTTATGAAATATTCCGGATACGCTTGCTCCCCCCTGTATATCACGTACTCGGGGAAGTTTAGGCCTCCCGCCGAAGGCCTACCGACTACGGAATGGTGTCCTGGGGGCGCATGCGCTATCTTCATGGCGCTGAACTGGAGGAACGACTTGCCCAAGGTCACTCGGCACAGCAACAAATGTCTGGCGAAGAAAATCAAGGTAAAATTATGATTTTATTTTATGCATGTTTTTATAATTTTCAAATAACTACTGGAATATATTTTTATCCCCTCTACTGGGTGTTTAAAATTCGACTTGTATCATTGGGATCTCGGTGTGACATTTAAAGGCATTTATGGCACTTATTTACCTTAGTATTTTTAAAAGTAAATAAAAAATGTGGTTACAGGATGCCCAAAAAGCTATTTGACTTTTTGCGCAGCCTGTATATTAATATTCAGCTTCATTATCTTATGGAACAGTATTTTAATGAAGGCAAAACGCTTGCCGAACTGAAAGAAAATATACTAGTTAAAATAATACAAAAATAAAGGAGATTTTGCCAAAAAAAAATATAAATAAATAATAATTAAATATAATAACGAGGGTAGTTCGTGAAGAAACTAGTAAAAGTGCTTTTGTGATAAACATAATAAAAATCTTTTATTAAGTAGAAGGAATGGGCGTAATTAATTCTATATGTGTTATACAGGTTGTCCTAGAATTTGTTGGGATCTATACGGAAAAAAAATCATTTTTTTACAAATTTTGAAAAATTAGACCACATAACTCTTGAGTAAAACTTTTTTTTAGTGTGTATCCAAAATTCTAGGACGTCCTGTATACACGAAGCAAGACGGTTTGATAAAAATGAAAAAAAAAAAAGATTTTTTTGTATTTATGTGTAATTTTTCGAACAAAGTAATTTTATAAATAAATTGTGGTAAATTTCAGTTTATTTCTAAGTTTTTTTGCTGAAACGGTAAGAGATACTAGGCGAGAGCCGAATTTGAAACACCCTGTATATTATAATGTATGTTTCATTATCTTTTTAAACTTATTGACAACGAATAACACAAAAATTTGGAAAAAATAGTACCAAAATAAAGCCCCTACCTGTGACACGCATAACAGCTCCTATCTTTATGAGTGGGACACCCTGTACCACCTCCTATACCGTAAACGTACTGGTTACTTTTAGAAGAATGTTCGGCAAAGTATATCCCGGCTCCAAACATCCCTGCAATATTTAAAATCATTTTATAGCTACAAAAAATCTATAAAAATAATTTTTTACCTCCTATATAAGCATGTCTTTCATCAAACCCTTTCTGAACTATGGCATTGATGAAGGGCGATCCATGGAACAGCATCCTTTCACTAGGTTGATTATTATTTTCTTCAGCAACTTCCTGTCTTCTGTGGCTGTATCTTTCCCAAAGTTTCCTGTTTTGGACTTTCTGAATCTAGAAAAAAACAAAAATAAAATTTATCATTATTTATTATTTTTTTATTTCTTTATTTTTTTAATTTTTTTATTCCTTTTTCTTTTATTTTTTCATTTATTTATTTATTTTTTATTTTTTTATCTCTCTAACTCTCTGTTTTTCTATAAAACTCACCCTAACTATGTTGTATCTGGAGAAAACACCCCCTGCATGACCGTTATCTCTGTGTCCTCTGATGCTGTTCTGCATCTCCTCTTCGACTGTTATGAATTCCTTATCATCTGTCAACAGATCGACCAATAGAGTGCCAGGGTTTGTGGGCGTGGTCCATAATCCTCCGCAATTGGCCACCAGTCTTTCCATTCCTAAATTAGTAATAAAATAATGACAGAGTTGTTATGTTTTATTGTCTTTTATTAAAAAACCCTGAAAAATATTAATAAAATTATATAGTGGAAGAAAAACACCTTTGATGAGTTTGTGTCTGAACCCATAAGCAGATATCCCAATCTGTTTCAAATCTTCGTGCCCCATTTCAGCCAAAATATCCAAAGTTATCTGCTCCCTTTCGAAAATATCCAACAAATGTTCTAAATTCAAACTGGTCAGGAATTTAGCCACTGAACATATATCACTAACATCTTCGGAGACATTTTCCAGCTTTACTGAAGACCCACTACCTAAAAAACATTAAAAACTCACCATTTAGTGAATCTAACCTAAAAAAAAAAATATTTTACTCTCTACGATGCTGGTTCGGCTACCGGCCGGTACTACAGGGATCATAAGTTGGACGGCTGCGCCTGACGGCATGACAACAGTTTCGACAGTTACTCCTGTCGTGGCAGTACTTAGTGTCGACGGTACTATGGAAGGACTGGGAGAATGAGCGGGTAAGGCTATCGAGGGTGGTCGTGATATGGTCGCTGCTGTGGTGGGTACACCTGAAAAATGAAGTTACTTTGGTTAAAGATCCTTTTTTCCCTTGCATACCACTTAGAAATAATTAATTCATATTTTTGGAAAAATTTTTTACCAAGACCAAGACCTTACCTTGCTGGGATGCCATAGCATCTTGCAACAGACACCTGACGTCATCGGCGGACGCCAGATCTACCGGAGCTTGTGCCTCTTGATTTTTCATGAAGGGATCCGCCCCATGAGCAAGCTGCAACGCAAAAACCAAAATATCGTCACTCGGTTTCCAAAATACATTTTTAAACACTCACCAATAAAGCGCAGAGCTGAGTCCTGCCTTTTTTGAGCAGCCTCGTGTAGCGGGGTGAATCCCCACTTGTCAGTCGCGTTCACTACAGTGCTGAATTTGATTAGTAAGGCGGCTATGTCCAGATGGCCATAGCTTGAAGCGTTGTGTAGAGGTATCAGACCTCCTTTGTCTTGAGCATTGACATCCGCACCGTTTTCTAAGAGGTATTCTGCTACCTCTACATTATTATATCCAGCTACAGATTAAAAGAAGTATAATTACTAACAAGAACTTTATTAAGGATTTTTTTTAATGTAGTGAAATTATTTTTGAATTCATCTTGAGGTATATCTTTGAATTTATTGTAGCGATAATGTATTTTCGAATTTATCGTATTCTTAATTCACTGAGAGAGTATATTTTTGAATTAACCGCTGGTACTGTATTTTTAATTCATTGCGAAATACTATACCTTTGAATTTATTCTAAAGCGCAAATTTTTGAATTTATTATGGGGAATGTATTTTTGAATTTATCGCGGGGAGTTTTTTGAATTTATCGTGTTCTTAATTCACTGAGAGAGAGTATATTTTTGAATTTATTGTAAAGCGCAAATTTTTGAATATATCGCGAGGAGAGTATTTTTGAATTAATCGCAGGTAGTGTGTTTTTAATTCATTGCGAAATAGTATACCTTTGAATTTATTCTAAAGCGCAAATTTTTGAATTTATTATGGGGAATGTATTTTTGAATTTATCGCGGAGAATTTTTTGAATTTATCGCAAGTAAGGATTGCGAGTATATTTTTAAATTTATTATGAATTATGACCATATTCTTGAATTTAGTATGCTGGATTTATTGATGAATTTATCGCGGGAACTGTATTTTACGAATATAATTATTGACAAAAACTTTAATAAAAGAAATAAAAAGGACTTTTTGGTCTTTAATATAAATTAAAGAAAAAATAGTAAGTACCTGCTAGGTGTAAAGGTGTAGAATTGCGCCCTTGAGCATCCCTACAGTTAATATTCTCCGCGGTTACCAGCCTCTGAACCCTGGCCAAGTTTCCTTTTTTGGCCGCATCTAACAAGGCTGCGTTACCTCTCAGAAGATCGGCCACGTCTTGATCTCCTTCCCTGACCAAATCCAGTGGCGTAGCGCCGTCCCTGTTCTTTTTACTTGGATCAGCACCATGCTATGACAAAAACATTATACGCCAATTTTTAAAAAATATATAAAGAAAAATAATTACCTTCAAAAGTAGTTTGACAATTTCATACTTTCCTTTAGCAGCCGCTTCATGCAGTGGGGTAAATTTCCACAAATCCGCCACATTGACACTTGCACCATGTTTTACCAGCAATTCAGTCACTTCATAGTGTCCGTAGGAACAGGCATTGTGTAAAGGAACTAGACCACTGTAAAATTTTTATTTTAAAACAAAATATTTCTTTTAAAAAAAGAGCGTAATAGTACCCTTTGTCTTTGGCATGGACGTCAGCTCCTTGCTGTAGTAAAAACTCCACCACTTGCACTCTGTTATAGCCGGAGGCAAAATGTAGAGGTGTTGAGTGTCTACCGTCCAAATCTCTAAAAAAACACAAATTGGAGAACAATTTAAAAAGTTATAGGTCCATCAAGCGGACAACTCTTCTATTTGTCAAGAATTTATTGTGGAGGAGTGTATTTTTGAATTTATCGCAGAATGATTGAATTTTTCGTGAGTATGTTTTGGATCTTATCGCGAGTAGCTCGGTTTTGAATTAATAGCGAAGGAATGTATTTTTAAATTTATTGTAGAGTGAATTTTTGAATTTATCGCGCAAAACAAGTTTTTGAATTCATCGCGAGGGAGTGTATGTTTGAATTTATTCGTGGATGGATATTTTTGAATTTATCGCGGGTAGCTCGTTTTTTAATTTACGGAGAGGGAGCGTATTTCTGAATTTATCGTGTGGACGTATTTTTGAATATATCGCGGGGAAGGTATTTTTGATTTTATCGTGGGAAACGTGATTTTGAATTCATCGGGAGTTACATATTTTTGGCTTTGTTAGATATTTTGGAATCTATTGTGGGGACGTATTTTCAAATTATCGGGAATGCATTTTTGAATTTATCGCGGAGAATTTACTCTTAGTGGGTATTTTTTTACCTGCAATTCACTATGTGCGGATATGACCCCAAATATCTCTGAACCTGGTCCAAATCACCAGCTTTTGCTGCTTCCAGCAACTGGCCTTCAACATCAGAAGGAACTGCAGGCGGATCTTGAAGGATTTTCAACACGTTTTCGGAAGCAACCTGCGAGGCAGTGTATCCTTGCAATGAAACTATGCTCGTATCGACGTTGTAAGACAGCAAAATCCTACAGGCTTGGACGTTGTCATCTCTGGCACATCTGTGAAGAGCTGTTTGGCCCAAACCGTCCAATCCATTCACCTACAGGGCGAGAAAAAAAAATTGTACTAATTCCCGAAAATAAGACTGATATATTTGAACTACTTTTGCTCCGTTTCTTAGAAGAACATCCATGAGATCATAGTACGAATTGTCGGCTGCTATGTGAAGAGGAGTGAGAAATTCTTTGTTTTTCTCGTTCAGAGGCGCACCCTTTCGAATGAGAGACTCCAGAAGCTGTGAAAAAAATCATTTTATTAATCACAATACGAGTTTGAAAATGAAATTTTACCTGTTTCCTTTTGGGGTACATGGAAGCAACAATGACATGAACAGCTGTGTCCCCTGTATAGGGATGCTTAAACCCTACAATATCGGCAGTGAGGTATTTCTTAAGTTTAGTATTGTCAGCTTGTTTGGCAGCTTCTAACAGCAAATGACCCTTAAATTCATCTGAAAAAAATCATAGATTTTGAGAATATGTGACTTAAGAGGAAACTATAACATTTTTTTTTTAATGAAACTTACAGGCTAATCTATCTTGAAGTTCTCTGGTTGGCGCAACATCAATAGAAGACTTTGAATGACAGTTTATTTGATAAGGATCAGCACCTAATGTGAAAAGAACATTTTTTTTTAATAAATAACCTCAAAAATTCCAATTTTCTTACCTTCGCTCAATAACAAAGAACAAACTTCCACCCTAGACTTCGAGGCTGCCTCATGCAATGGGGTAAAAGCCCACAAATCATTAGCATTGACATTTGCACCATGTTTTATCAACATTTCTGTCACTTCAAAATGTCCATACGAACAGGCGTTGTGCAGTGGAACCAAACCACTAGAAAATATAGAATAAACAATCAAAATAAATATACAAAGCACTTTTTTACTTACCCTTTATCTTTGGCATGAACATCAGCTCCGTTTTGCAACAGCAACTGCACTACTCTACCCCTATTATACCCTGCAGCCAAATGCAAAGGCGTAGATCTCCTTCCATCACTAGCATGACAGTTTACATTCAACGGATTCAACAATGACAACAGCCTGTCTTCTGTACCCGACCTTGCAGCCTCTAGAAGTTCATCTTTACGGTATTCCCCAGTCAAAACCGGCCTTGTAATTGAATCTGCCACTTCTAATGGTGTTTTTCCTTCAGTATTACGTATATTTACATCAGCTCCATGCTGTAGTAACGCTATGCAAACATCTATCTTTCCTTTAATCGCTGCTTCATGTAGGGGTGTATAATTCCAATTGTCTCGGGTATTAGGACTAGCACCAGCTTCAAGAAGCAGCCTGACTACATCAGCATGGCCAAAGGAGCAGGCGTTGTGTAGAGGATGCAAACCTCCATCGTCTCGGGCTTGTATTGAAGCCCCAGCTGACAGAAGAAACTCTACGACATCTCTTCTACCATACCCTGTAATTTTATTATCTTTCACGTGTTTCTCAGGCATTGAACGAGTTATTAATGCAAGGAAACCGTTAAAAACTGCGAATATATTAATTGTAACTGTTTTAAAACCTACCTGCAGCAAAATGTAAAGGGGTTGACTTTCTCCCGGCCGTGTCCCTGGCATTAACTGTCGTTGGAGTGACCAATTTCCTGACCCTGGCTATATCGCCCACTTTGCAAGCCTCGAAAAGGTCCCTTAGGGGATCGTTGGCACTGGGTAGAGGGTCCATGGATGTTTTTAGCACATCTCTTCTGCTGCTGGTCGCCATAACACTCCGTGCATTAAAACATGGCGAAAAATCGCGAATTCCTGGACTCGGAACACCACGACGCGACGGATTGTGATTATAGGTCGGGTGAAAGTCTTTTTTGCATCACTATTTTGTAATATTTTGGCTCAAACACGTTGAGTCATACCGTTTTTGATTCTTTGTTTGTTGATCGAAAGCAGCCGTCGATAAAATTGTGGAACTGGAATGGGAAATGTTCTCGATACGAGACGGTTATTTTTATCTTCGTCTTTCTCAAGTGATTGTCTGGAAACGGAAACGAGGACGTATGGCCTAATCTTTTTATTTGGTGGGCTGTTACGTCAGAAGACAAGGACGTTGACGTCAAACTACTCTAATTTGTTTAAAAATTAACAGACCACCAAATGTAGCTCAAAAATCCCAAGGTAATGGTAAAGGGTATATCAGGTAAGGAGGGTTTGTGAGCTAGTTTGTATATTTTATCATGGTGTGTTTTAAGTGGCTGACCCACGGCTGACCTTTTGAGGCGTCTATTTGCTGCACTTGTTCACAGATACGACGCAGACGTACCTGAATCTCGTAGACGTTTCCTACAGTTGGTAAGTTTGGTATTTTATGCTACTATCACAGGCTGCTTACTATACACGTATACAGCGAGAAAATAACACAGAAATTGTATATTTACGTATTAAAAACTATTAAAAAGGGTCCCATTATTCAAATTTTTCCTTTGGCGCGTTTAATTGATTACAGCGCCATTCTGATTTAGTGAGAATTTTTGGAACTACTGTCAATACTATTATGGCGCCATCGTACAGGAAGTTTCAAAAGTAAGCAAATACAGGTTTCTGCTTTTTACTATGTACTGGTGGCGCCATCGTGGATTAAATATTTCAAATAGCCATTTACAGATTTCTATAAAAAAAAAACAGCTAGTGCTCTCTACCGTTAAATAGTTGAACTTCGGTTTAAATTTTCTTATAATTTTAAAGAAATCTGTAATTTTTAGTTCCCAAAAAAATTTAAGTAAGAGCCATCTATTAATAGAATTTTATACTAAACTTTATTCTAACCCTAGAAAAAATATATTTTTTTTCTATTATAAAATAAATGGTTTATTTTCAGTTTAATAACAAATCTACTGGTTAAATTAAAATGTACGATGTATATAATATACTTCATAAATAATTGCTAATATTATTTATCTACCATTCATATTTTTAAGTGTAATCTGTGAAGACATAAAGTATAGAGACGTAACTTTTTTTATTACAGATATACAGATGTATTAATACAGTGATAAGAGCCCCTTATGAAGATAAGAAAGGAAAATACATCAAGGAAAATGGAAAGGAATGAGATTTTCTTTTAGGAAGATGTGAACTTGCGTAGAATTTCACAAGAAAACCTCGCCGATGGTATTCTGCTTTTCAACGAGTGTGTGCCAAAAAAGAGTAAAAGCTTTAGCAACAAGATTGGAATCCTGTTGTCTTGCTTCTGCTTTTTATTGTTGCCTTCAAACGAATCCTACAAATAATGCTTCAGAAAACTATACTATTCTTACACTGTACCTCCCGAACCTGCTTTTTTCTTTGATATAAGATAATTTAGATATTAATGGTTGTTGTACACTGTTGGAAATGTATTATTGTTATTGTTTGTTAGTGGTATAAGGTAAACTGTTTCTTTTCATATTGTTTCGTTGTGTTTTATAATTTGTTGCAATTGTGTATAAAGTGAATAGTGAAAAGAAGCCAAGGAATTACCTAATATCACAGCTAATATGCTAGAAAATATACATATCTTTATGTTCTTTTACTGTATAAATATCTTTTTATTTTTTTTAGAAATATACCCAAGTTACTGGAAATGTGAAAAGCGGATGGCCGGTATACATCAGAAAGAAAATTCAATAGAAAAATCAACAAGCCATCCAAGAACTTCTGCTATTTGAGCTGTATATGTCTAACAATAAAACCATAATTAATTGTGTTAATTTAAACTTTTTTTTTTCTAATAAATTTTATTAAAGTTTTATTGTAGTTTCCTCAAAGTTTCCTTTAAATCCTTTGAATAGTCTAAAGACAACGGAACACACATTAATATTGGTGTATTACTGGTTACAAAAAGAGAAAAAAAAACAAAATTTTAAATGTAAGTTCAATAAGTATTATTAATCTAGTTGCCTTATTAATATTAGTACATTAATTTAATAACATATAAACTCATTCATAGTCTAGAACTATACGATTCTCTATATAGATTTGATTTCCTCTACCTCAAAACAGTCATATCTAGTACCAAAAAAGAGCATTTTTAAAAATATTTTTCTCGTTTGATTTAAATTGGAAATCGTTGACCAACGAGCTCGAACAGTTAGACTCATTTACAAAAACGTTAATTACTCAAAAACTAATTAAGATATCGAAACGCGCTTAGTGCCATTCGATAGGGAATTCAACCCTCTATCTGTACACAAACTTACAACCCCCTACGGCATACTTTATTTTTTGGAGCAAAAATGAGCAAAGGGGTTAACCTTAGAAAATTTTTGGCCCAAAAAATAAAGGGTGTACTAGGGGGTTGTAATTTTGTGTGCAGATAGAGGGTTGAATTCCCTATCGAATGGCACCAAGCGCGCCCCGATAGCTCTTTTAGTTACGGAGTTATTAGCGTTTTAATTTCGAAAACGAGGTCAAAGTGTTAGAGTCAACAAAATTCAGCTTTTCTCTGCAATGTTAAAAATTTGTTGGAGGTGTTTAAAAATTTCGCATGGGGCAACCAAATCTCGTGAATTTTTGTCATCAAAAATTTAATTTTGAACAAGTATGAAATATTTTTCAGAATCGAATTTTTTAACGTATATTTTATACCTATTGCGATTGTATTATTTTTAGTTTGCCATTATATATTTTAGGTTGCTATTTTATTTTATTATATTTAGTAAAAGCTCTAAGAGTTTATTTGTTTCTTTTATTTGATATAGTAAAGGAATTTTGCTATAAGTAAAACACATGTTTTATATATTTAAATATTTATTACAAAATATTCGAATAGAACATTCATGTTGGCAGGGTAAATAATTGCAATATATATTAGGTCTAATAATAAATTCTAATAAATTATTTATATCCTATTCTAATTATACACAATATAAGTTATTCTATATAATTATACATAATAATAAAGTAAGTAAATATATCTACAGGTAAAATAAAATTTTTATTTTTTTATCACTGATTATAACACTTTTATTTATTAACATACATCATTTTATTAACAATAGTAATATAAAAAGAATATTAACATCCAAGGTGTTGGCGGACATGCTGATGTCTATGTGGAAGTAGGAAAATCTTCTAGCTACCCTTCTAGAAAATCTTGATTCTGTAATAAGTATATAGAATCGATTAATTATTTGTTCACTAACTAGCTTGATTAAAAACTTTTCTATAACTTTAAATAACCATTTAATTTACAGAGTACAAAAAATATTACAAGATATATCGAAATTTTCGTAGTATAAAGAACTTTTTCCTTAAATTACTATTAATTCAAGGAAAAATTATACTTAAGTTAGTCTTATCTGTAATTGAAAAGTATTTTGATTTTAATAATTAAAAAACTGTTAAAAATTAAATTAAAAAAATCAAATTCCGTGTATAGGCAACTCTATATACACTTTAATGTATTTAGAGTTGCCTAAAAATAAAAATTATGTAAAAACTTATGTACCTTTAGTTGCCTATACATAAGTACACATGGCGCCAAATAATTTTATTTGAAATTAAATCATTTATATCTACATATTTAACAAAATACAACAATATTAAATATTTATTGAACATATTTCACGTAAAAAAACCTAATTTACCTAAAATCATTTAGCTTTCTCTTCAATGATGAATTTGATTTCATTCTCAATCCACTGTTGATTGTTGATTTGCATCTGTCCCAAAAGTCTTTGTTCCAAAGCAATACAGTATCCCATTCAAAAACTCAATTTTAAAAAGAATGAAAAGTAAACCAACAAGAAAATGAATCCAAAATTATGAATTCCATGTAGCCATCAATAGAAATGAAATCAAATATCAAATAGCAGTAAAATAAACAACAAAATCTATATAGACAATATAGAAATAAAATGGCCTTGTGTAAAAAAAACTATATGTATAAAAAACGAGCGATGAACTTAGAACAGTTTTAGGAGAATAATACAAAAAATTATATATGTAGTTATATACATATAAAAAGACTTAGAAATACGACCAATGGAGGGGTTTATAGAATTCATGAATGGCATTCCGATAATGAAGAAAATATGAGAGACAAATAGTGAAATAGAGTTATGATAAATTGAAAAAAATGAAAAACGAAAAAAAAAATAACCAATTCTATACAGGCAATACAAATGTTGAAATATTATTGAAGAGTGATGAATTCCAATAAAAAATATGAGTATAAATAATAATGGAATAGAGATACTATGATGAATTGGACAAAGTGGCATAAAAATGAGAGATGAATTGTGAGAAAATTCAGAAGAATGACAAAAAAAAACAAATATACAGGGTGTTTCAAAACAAATGCGAAAAACTTCAGGGGGCGATTCCTTGTTCAAAATAAAGGGTAGTTTGCTTCATAAACGTTGGGTCAAAAGTCAACCATTAGGGAGATATCGCGGTACAAAGATGGCGGAAAAATAATGTTTTTATTTTTTATCTTGAAAACGAAAAGAGATAGACTAATAAAATTTTATGGAAGCATTACTGTTATGAAAACACACTTTCTGGTAATTTTTTCACTTTTTTTAAAATGAGTGGAAGGGGTTGAAATAAACTACCCCTATCATTCTTGTTAACGAAATTTAAAGAAAAATCTTATCAAACACATGCAAAAAAATTAATTTGGATAGTTTAGTATGTTTAGAAACTTTTTTATCTCTTGTATTTTTTTGATAAAACTCACCGATTTGAAATTAAAAAATAAAATGTAAAGCATTACATGTCAGGACAAAAAACATTTTCTGATAAAGAATCTAGTGGGCTGGTTTGGTTTGGTCGGCCGCTGTTACTTTTTAGGATGTTCCTAATATTATTTTATTTGACATTACTCTACTGCAATACGTTATTATCTAGATGATTATTATTATCGTTATTATCACTAGATTCTTAATCTAAAAATGTTTTTTGTCCTGACATGTAATGCTTTACATTTTATTTTTTAATTTCAAATCGGTGAGTTTTATCAAAAAAACACAAGAGTATTAGAAAAGTGACACCACAGTTTATGAAACATTTTATAGAATTGGTAAATAATGATATTATTCCCACATATGTGAGTCAAGCTATTATAGAAAAATGAAAGTTAACTATACCATAAACAAAATGAACTAAAATTCTAAGTACAGGGTATATACCAAATAAATAAGACAAATAAATAAGATCTATAGAAAAAACAGTCACTGGAATAGCTTATAGAATTGAAAAATGATGAGATAACCACAATCAAAAAAATATAGGAGGCAAGCTATTATAAATAAATAACTAGTGTAAATAAGTTAATCATAAACATAATTAAGTTAAATTCTAAGTAGATGGTATCATACCAAAAAGAAAAAGAATTTAAGTGACCAAAAGCCAAAAACTGGCTCAAAATAAAAATAGTTGGTCTAAATAATAATAAGGAACCATAAAAATGTAACCCAGAGACTCACTGATATTTTTTTCCTACTTTAAATATAGAAATCATGAAATCCACTGATAAAATTTTAGATATACTTATAAGTCCTGATGTATTGTTGGTAATATTTGTGACAAGGATAACTGTACTGCCCTGGAACTGTATACATCCATCGATTAGTTGAGGATAATCTGTAAAAAAAAATAAATAGTATTACACTTCAATAATTATACTATAATAATTGTTTTTTTTTGTTAAGATTAAATATATCTTAAAAAATATGGTTGGTTTGTTAATAAACATTTAATAGATTTATTATTATTATGAAATAATAAATAAAACTTACTTTTAATCAGATAATGGAAGACAACTAATAATGGACAACTTGTAAATCAGAATGATGGCCAAACTTCAGGATTATACAAGGGGTGACCCAGGCCTCTTCTTTTAGATGGTCTCTATGTGAGTGTTGGTTTGTATTGTTTGTATTATTAATATTCCTAAAAAACATAATTATTAAAGCATTATATTAAAACAATGCAAAATTGTTAACTTAAATACGACGACAGTGTCTAGTATTAAATATCGTCCCATTGCTGCCAAAAGTCACTAACTTACTTTTTGTTACTTCCGAGAAAAACGCGTCTTTTGTGATAAAGATGAATTGCATTGCATAAAGATGTTATAGTTAGTAACTATTCGGTATCAAAATAAAACATAAATAGCCAAAAATCGTAGCTGATGACATTTTCAATCGATTCTCCACTTCAAAATATAGTTAGTGATTGAATTTTTGGTTGTTCGGAAAATGTTAGTTAGTGACTTTTGGCAGCAATAGGACGATATTATGCGTGTAAAAGTATTTTTATATCCGAAAGTATTAAAATTATTGAGAATAGGGACCCCCTTTATGTATACTAACACTGACTTATCCTAAAAGGCGTACTTGTTTGCCTATATAAATAAACACCTAAAAAGTTATCTTTAGGAATAAAAAACATCTTTAAACTCACAAACAATACCAAAAAAAAGTGATTCAAGAAATATGAAGTATCTCTAAATATAAAGCAATATTCTAAGTAACTACGGTTTTAATGTCCAATAGAGAGATCGAGGAAAGCATATATGATTTTATACACCCGATTTTGAAAAAGAAAATTATGAAAATGGAAAAAATGTATCAGCTTCTGATGATGTAATTGAAGGATTTAAGTGAAAAAAAACTGTAGAAAAAAGGCAAGATAATGGGTACTTACATTTTCAGGAGATTAAACGGGCCTTAAGGAACAGAATAAACTCAAATAGTGCACAGAAAAATCAATTTTTCTATCAAATATCAGAAAAATTGTAAGAGCGACATAACTGCTTGCTGTTAAACGGAAAATGACTCACTGTCAACGTTGTCAGATTGAACACATGTAAAACAAAATGGTAACTTTTCGCTGCATAAATAATAATGATGTGCCTAAAAGAAAATATATTATTTATTCTACTGAAACAAAGTTTGTATTATATGCTTATTACATTGATCATGATTTTGTAACGCTTCAATTCATCTTACATTTTAGAAATATATTGCTTTAAATTAATTTCAGGATTTCGCTGACATCTTGGCAACATTGGAAAAAATTTTAGTTCAAAAATGTCTCACTTTTTCCACCATGGCGCCACTAGCGTTCTTCTTCTTTTTCGTATTTCAGGGCTGAAATGAACAGTAACCACAGAATAAAAGTATGCCCTTCTTCTTTTTTTATATTTTTGGCACGCAACATGAGTACCCACAGATTTGATACAAATTTCCTCTTCTTTCCACTTTTAAGTGGCTTGAACTTATATAGGACATTCAGCCAGTGTCCAGAAAAAAGGGGAGATTCCAAATTTTAATCTATGGTTAATTGTTAGACAAAGACAACACCTAAAATAAACAAGGACAAAGAATCAAAGTATCATAAAATTGCCATATAACAGAAAAATAAAATAACAGTATGCTTTTATTCAGCCTAAATTTTTAAAAACACTCTGTAAAAAGAATTGTACCAGTTCCTAGTCATCATGGCTTCAGTACCATCAGGATCTAACGTATTTATAAACCACATTTCTCCATCGTTTTCTTATTGATTCCATTTCTAGACGTCCGTCCAAGAATTTTCCATAAGGGTACCGAAAAACGGCCAGAGAAAGTACCACGTAATGAGATTCAACGGTACGTTGGGCGTCGATTTTGGAAAATGGACTCACGTGAAAATGGAAAGGGAGAACAACATGAAAGAGTTCAAGGGGATCGAAGAGGAACAGCCAAAGTCTGTTTGAATTACGTTTTATATGAGTAGAATAACATTATTTGTTGAAAAAACTAGGTTTGGAGCGGGATCCGAGTTCGGTAGGGAGGCTAAAGAGGAAGCTAGACGCAAAAAACTGGGTATTGTAGCTAAAAAGTATAGACCCGATGATCAGCCTTGGATTTTAAAAAGTCACGGAAGCACAGTGAAGAAATTCAAAGGTCTGAGACTAACGAATTTATCTCATAATGCAATTTAGAGGTGTTTATTTAATTCCTTTTATTGTTTTTAGGAATCAGGGAAGGGGGTGTCTCAGAAAACACAGCATATTATGTTTTCACGCATGCAGAAGATGGAGGTATTGAAGCATTTCCTTTACACGAATGGTACAAGTTCCAGCCCATACAGAGATACAAATCTTTATCAGCAGAAGAGGCAGAATTGGAGTTCAATAAAAGAAACAAGCATTTAAATTTCTTTTCACTTATGTTGAGGTAGGTATATTATGTACTAGGTGTTTTACAGTGATTCTCTTTTATGTGGAGCTACAAAGATGTGATTTTCACTTTACTTTGCTACTTTTTTTTTATGAAACTAAAGATGATACAAAGAGATTTGTCCTGGCATAAGGTGAAAACTGTATCCTGTAGAGTTTTTCACGTAGAAAAAACAGTTTTACACTTTTACACTGGTAGCTGTCATTTTTGAAATATGACTCACACTTTTTTTTTAAATGGGATACTCTGTGATGTTTTTATTTTAATTGCCGTGATATGGAGCTTTTTAAAAATTATATACTCTACTTATTTTCATATACAGGGCGTTCCTTAATGACGTGCTTATATTTGGGCGTGATTCTTGGACCTATTCTAAATATACCATCAGAGATAATAAAAAAAAAATTAGAAAATTTTACCACCCTGTATCTAAAAAGTTAAGATGTTTAGGACATATATTAATATGAAGCTTATTTCTTAGAATAGGCCCAAGAATCACCTCCTTAAATATTAGCATGACATTAAGGAACACATTTCAAGGTAAAAAATGCACTACTTAATTTTTTAAGAGCCGTAACATCTTGGTATCACTACTCATATCTGCGAAAACCCGTAAAACACACGAAAATGCGACACCCTGTACATATAAAGATTTTAAATAAAAACAAAACTTTCTTCAGGAAGAGACTGAAAGGTGAAGACGACACAGAACTAGATGAAGAAGGTGAAAAAAGCAAGAAAACTTCAAAAAAAGACAAAGAATTGAAGATATCCGATATGGACGAGTGGATCAACAGTTCGGAAGGCGACTCGGACTCAGAAACGGAAGAAAAAGCCGAGGAAGAAGAGGAAGACAAAAAGAAGAAGAAAGGCAAAAGTATTGCGAAGAAGCCCAAGAAGAAAAGAGATACAGACGTGGAGGCTCTGGAAGATTCAGACGATGGTGACGAAGAAGGCAGGGAGATGGACTATATAAGTGACAGTTCTGACAGCGAGCCGGAAAACGTCAATTTGGACGGGGTGGCCGAAGAAAAAGGCTTGAAAAAGCTGCTCAATTCGGACGAGGAAGAGTCGGAAGACTCCGACAAGGAAGACAAGGATAAAAGTAACGAGGACGAGGAGAAAGAAGAGAATGAGGGTGAGAAGAAGCCTGAAGAAGAGAAGGATAAGAAGAAAAAGAAGAAAGACAAAAAGGTTTGCTTGATAAAGACTTACGCAACTAACAATACACTAAATCCTAAAGAAGATCTAAGGTCTTTAATTTCAAGGGTTGTCATTGGGTTGCATACTTAATTAAAAATGAATTTTTACAGAAGGACAATAACAAAAAGAAAAAGGAAAACGATCTCGATAACAATTTCAGCTCAGACAGTTCTACGGACGAAGATGCAAAGGCGAAGAAAGGCGACAAAAAGGAAAAAGGTAAAAAAGAAGAAAAACCTGAACCAGAGAGCGAGAATAGCAGCAGGTCAGCTACACCGACAATTGACAACAAGAGGAAAATTGTGAACGACGCTTTAGCAGGCCCCAGCAAAAAAACTAAGTTAGATCTACCCAACTTCATACCAGGTATTTTATTAATAAAAATATATTAAATGTTTTATTATTTATTTGTGTTTCCTAAAAAGGTTTGGCAGAGTCTGGTATAACTGAAGATGCTGTAAGGAAGTATCTCATGAGAAAGCCAATGACAACTACAGAACTACTCCAAAAATTCAAATCAAAGAAAACTGGACTGTCTAGCGAACAACTGGTCAACATAATGACGCAGATCCTGAAGAAAATCAATCCTATCAAGCAAACTTTGAAGGGCAAGATGTATCTTTCTATTAAGCCTACTTAATTGTTATTTATATCTTTATACCTAAGTATCCATATATACATTAAACTTATTTTGTTAAATAAATAGATATTTTATTTTTGAGTCCCTTGCATATTTTTGTTACTTCAAAAAGGCTTGGATATTATAACATTTGACGTAGCCAAATTTAAATTTATGTTTTGGCGCGAATTGTAGTGAAAGTGACATTGTGAAGTTGAAAGTGTCAATTATGTCATACACATCACATCTTGAGTTGATAAAAAAAAAGAACGTTTTCAACTTTCAAGAATATATTTAACACTTATATCACAGCTTCATAGTGAAGAAACTTATCAAATCAACAAAAGTACATATAAAAAAACACTAAAAGCATATAAAATACAATGTAAATTTTTGGATATCTGCGCTGTTAAGAAAAAATTAAAATAAGTAATGTAGAATTCCAAAATTTCATCAAAAACCAATTAATTTCACTAAATATGCAACCAGCAAAACGCTAAATCTTAAACAAATTTATTGAGAAACCTCAAGAACAGTTAACCTAATAGGTCTGCTCATTCAGCCAAAAGTGTCCGCCAGGTGCATGCGAAAACTACTCGCTTTGTGACGTCATTGTAGCCCTTGTCATTGTTATTAGTCCTTATCCGGCAACCAATAATACACACACGTGCATTATTGGTTACCGAATGCAAAACGTTCATTATTTAGTTTATTTATTTAAACACCTTATATGTATGCAGTACAGAAAATTAACTGTATAAATGGTATTAAATACTCGGATAATGCATTTTTAAGAACAGCAGTTCCCAGCATCACCTTTTGCAAGCATTCTTTTTAGAGTACTTCCATATTTTGCTTTAAAATAATTAATAAACAAAATCGTGGGCACTTAGTATGCACTTTGTCACAATCCACAACACAAAATGAACGTATTTATACACTCTATAGCTCTAAAAACTTTAAAGACACCTTTTTCACATTTAAAATTGACAAAATAATTAACTCAAAATTTCTCAGCTGTTATTTTTATAAGTTTACCATAGGCAACTAATAATACACACTATCATGACAAGGCCACGAAGGCTTTGACAAGGGCTACAATGACGTCACAACTGTCAGCTGAAGCGCGGGAAGAGGCGAACGTACGTCTTATGAGGATGAGCAATCCTATTAGTTTACCGTTCTTGGAGAAACCTTATGTTATCTTTACAAAGGCTTCGTTCTGTTATTTAAGACTAAGGACTCGACGTAATGTTGGTTGTATAACTTGGAACGTCATAATTAATGAAAACCTATTAAAATACTTCAACGTAATACAAAACAGAGCACTAAGAAGCGTCTCTGTGCGACCTTAATATATTTTTTACCTCTCGCAAGGCCTTATGTAAACGTTTTAATAAAGCATCGCAATCTAGCTCATCACTCAGCTCAAAAGTAGCTTTATATGAGGCTTTGTACAGCTCAGCTAACACGGGGCTCTCTTTGTTTGGACTTGGCTTGGACAGGCACAGTTTAACCAGCGATTTTAATACGTGTTGTAGCCTGGTTTTAACTAGTTTTAAAAGAGAATGGAGTGACTTGAAGGATTTGCCTTTTTCCGCTGTAATACTTTCCTTATTTTCGTCTGAAACCTCGATTTTCTTGTCTAGAAGCAATTCTAGAATTTCGTCCGTGTCTAAAAAGTAATCTAAACAGGCTTGGAGGTGTTTTAACTTCGTTGTTGCAGAAGAACTACCTAAAAATAATATTATGGTAGGTAGAAAATACCCACAACTACGGCACTGGTTGCTACTTGAAAAAAAAAAACAAATAGAGATGAACAAAACTATTGATAATTATTATGATCGATAAACACCGCATTTTTTAACTAAGCCTCAAAATCATATGCCATTGAAAAATACGTTATCGAAACTTTGATATATTGAAATATCGATTTTTTTTAGCTACTATATTGATATATTGCATTAAAACGCTCATCCCTACATTCAATTAAAAACTCCGTTAAAGCAACCCTTCGTAGTAAATCCCCACAAGAACAGCACTGGTTACTGTTCCAAAAAAACTACTAGAAATGTGTAAAACTATCGATAATTTTTATTATCGATAAACACCGCAAATTTGTTTAAAAAGTTGAAATAAGTCTCAAAATAACGTTCCATAGAAAAATCATTTACGATATAAAAGAAACTATCGAAACTAAGATCTATCGAAATACCGATCATTTTCCCTACATTTCGATATAATTTATTAATACTAAAAACTCCGTTAAAGCATCCCTTGGCAGTGAATCTCCACAACTAAGTCACTAGCTGCTGCTAAAAAAATCCGACTAGAGATGTGCAAAACTATCGATAATTTTAATTATCGATAAGCATCGCATATTTGCATCAAAAACTAACTCTAAGTCTCAAAATCATGTGTCACTGAAAAATATGGAACAGAAAATGTAAGAAAAACTATCGAAACTTTGAAGTATTGAAATATCGAGAATTTCTTCTAGTATATCGATGTATTTTATTAAAAACACATGCCTACCTTCAACTAAAAACTCGGTCAAAGCAACCCTCTGCATCTGGCCAGTGAGGTAGCACAAGGCATCTCCGGAGACTAAAAATAATTTCACAGCCTTATCGTAGTGACGTTGGGCCAATTGAACGGCCTGTTTCTTGGAATCTGTCGTTGAATTCCAAGCATGGGCGTGCCAAAGGGAACCTAAAAAGGGTAAAAAAATAGTAATATATTTTTTGAGTAGTATTTGAGTCACTAATTAGTTTTTTTTTAAACAAACTTACCCATCCTAAAATGCAAAGTAGCCGCCCTGTATTGATACAAAGGAAACTTGGGTTTTGACTCGTCCAAATCACAGTGGTCCAGTGCGGTCTGTAATGCTTCCAGTACTTGTTTTTCGGCTTCAGATTTCGACTAAAACGTATCAAAAGTCATCAGTATTTACCGATTTTATTTTACGAAATAAATAGGGTATTTACCACATCAGAAGGGGGATTTTCGTACAAAATACAGCTAACAGTGAATAATGCTGTACTCAGCTCCCACGTCACAGCATCCCATATACCCGGACAATGTTTCCTGTCACCTAAAACTCTCAAAGCCCTTTTGTAGCTCTGGAAAGCTTTGCTGTAGTGTTTCCGTTCTTGTGGTGTCAATTCGCTCCTATACACACAGAAGAAAGATTATAAAGACGTTTTAATTTACCTTAAAAAATACCGATATCGATATTTTTATAAATCGATGTTTTTAGACATCTCTAGATTTTTAGCTCGTATAGTGTTTATTCTATGCCCGAAAAACTATTTTATATAACTTTAAAAATTATCGATATCGATATTTTTATCAATCGATATTTTTGGACATCCCTAGATTTAACTTTTTTTACCTTTCTTCGGGAGTATGAGCGTAAGCTAGAAGTCGATGCAGATGACCCATGTTGGAGCTCAACAAGGCTATATTAGCATCATTATTGGCCTTTTCAAATAATTGCAAGCCTTTTACCAAGTAAGGCTCACTTTTGTTGCAAGCCTCTATGATATCCTTGGGTAGTTTAGCGTTTTTCGCTACGTTCAAGTAGTAACTCGCCAGCTCGTTCAGGCTGTTGGCCAGGCGAAACATTATGCTTTCGGAAGAAGACATTTTTAATGCTGTCTCGTAGCATTCGACCGTTTTTATAAGCATTTGCTCTATGGTACGAATATCCGGTATGAACACGACCTTAGTTTCGCTGTCGCCCAGGTTTACTTTGTGTGCTCTGAAATCGTCGATAAAAAATATCATATACAGGGTTTGGCAAAAAGTTATAGAACAAAATCAATTTTTTTCTTACTATTCTCACCTCTCGTCTTGTTCAACTTTTTCTAACAACCTAATATCCTCATCGCGATGCGACTGCAACTGTTCTCTATAAATCTCTACGTTCTTCCAGCGTTGCACGATCATCAAACACGCGTCTCCAGCTCTACCCGGCAAGCAGCTCAGTCTCAAGACTCCCCTGGACCACTGTATACGGTCTAAGGCCAGCTGACATCGCGCCAAAATACCCAAAACCCTCAAGCATTCGCCGTATCGACCCTGTAAATAATTAGGTCATTTGAACTACTTTCGGAAAAATAATGACAGTGATTGATTTTTCTGCCAAAATACTCCTTCCTCTCGCTGAATAGACTATATATTTACCTGTGTAATGTAAAACTCAGCCAAGATGGCGTATATTAGCACCGCCTTTTCAAAAAGCAGTGTTTTTAAGTGACCTTTCCACGATATAGTACTAGGATCGAATGTGGGCCATTTTGGATAGGGAGCGTCGCTAGGGTCTTTAGGTATTAAAGCCCTAAAATCATGCAAAATATTCAGTTTAAAAAAATTAACTCTTTGAGAAAAATATTTCTTTACATTTTTCCATTATTTTCTACTTGGGATTTTTTCTTTTTGTCCCGTTTTTTACGCTTGGACGAGCCCTGATTTTCTGTTTCTGAACTAGTAGTGGGATTTTTCTCGTCGCTTAGTTTTCCATAAGGCATAGGAATGGGCTCAAACGGTTTGGCCATATGAGCCTAAAAATATTCCCAATTAAGAAGCTAGTTAACAATAAAATTCATAAAAAAAAACTAAATAGAATATTCTTAGATAAAATAAATTTTATTGTTGACGCACCCTGTACACTATTTGTTAAGTTTTAACTTTCAAGGCAATGATACATTGAATAAATAAATTTATTTTTGAATTAAAATGGGAAACAACTTCATTGTCATTATTTCTGTAAAATTAGTTCAAATGACCCAAGAGATTAACCAAAACCAATTTACTTTTGAATTAAAATAACAAACAAGTTTTAACTTAACAAATAGTGTACAGAGTGCGTCAAAAATAATGTTTATTGTGTCTCAGTATTGAGAAAATCACCTCTTCTTCCTTTTTTTCATCTTCTTTGCTCTCCGAAAAATACTGAAGACAATTCAACCCCCCAGCAACATGTCCTACAGCAGAAATACACCTCTCCTCCAAGCTACCATTGATTGGAGGTGGAGGTTTATAGAAATTCCTAAAACTTTCATCATTCTTCGGTTTTTCTAAGTCCAGAACCGAAACGGCATCAGTTGATAAATTTTCTTCGTCATCATCATCATCATAAACACTGGCCTCATCATCTTCTTTTTCGTTTTGATCAAGCTTAGGGTCTTCTGGATTAACTTCAGCCGGCACATAAAGATCTGAGAGCATATAATGCGACGAGGTTATTATTTCTGGATATTTTTCTTCTGGCAGAAGCTTGATGACGTTTTTTAGAAGCATTCTGATCGTTCCTGGTTGTGGTCTCCTTTAAATATACTAACATTAACTGTTTTATTCAAAAAAATACCTTTTTTACAAACCTATCAGGTAAATTTTTCATATTTCTACCCACTCTATAAAGAAGCATAGCTACAGGAATGGTAAAAGGATTTTGGCCTTTCTGTACATCTTCTTCTGAGCATAATGAAGTTAGATCATACAATTTAACCACCTCCTCATCTTTGCCCTTAAAAAGCCAATAAGTATGCCCAGCCTTTGTAGCATTCGATTTTAAAAAAGACAGTATACTTTGAGCAACATCCCTTATCAATTTTGGAGAAAACTTTGAATTATCCAACCTAAAAACAGTTACTTTTTAAAAATAAACACAACATTATTTTAAGATTTACCTTGGTAAATCTTCAGTTTTAATTAATTCATATTTTTGTACAATACCATTGATATGGTAGCACATCACAACCTCAGGAACATTAGACATCAAGTTATCTAACCAATAATCAATTCCCGTGAGCACAGAAATTGGTTTACTCATGTCTCTCAGTCTTAGAGATATACAGGGATGGGTACCACCACCAAAAATAGGCATATCGGTCCCCAAAAGCATCTCAATATCCTCAAAAGTCCACACAACATTCCTATTAAACTCAAATGGATGTGAGTCAGGGCACTCCGTGCTTGGTGATGGGTCTGGTAATGGGGGAGTCTGAATAGAAGTCTCACTATTCTGTGAGTTATAGGGTCTAAGAGGACTCCGATTTTCTTCAGAATCGTTATCACCCTCTACAAGACTATGATACAAGAACTTTGACACTAAACTTTTCTCTTTTAAAGCCTTCTGAGTTCGACTCTTTATATATAAATGCTTATCTTGCTCGTATGTTTCTCTACCTATGTTCTCAAAGAAGAATTTCTTTAGCCATTCCCACTCGGTTTCAGATGTTTTTAAAAGGTGTTTATAAATATCAAAATCATCCAAAAGCAACGTATTTTCTACTCTGTGTACCATCATACTTATGTGACCCTTGTGGTAAGGTATTTTTAGTAGATTTTTAATGTTTTCTGCATCGGAAACAACATCTACTTCGCCCACACAGTCAGGGTACATATGTGCCATTCTAAAGCTATTAAAAATTGGTTTTAAAAACTAAAAGCTGCATTATATGAGGAATAAATACCTGGAGAATCCCTTTTGATGGTAAATAACTCTTTGTAAGCCATAAGAGTCCGCGGAACTGCTTAACCAGTTTGAAGGGGGCAAATTCAGATCAGTATTGTATTGAAGTTTAGCAAAAGTAGCAGGTTTTGGGGCGGAATACTTTACTATCGCTCTGGATTTAACTTTTTCCCGGTTCGTTTCATCATCCTTATTAACTGTAGGTGATGCATTTTCATCTGACATTGTACAGATTTAAATTCTAATCTTTAAAGTAACACGAAAATTCTGGAATTTTGACAAGTAAACAAAAAAGTAAGGTTAAAACAGAAAATGTGTATTTTATGCAACCAGTAAATCATTATGGTGGAGTATTTTCAAAAATTAAATAGTAAATAAAAAATGTACAATTTCTTTTCATTTCTTTGTTTTGAATTGGTTTAAGAAATAAAAAAAAGTTAATAGTATTGAGAAAAAACTTTATTCCATGTCAAATACACATAGATGTTATACCGTCATGAAATATCATGAAAAAACTTATTTACTATGGGTGCTGGATCTGCTTTCACGAGTGCTGGCAGACCTACGCCTCTTAGCTTCCTCTTTGCGGGCCTTGGACTCCTTTTTCCTCAGAGCCAACAGCTTAGCATAAGTGTCAGCTTCCTCCTTGCGTTTCAAACATCTCTTCTTCTTCAAAGCCAGACGATGACGTTTCCTTTGCAATACAGTTGGAGTGATCAAACGCTGGATCTTGGGGGCCTTGTACCTCTGCTTCTTGCCCTCCTTCAAAGGCAGCGGACGTTTGACGACGTACTGCCTGACATCATCGTCTTTGCTCAAGTTAAAAAGCTTACGTATCGCAGAGGCACGTTTGGGACCAAGACGACGGGGAACAGTGCTGTCTGTAAGTCCGGGGATCTCTTGTTCCCCTTTCCTGACAACGACTAGAGCAAGAACGGAAAGGTTACCGTCTACGATGCATCCTCTAACTGATTTCCTCTTTCTTTCTCCGGAACGTCTGGGTCTGTAACAGGAGTGACCCTTGGATAACAATAATCTCACTCTGCTGTTAGTGAGGACACCCTGTTTCATGGGGAAACCTTGTTTGTCATTACCTCCGGCGATTTTCAAAACGTAGCCTTTCCATTCATCTCCAAGCGGATCAGCCTCTACTTCCTGGCCCATGCGCTTTTCGTAAAAGATACGAATTTTGTGCTCATCCACCACTTCGAACAACTTCTGGCATCCCGTAGCGGGATAGGACACGTTCAACTTCATTTTTTAATTACTTTTTTCCGTTTTTCTCGATGAAAATACACGATTATTAACTAGAAAGATTGTCAGGCTTGCATACACGTTGCATGGCCGACACTAAAAAGAGAGGTTAACTTGACATCTTTGTCTTCTTGACAAATTTTCGGGCGCCAAGCTCCAAGTTTTCGCAATCTGTCAACACAAAAAGAGCGGTAAATATTTTAAATTTGAAAGAGCGCAACATGGACGCGTTTTTTTTTCTTATAGAATTATCAACAAATCGTTAGTTGTAAAATGTTTATTTATAAAGTTTTTAAACGTTTTTAGAATTAAAACAATAAAAATCAAGTGCTTTATACAATAATACATATAAATTGTAATTATAATCAGTGATTTGGTGATAAAATCACCAAATATGGCATTTTTTGACTGGATTCATGTATGAACCAACAGGACAACCGAAATCATAAGCAAATTCCTCCAGATTTCTTAGGGGACCGTTTACCTGTAAGAATAAAATTATTTACTAAAAAAATATCAGTATTTTTAGACAAGATCTTACTCTAATTTCATTAGGTGAATGGTTATACTTATTTCTTGTATATTTGTCTCTCATGTACCTCACGGAATATTTAGAACAAAATTGCAGAGCGCTAGATATCCAAAATAACTGTCTAGGAGTGTATTTAAGACCTAAAAAGTTATAAAAATATAGCTAGAGGTCGTTTTGAGATGAAAATAATTTAAGATAAGAAAGGTATTCACCTGGAAGTTGTGGTTCTTTGCCATTCCTCCATTCGTATTCCAAATAAGTGGCGTAAGCTATTTTTAAACCAGCTAAATCAGCCACATCTTCATCTCTAGTGATCAAAGTGTTTGTCTAACAGAATAGAGATTTATTTGAATATAAAAAAATCAAACAGTCAGCATTAATTAGGGCATTTTTAAGGATAAAAGCTGAAAGTTAACAACAAATATAAATTTTCTTACTCTTATGTCATCATAATCGCGTAATTCCAATCTTGCATATTGATTTGACAGACATTCAACCTTCTGAATGTACTTATTCAAGCTAGAAGATGACCACCAGCTGTACAATCTTTGTGTGTTGGAATCAGAAACTCCAACATGGTATGCTCTGGCTTCGACGAAGATATGTGAAATTTGGTGAGCTAATACAGTGCCTAGTAGGCCGTAGTTCATGTATTCCGGCCTTTTGCCGTTATAGTAGATACCTCTGAATAAACCCAGAGGGAATTCTAAAAAATTGTAAAATCGAAACTTAAAAATCTGTGTTTCAACAAAGATATACATGTATACAGGGTGATATCTTACTAAGTTTGTTTTCGGTCGGTGAATATACAACTTTAAGGCCACTTAAAAATTGTTGAGTTTTAACCCAGTTATCTTTGACAGGTTTTCTTAGTAAACCGTACTGCAAATCTAGTGAAATAGAATCTAGAGTCAGTACAGCTTCTAGCAACTTATTTTCGTCAATCTCCACCTTAAAAGAATTAAAATAATGTTAATAGAGTTCGTCCAGCAGGAGAATATATCATTTTGACAGAAGATATTTAAGCTAGTTTTTGGTACAGACTATATAAGTATGTGTTTCTATTCCTTACCCCTTGATAAACATTGTTTTCTTCAATTATATCAATGAAATCATTGTAAGAGAATATCTTTTCCACGCTCGATAGCAGAGTTCTGACAACTTTTTTCTTCGTATCCTCATCCAGCCAGTTTAACATGACTAGATTTTTCCTAAATTCACTCTTGACGTTTCTTATTAAACTTGTAACGTTGGCTTTTAGTTTATCGTCAAAATATCTATCAATGTAGGCTAAATTTATTGCAGAACTTAGTCTAAAATTGGAAAAAATCAGTTTTTCCCGCAACCAGTAAAACACAGTATAGTAATATTTGGTTGCCTAACCATATTTTCTTATTTTTCTTTGAATTATTTAAACAATATTTTACCTGTTTCTTGATGCTTCAACGCACATTTTCCATCTTGGTACCTTATCATACTTCCCATTCACTTTCCTCAAGTAATCATAAGCCTTATCCAGTACTTTCGAAGGCAGAAAATTTATCAAATATTGCAAAGTCTGCCAGCTGATAAAATTTGCCAAAATCCTTGCTTCAGTGTTTCTTAATAAGTTCTCCAACTTTTTTAAATACACAGGCTCAGACACGGTAACTATATCGTCGTAGTGCAATATGGCCGCGTTACCTAGGACGCTCTGTATATATTCCAGCCAGGGTATACTCGGAAATTCATGCTGAAGTTCTGACAAAGTGTAGGGATTGTAGAGATGGGTTTGGTTGGATTTTCTCGATTCCTCCGATATCTAGAGAAAAATACGGCGTGATTTAGCTAAAAGAGCGTTATAGGAGATCTGTCTGTGACTACTATGACATGATTTTTAATATCGATTAAAAACGGGGTTTTCGGGTTTTATCTTACTCTGGCTAAATTTAAGAGAAAATCAAGTACATCCCTCTGTTCTTTCCAGATATTAGCGTTCATGGCGTCAAATTGGCTAGCTACGTCTACCATATAATCCAGGAACGCAGCTTTGGAATTAGGACTGATCTCTGAAGGACTGTAAAATTTATCGTGGATCTGAAACATGTTGTTTATAAAGTATATCCTAAAATTCAGAGTACATACAGTTAAAATATATCTTTCTGTGTTTTCTTTATCAGGTTCCAGAGTGATATTAAGAAAAAAATCAACGTTAAGACCCATAGATCTGAGTTTTCTCATTGGTTTGAGGAAATGAAAATCTTCTTCGACCCAATTGGGGCCTTGCAACAAAGGCCATCCTCCCATTTGTATGAAGATTTGTTTGATTTTTCTCAAATCTTGATCTTCTACGGCTTTTTCATGCATACAAGCTCTGTAAAACTTTTTGGCTAGATTGAAGGCAGGCAAGTCGTTCTCATTAGGTGGTTCTTGAAGCAATTCACTGGAAAAAGGGCATAAAAATATATATAAATAAAAAATAAATAAGAAAAATCGAAAAAACACAAAGAAAAAGACAGCAAATACAGAGATACGGTAGTAAGAATGTATGTTTTTGAAAAAATCGATATATCTATATGTCGACATATTTGTACATCCCTACCCGACGATTTCTTGAACAATAAGGAGTCATTTGAGTTTGAAATAATCCCAAATTGAACTTACTTGACATCGTGCTGTATATTTTCTTCCATAATAAGCTTAACAGATTGATATAGATATGAATCGTCATATGAGAAGTTTCTTGTAAACATTCCGCAAGCAAAATTGTAAAAATCATCACATGGTCTCTCGTATGGGTCGATATAATTTTGAATTTCATTAGAGGCAGCACGGCAATCTGCTGTCTCGCATATCACTGGATTTCCTAAGTAAAAAAGTATCTGTATTATTAAGAATTTTGAATTATAAAAATATCATTACCTGGAATTAAGAAAAAGCATAGTAAAAATATTACTACACTTGCCCCAATTAGTGCTAGAAACCAAATAATAACTTTTCGTTCGTATTTACTGTGTCTGTCCCATAATTCTTTCAAACCATTCTGTTCGTTTGACGGTTTTATTATAGTTTCCCTAAAATATAGTCTTATTATGTATAAAATACTAATAAAAATAATTTAAAATATTTTTACTCGTTGTCCATATTGATAAGTTAAATAACAAGACAAGTATGAGTATTGTACAGTCAGAAAAACTGTCCAAAAACGTAATAATTAGTGTTTTTAATAGGTGCATCTTCTATAACTCTGATGTGGGTGTTAAAAAAAAGTCATAGGTCTTAATTTTCTTAATTGAGTTAATTAACTCGACATTCATCATTGTCCTAACGATATTTTTAATAAAACCTGTGTATTTTTGTCTTATTTACGACTTTACTTTGATTTAAATCGGATTTTTTTTTGAAATTTTTAGTTAAATAAGTATTTAAAATGATTTAAAAAAATGTATTGTGATAGGCAACCAGTAAAACACAATGTTTGTATATTCGGTTGCCTAAAAATGTTTTCTATTTTTAGAATAATTAGTTCCTTTTTTATCCGTCAAAATTGACAAGCGACAAGCGATAACAAAATATTTTTAATTAGATTTGCAAACAATCCAAATAAAAAACGTCCTAAAAATCGCTGTTACACCTTCGAAACTGGACAGAATATCCAGAAACTCTCTTTCCCAGGCAAGACAACCGTATGGAAACGAGTTTTTCGCTGCCAGGACACGCCGCAGAATTGAGCGAAGCGTTTTCAGCCTCATGTAGAGAGGTTCTATATTTAGGTTACCAGTTTCTATTTAACGGAGCTAAATGAATAAATCGAAAAAGCAGCATCTTCATGGCGAATATGCGGGCCGCAGTTTAGACGAACGATGTCGTCGCTCACAATAAACCTAGAGATTGGACACGACTCATCAGTTCGATCCAAGACCACCCCGGAAGGGTTCACTCACGACTGGGAGGTGTTCGTGAGGGGCTGCAACGGCGCCGATATCAGTCATTACGTAGAAAAAGTAGTCTTTATCTTGCATGAAACTTTCCCCAAGCCTAAGCGAGGTAAACTGGAGTTTTTATTTTTTTTTTCATAAAAATCTTTAATTGTCTTTTTTTAGTGGTTAAAGAGCCTCCATATTCGTTACGTACGTCGGGTTATGCTGGGTTTAATCTGCCTATTCACGTGTACCTGAAGAACAATCAGGAACCGAGGAGGATTGAGTTTAATTATGACCTACAGTTACAGCCGAGTGGGCCCCCTATTCATAAAGTTCAGAAGGAAAAGTACACGTTTCAGTCAGTTAGCGAGGATTTTCGGAATAAACTCCTAAAAGGCGGTGCAGCGGTAAATTTTCAAGGAAAAGGAAAAACATAAGCGCCATTTTACTAATTTTACAGGAGAACCCTGTATGGCTGGTGGTTATCAGATTCTTTCTCTGTATGTATATTTTTACTAGGCAAATATCACAGGATTTAAAAGCTTATTGCCCTGCAGCATTTATACATTTTGTAGGGACCAATTAGACTTACTATAATGTAAAACTAGAAAATTAAGAAATTGGCGCTTATCTAGTTTTTCTTTGAACCCTTCAATTTTATTATTATTCAATACCTCAAAATTAGTGGTTTTAACTAGCATAGAAGGGTTGTCCCTCTAATTTCAATATAAGCATGTAGAATTGTGGCTCCAAATAAAGAGTTTATTGTTTTATAAGCAAATGATACAACAAGAGACTAACTCACATAAGTTAGTCTGTGATACAACTGTCTATTACAAGCTATTGCCAGAATATACTATTAATTTCCAGAACTTTCCACTAATTTCAAGGTTCTAAACATAGTTTTAATCAATAGTAATCAATTAATAAATAATAATAATAGTTTATATATTAAACCATTGTCTTTAAATAAAGATAAGTTAAGAGAAATTATAAACAAACAAAACAAGTTTCAGTTATGAAATTTATTAATTTATGACAGCTGTCAAATGATAAACAAATTTTTGATTGAATTTTTCATTAGAATTTACTTTCATTGAGGTATTTTGAGAAGCAAAAAAGTTTTAAAATTAAATTCTTAAAACTAAAATCAACATAAATGATTCTAAGTATTAATTTAATAATTTTATTTATACTAATTAATTATCTTATTATATAATTATTTTTTATGATTGAATGAGTCTCTAAACTATATGATTTATTGTTTTATTCTCCCATTTAGCGGATGTAGCGGATGATTGTGATATATAGACGCTTAGATTTCGATTTATTAGTTATCTATGATGAAAATCTATTTTTTTTCCTTTTTTAGAGCGGTTCAGGAAATAGTTTGGAGAATACCTCTTCAAAATTGGAGGAAAAAAGCCAGATGTCGAGCAAACCCAAACTAGGAGGCTCAGATCAGATGAGAAAATACAAGTTGAAACAGGATGAGCCGAGAAGTGACCAATTTACCAACTTATTTGGTAAATTACTTTGAATTTCTTTAATTTATTTATATTTATAAACAAATTTTAATACAGGTACTCCTATTACAAAAACTAGTAGGGTTGTCGAGGTACCGAAAGTCAAAGAGACCTCTAAGCCTGTAGTTAAACCCGTGGACAAAGATAAAGAAAAAAATTCTGGTAAGTAGTCTGAATTATACGGGGTGTCTCAGAAATAAGCGCCTATGTTTTAACTGGTAGTATATTTCGACCCCAGAAGGACGCCTATGAGTTTTTCAGACATGCTCTAAAATTTAAGATTTTCAAAATAACGTTTATTTTAAGAGAAGCCAGTGGCGTGCCAACATATTCAGTGTAAAACCCGTTTGGACGCCACTGGTTAAAGTAAAAAAATTGTTTTTACTGAAAAAAAAAATTGTTTCATAAAAATTATTAAAAAATATTTTTTTAGAATGTTTTTAATAAATTATAATTTTCATTAATGTTCATTTTTAGAAAAAGACAAGGATAAAAACAAAAACAAAAGCACATACAAAGACAAGGACAGAGATAGGGACAAAGAGAAGGAGAAAATAAAAGAAAAACCTTCAGAAAATAGCGAGAAAAAGTCGAAAGATGACAGAAAAGATAAGAAGGATAAAAAGGATAGGGAATCTAGCAAAAAGGACAAGAAAGACAGAAAGGATAGGGAAAAAGAGAAGGAAAAGGATAAAGATAAGAGTCCCCCTCCCAGAATAAGATCTCCCAGTCCTCCGAAAAGACCCAGCAGTCCAAAAACAGTCCCAAAAGACAAAGAGCAAACCAAGGATAAGGATTCGAAAGACAGGGACAGAAACAAGGAGAAAAAATCGAAAAAACACAAAGAAAAAGACAGCAAATACCGAGATAGAGACGCTGATAAAGATAAGGATAGAGATAAAACGTCAAACGATCATGGGAAAGACCACAAAAAGGACAGCAAAACATCCAAAGAAAAAGATAGCTCTAGTAGTAATACTTTTGCCTCGTCGGTTAAAGAGAGAGACAGAGATTCCAGTCCAGTACCACCTCCGACAGTGTCTAAAGCGGAGAAAAAAGAGAAAATTAAAGAGAAAGAAGTGAAAGAACCGGAGAAACAGGAGAAAGAAAAGGACAAAGAGAAGGGCGAGGATAAACCTAAGCACAAGCACAAGAAAAAAGACAAGGACAGGAAGGATAAGAAGGAGGAGAAGTCTCACAAGAAGGAGAGAGAAGATAAAAAACCGGAAAAAGATCGAAGTTCGTCGGGAAGTTCTAAAGAAGTCTCAGCAAAAGAAAGGTAAGTTATCAGTAATCCATGTTTCTTGAAGGTGACTGTATAGAACTAAACTGTTTTGACGTCAAATAACTATTTATGTTGGCTTCAGATACTAAAAAATGAGCGTGTCTAGATGTTTTTATGGTCTAGGGTTTGAAATTTAATAATTCCTCACTGTTTGGTCAATGTGGAATTATATAAACTCTGTTTTAAGTGTTTTTCGACAGTATAAGATTAAAATAGGTCTTGCCCTGTTGTGACGTCATACCACCATCTATGTTGGCTACAGAATACTGATTAAAAATCGTGTCTAGGCGTTTCTATGGTCTAGGGTTTCAGATTTTATAATTCCTCGCTAAATAATGAGATGAGACTATAATATGCATAACATATCATCAACTATGTTGGTTACAAAATACTAACTAAAACGTGTCTAGGTAAAAAAATATCAATTGGTCACTGAATATCAATACAAGATTATGTTTAAGTTGAAATACAATTTAAATTTATTTTACCATTTTGTGATGTCACACTATCATCTATGTTGGTTACACAGTACGGATTAAAATATGTGTCTAGCTGTTTCTAAGGTCTAGGGTTTAAAAATTATAGCAATAATTGTTCACTGAATATCAACGTTAACTATATTGAAGTGCATTGTATAAAGATATAAGATTAAATGACAGGTTGTCTTGTCGTGATGTCATATTATCATCTATAATATTGTCTAGTCATTGCCTATGTTGTCACCAGTTCAAGTCCTCACACAGTGTCTTTCCAGATTTATCTACTTTACATATAAATCTCATTTTAAAAAATAAGAAATAATGAAAAATCAGAGTCCCCTCTGGTAACAAAAAAAAAAACAATGTAAGATTAAAGTTTTTTAGTTAAATTAAATGTGTGTTTATTATATAATTACTTGCTCTTGTATTTATTTTTGTGGGAAATAAAGACAATTACATACAATCATAAAAAGAAATTAACAATAATATAGCATAATACAGTTTTAACACACACAAAATTTAAAAAAAATACAAAGAAAGAAACTTCTAAAGTAAAAAAAACGGCTTTAAATATACAACATTAATTTTGTGTCTTTTCTACATACACGTAGAAAATTACTTTTCTACGCGTCGTTACCCAACCCTGATATTATCCTATTGTGACGTCACAGCATTATAGCCTATTGTTTAAAATTCTTTTTTTCGCTGTTAATGTTAATCACTGATATATAAACTTTATTATCCTTTGTTTAGGAGTATTATACAGGGTTCCTCGTTGAGCTTGCCTTTATAAATATTTAGACAACTACTATACCAGATCGCAGTTTTTTCTTTTTCATTTTTTAAATGGATACTTCAATTTTTCTCTGCAAATTTTGATCTGGACCTCCCTGCACCCAAAATTAATGGTTTTTGCGACGTTTTGTTTTAGTAGATGACTAATAACGAAAATTATCGTTTCCAGGGAGAAGACCAACAGTCTTTTCGGTCACAGTCCCAAAAGCGAGCCCTCTCCGAGTCCACCCCCTGTAGAAAAACCTCCCCAACCCATCCCCGTCGAAGACGACTCCTCCAATATCTCGAAAAGCAGCAGGGAACCCAGTCCGGCCAACATCCCCGCTCCGGAACCCCCTCAGAAACCTCCCACGCCCCCTAGGGCGGCGCCAGAAGCCAAGAAACCAGCCAGCGAAGAGACCACGCCTCCAAAGAAAACGCCCAGCGACGACCCTCCCGTAGCGCCGCCTCCCAACAAGAAGAAGGACAAGAAGGAGAAGAAGAAAGAGAAGAAAGGCGACAAGGAGCACGAGAAGAAGAGGAAGAGGAAAGTGGAGGCCGAGACGCAGGTGGAGATCGAGGAGCCTCCGTTGAAGGTGGAGAAAAAAGAGGAGGATACTAATAATAATTCGGATGATGAAAGGAAGGTTTCCAGTTCGGAGGACGCCAATCTCATACCCTACGGTGATGACGTAAGTATTAGTAGTCTTATTGTGTTGTTTAGATCACTATTTAGTTCACTTATCAAATGATTTTATTTTTTTAACGTCAATTTTGCTTGTTTTGACATTTGACATAATATGTGTCAACGTTTAAATGTATTCAAAATGTGTCTAGGTTTTTATATGCTCTAGGGTTTCATATTTAATAATTTCTCACTCAGCAACAATCAAGAACTACGAATTAAGTGTATAAAAAGCTTGTTTGCTTCACGACACCGACTTAAAAAACGTGTCTATGCGTTTATATGGTCTAGAGTTTAAAATGTAATGCATTTTTACTGAATATCCATTAAGGATTATATACATTCTGTTTAAGTGTATTATATTAAGGGTATCAGTTTAAGGGTTGCCCTTTTGTGACGTCATATCTTGATTTATGTCGGCTACAAGTGTGAACGACTTAAAAACGTGTCTAGGTGATTCTATGGTCTAGGATTTAGAAATTTAATAATTTTTCACTGAATATCAACCAACGACTAAACAATATGTATCTAAGCATGCTATACAAGGGTATACAATTATTTTTTTGTCTCTTATTAGGGCGAAGCTTACATGAGCATGCTGAGGGAGATGCAGCACAAAATCATGGGCCTGAAAAACAACTCCGATCTTCAGAAAGTGGTGCAACTGATCGCCGAAACCGGTCGATATGAAGTCTCAGCGCACACGTTTGATTTCGATCTGTGTCTCCTGGACAAATCCACAGTGATGCAACTGCAGTCCTTCCTCTCATCCTCGGTCAACTAACACGAAGGACTAGCTTTTCGCGTTCACCCTGTACATAAAATAACTTTATTTATTTATAGTTTAAAAAACAAAGTACACACACTTACCTTGTTCAGGACACTAGAGGCAATGCAGCAACACATAAGTAGGGATGGGCAATAATATATTTTACATATCGATCAGTTATCGCACTTCACCATCGATATACTTTAGTTATCGATATATCGGTAGTTAATAAGTTCACCTATCGATATACTTTAGTTATCGATATATCGATAATTGGCGATATATCGATAATTGTCAATATATCGATAGTTATCGATATATCGGAAAAAATCCCATCCCTACCCATAAACTGATTGAGATTCGATTATGTAGTCAACATAATACGGGGCGTTTCTATATTGTCGGCTATTAAGACGTTTTATGTTATACCCGGTATTTTTTCACAAAAAGATGCGTCATAGTGGCCGTTGAAGTGATAATTTCTGTCTGAATTGACATAAAAATTGATTGAGTTTGTAAGTAACTTTTTAATAAATGAGATATAGGGACCGCCTCGCAGAAAATATAATTTACTGCCAGTTCAAAGGTTACTATGCCACCTGTTTTTTTTTATCGTATGGGTTTTCGGTGATTTTTTAAAAAACACAACGCTCTGTATTATGGTATTAGTCAAAAGTAACTGAAGTATAACGTTTATTAAATAACTATGAAGTTAGTTGATAATATTATTATGTTGTTTTGTAAAAAATCTTTTTAATTAATTAAGTTTTTAGGTAGATTTTTTGTTGAATTTAATTTATATTGACAATGATTCTTTTAAGATGTCGGTCTGATTTTTTTAAAATGTGCGTTATAAAATTGTGTATAAGCATAAGTGAATAAAATGTGCTGTTTTTTCATGAAATATGATGATACAATTGTATATTTGTACAATAATGGTATATAATATGAAATATGGGGATATAATATTAAATATAATATATATCTATAGGAAAATAAAATGATCTTTTATTGTAATAAATATAGACCCTTTTTTTAACTTGCAGATAGTTTTGAATGTTTTTTTTCTGGTGCTTGATGTGCCTAAGATAGAGATTTATACAAAACCCCAATAATTGTAAATATTATTAAAAAGAAATAACGCATCACATTAAATTTTGTTGTTGTTAATAAGACCAAAAACTTTATTTAGGTAAAGGAGATTCTTTTCTGTATTTTTACATGAAGTTATGACTATAGGCTTATCTTTATATGAGTTATTCGTTTTACTGTCGTGGATTATATGTATATTTAAGGAACTTCTCACTAAAATTAATGAATTCTTAATAAAAACGATCAAACTAGAATTAGACCTTTTATTTTTTATGTCAAGCAATCCCTTAATAAAAATAACGTATGATCGAAAGAAAAACAGCGTCAAAGAGCTGGGGAATGACACACGATGATAATTTTGGCGAGGTTAATCTCTAGACGCCATTTACTAAAATTTGCCATCTTCCACACACATACTATCTTCTTAAGGCTAACTGGCAATTTATAAAAAACACATATTTCTTCAAAAATTTATTTTTTTTCAAACAATTATCCACACATTCCCTGACATAATATTTCACCAAACAACATATACAATAAAAGTTCAGAGAATGAAAAAAAAACAATTTTACCTTAATACCTTACTGGAAACAGAAAAAAACCTCGAAATAGTTACAATAAATAAAAATTACCACATTTACACGTTAAAACTACCTTTACAGTGTTCCGTATCCCCTAAATCTAAGTTTGTAAGTGTATGTAGGAGAACTTGTGTTAAATAGGGATGATTAACGTAAACGCCGGTAATTATGCAACCAACAAAACACGGAATCCTACAGAAATCTAGTCAAAAAATGACATTTATATAAATGTAGCTCTTATGTATTCTTCACTTAAGAATCGATTTCACTAGTCCGAAAAAGTAGCAAAATAAGCGTTCGGTATTTAACGTTTTATGTAAAACTGGCCAGGTATTTTTACACAAATGAAGAAAGAAATTAAAGATAAAAGGATTATACCACAGATTATACAGATTATAATCTTTGTTTTTTCTTTATTGTTTTTCGTGGTTCCAATTTTCGGAATCGGGCACTAGTTAGGTGACTAGTTTGCGCACATAGCACGCCCACTTATGGCCTCTAAAATTGTGCACAGCGCCTGACCGGCACAGTTATTAGAGAGATATCGGAAAACCGAATAGCGTCATCCAGTATTTACGCGTACCTTATCATGGATACGATATGCGCGAGTCAACGCAACACCCGCTATAGTCTGTGAAATGAATAACTTTGAATTTGACAGTTCCCGCGGGGTTTTTTAGTGTTTATTTTATTAGGTTAGCAACTTGCGGCCATGCTGACGCAACGCCGTCTCTAATAGAACAGCCTCTGAGCGAGATTTATGACGTCACGCTAGTTAGATACTACGGATTAATAAATATGTTGTAGAATACATGGAAAACATATATATTCCTCGTATTTTTGGTTTGTATTTGAAAAACAAACATTGATTTTAAAATACAAACCAAAAATACGAGGAATAGTTATGTTTTCCATGTTTCTAACACATATTTATTAATCCATAGTATCTAACTAGCGTGACGTCATAAATCTCGCTCCGAGGCTGTTCTATTAGAGACGGCATTGGTCTGATATTTAGAAATGTCAAAAGCTGATGACATTTTACTTTTAACAATTATGACGTTTCGTGTTGATTTTTGGTAGAAGAGGAAGAACTATCACTTGTTTTATTATTTTCCTTTTCTATTTCACGAAAGTAAAAAGAGTTACCTATCTGATTCGTTCAGGCACTCAATTTAAAGAATATCCGTAACTTTTTTGACAGAGGGATTTTATATTTGCCGTGTTGGTAAGAAATAACGGTCAAAATTCAAAGTTATTCATTTTATAGACTATAATAACGTTACCGCCTGACGTAATTTGCGGATCAATTACACCAAGCGCTCTTTCTAAATAACCTCTGATAACGTTTAAAAATTGCTTAAATGGGCACGTGCGGGTATTTGACAACCGGAGCCGGCCGGCGAGATCTTTTATTTTAGGTTATGTTTGAATTGTTTTGAATTATTGCTTTAGTTTTATTAGGTAATTTGATATTTAAGTGGTTGGGATTAGTTTTAATTAAATAAATATGGCCCAAAATATGGATTCCACCTCTTCCAATACTAAAGAACCTATAAAGAGTCTTAAGGTTTACAGCAGATGACGACTTAGCCCTTCTAAGAGAATTTGTTGCTTGTTGCTCTAAACCCATTGGCAGACGTTGAACAATAAAGCACTGGAAATAAGCACTTTAGCCCTTTAGTTTTAAAATACCTAGTAAACAAAACAATTTCAAAGTTTGTAATGAAGTTCATAAAATTTCTAGGACACCCTGTATATTGTGTTAATATTATACTAGAATAATAGAGACTTCATTCTCTTTTAATAATGACAGTCAATGTATTTTATTGTTAGATCATTATTGTAATGAACTTCATTAGTGTTCTTATTGTTGAATTAAATAAGTTAAATATTTAATTGCCATTTTGTAAGAGAGTTTTGATCGGTTTTGGTCGCTAAAGTTTAATGCGAAAAACCGAAACGTTTGCTCTCCCTACTCTGCTAGTGCAGGTTGAGTGGGAGGGGGCGTCAGTCGAAGTACCTCGGCTGCAGCAGCTCCAGTTAGACAGTTGGTGGTCGCACGCGAAATAGTGAGGTTCGCTCTCCCTAGAGCTGCTAGTGCAGGCTGAGCCGAGGAGCGTCAGTCGAGTACCTCGGCTGCAGCAGCTCCAGTTAGACAGTTGGTGGTCGCACGCGAAATAGTGAGGTTCGAGTCCGGAGTGCCTGCCAAGTGACCTGCTGCCAGATTGTTAGGATATTAAAAGCGCGGGAGAATAACCATTGCCGACCAGGCAAGGAGAGACTACGTTGTGCTACGAGCAGGTCGCCAGGAATGATGTCCTTTTCTTTTAAAGGTTGTCTGACATCTGCTCCGGTCTGACGTATCCTTCGGTTGATGAGACGAGAGTTCGTAGTTTTCTTCATTAATATTAAAATTGCCAGGATTGCCGAGCAGGCAAAAAGGGACTACGCTGTGCTACGGGCAGGTCGCCAGGAATGATGTCCTTTTCTTTTAAAGGTTGTCTGACATCTGCTCCGGTCTGACGTATCCTTCGGTTGATGAGACGAGAGTTCGTAGTTTTCTTCATTAATATTAAAATTGCCAGGATTGCCGAGCAGGCAAAAAGGGACTCCGCTGTGCTACGGGCAGGTCGCCAGGAATGATGTCCTTTTCTTTTAAAGGTTGTCTGACATCTGCTCCGGTCTGACGTATCCTTCGGTTGATGAGACGAGAGTTCGTAGGTTTTCTTCATTAATATTGGGTGGTAATTAATAATTAGGTGTGTCGTCCGGACGGCACCCTGCATCAGTGACGCTGGACGGGATCTCGCCGAAATTCCGAGGTTGTTCTGACCGGGCGGTGTGTTTGCGGGCTGCGCTTATCCAAACGACGTACAACTCGCCGAGACGTCGCTAACGTCTACGTCGATCCAGGGCTCGCGGTTGTGTATCCCTCGGGACGTTGTTAAGTTTGCGATCGATCCAGGGCTCGCGTTTGTGTATCCCACGGGACGCTGTTAACTTCGCGATCGATCCAGGGCTCGCGTTTGTGTATCCCTCGGGACGCTGTTAACTTCGCGGTCGATCCAGGGCTCGCGTTTGTGTATCCCACGGGACGCTGTTAACTTCGCGATCGATCCAGGGCTCGCGTTTGTGTATCCCACGGGACGCTGTTAACTTCGCGATCGATCCAGGACTCGCGTTTGTGTGTCCCACAGGACGCTGTTAATTTCGCGATCGATCCAGGACTCGCGTTTGTGTATCCCCGGACGCTTTTAACTTCGACGCCGATCCGAGGTCCGTGTTTCGTTGTCAAAACGGACGCCGTTCCGAGAAATATTTAGCTGTGACCATCCGGACGCCTGTAACGACGTCGCCGCCGTTTAGAGAGCCGCGTCGTAGTAGAGTGTGTTGCTCCGGTACTTACGTGTCTGTGTTCATTAGGACGCCGCTAAATTCGACGCCGATCAGGAACTCGCGTCGTTTTATTTAATAGAACGTCATTGCGGGAACGCGTTTTGAATTCACGGGATAGAATCAGTCAGAGAGTTACATATCGGGAATAATCGATCAAAACTCTAGAGGTACATGGTTGTTATTGTAAATTTTACTTTACGGGTCTCTAAATATACATTTTATTTCACTATTGTTACGATTCGAGGACGTGAACCTTCCTTGATTACCTATGTACATAATTAATTTATTAAATAAAAACCTAGTGTTACGTTGTAGTTAATTGTGTGTTTTATTTTCTTTTCATCTCATCACTCCCTGGTATCTCCACTGTATAAAAGCTACCCGTATTGGCACTAGTGGTCTCTCAAACACTTTAAACGTTGGGGGTGGCGCCCGAGGAACCAAAACATCCTTAAGATCTAGTGTATTCTTGGTTGCATACATTCTGGCGTTATTACTAACCATCCCTATCACATTATGAACGAACTATTTGGTCCAAAATGGTATAAAAAGTCGGTATTAACCTTAATCGAACTGTCTTAAAACTTTGGGACAGATATTTTTAACACAAATAATTTCATTTAATCTTATATGTATAATACCACGTTTCTTACAGTCTTATATCTATATTATCTATAATTCGTCGTGTAAGTCGCCATCTTTGCCCTCCGCACTTGACACCTCCCTACAGGCTGCCGGTGTTTGGAATTCGAAAGCGTACTCGCATCTAGAATATTCCATAATACGTATACAGGGTGTTATAGAAGTTCTTGTTAATCCTTAACTTAAAAGAGTAGTTTTTATGTGTAAAAAGTAAAAATCTGTTTTACGCGTAAAAAAATGTCTTTTACGTGCAAAAAAAAACGTTCTTTTATGTATAAAAAAAACTATTTTTTTAGTATCAGTTTACCTTTGAATAAGAAGACTAAGGAAGGAGCATAATGCTATCCATGTATTCATGCATGGTGGGCGGAAAGAGGACTCTAGGGTGGGGATCCTTGACAGTTCTGTTTGACGATTCATTTGACACATTTGAATTTGATTTGAAATTTTGTGGATTTGTCACTCTTTACGGAGCTTGTTTTATGTTATTTATTATTTATTCTACTACTGATAGTTGTATAAAGGTAGTAAATCTAGATGGAAATTGTGGCAGAACTTAAATTAACAGTGACACTATCGCGATTTATCGAAAAATACTCTAAAATAGTTGGTTGTGTAGCGTGCGGTAGATCTCGGCAAAAATCGAGTGAAATAATGGAACAACTTTTCGCTAGTAAGTGACTATATAATATACATACGTGTAGTAAACCGATCAATTATGAAATTCACTTAAATTAACTAAATTATATATTTTTCTTGCATTTTAGATTTTATTTACTACTTGTCAAAGATTAGATGTCAAAGAATTTAGATACGTTAATTTGACTCAAGGACTGTATATATTGTAAAGGACTGTTCGATCGCGTCAAATCGCCGCTGTCGTAGTCGCCGTGGAATGCTACGTCACGCCCTGACCGGCGCTCCACAGTGCGACGGATGGTTATTTTAGCGGGACAAAATCTCAAGAGCAATGTTTGGGAGTTAAAATCTAAGAACGTAGCAAATGGTCTAATATATAGCAACTATATGGTTAAATTTATTTATTTATTAACAACTTAATTTATTAATAAATAAATACAAGATAATAAAACTATGATATTATTCGTACTGTTTGACCAGCGGATCTGTAGCTACGGAAGGAATGCGAGAAAAAAAAATCGATATTGCCACGTTTATCTATAAAATTGCAAAATTGCCAGACATGAACTATAAATTTAATATATTTTTATTATATATAATGTGTTTAGCATATATTCTGACGTATATTACTAAGGAATTTTAACGTAGTTCATATTGTTCGATATGTTTTATTTAATAACTTATTTCTTTCATTCTGTATAATCTGCCTATTATGAAAGTTGAAGATTTTCAACGATATCATTGGCAAACCGGCATCGCCGCGCATGGCCGCCTATTCATCGAACATGATTGGCGAGTACGTCACAGGATTTGTTACCACGCGGTTGCCATGGCTTTTACGCCTTTCCTATTCGCTTGCTTTATCCCCAACTTCACGGTCTCTTCTGAAAAGAGTAGGAATATTGAATACTATTGAAATATCCAGTGGCGGTGTCATTTTTTTGATCATTATTACTTTATTTCATTATTTTATACCGGTTATCCTAAACTTTATTCCTATATTTTTAGTATATTTGATAGTTAAGTTGTGTTTTATTGTTTTGTTATCTTGTTATAATGTTTTTCGTTCGTAGTTTTTAATTATTAATATCAAGTTTGATCGTATATTTGTGTTTTAAAACGAATAAATTTGTTAAGGGTAAGACGCTACATAGTCAGACAAGAGAAATAATAGCTAATTTATATAGGTAAGTTAATAATAACGTGGATGAAATCTCATTTGGTGTATTTCCTTGTGTTCATAATAGGGTTTGCGATGAAGAAGCTACAGAGAGTTCGCTTGAGTTGCCGCTTAAACGTAAACTTGAGCGGATATTTCTTTATACCGGAGTTAGCGTATCGGCTATAAAAAAATTCACACAGAAGATAAAAAAAAGGCTGAAAACTAACCCCGATAAAATGATATCCTCTCTGGAAAGAAACGACCACGTGAGACTGCTGTCGAAAAGCTCAACGACTTTTTCGAAGTGGTCAGGAATTTGATAAATAGATTTTATCTCGAATTCAAACTCGTCCCCACAATTAGAAAGCTTTTGCAAAAATTGCAGGAAGAATCGAATTTTCCTTTTGCAGGGAAACGCTTAGGGGGTTATTAAAATCAAATGAATTTTTTTGGCGTAAATGTTAAAATAACAGATAAATATTAATGGAGCGGCCCATTATATTGCAGAGAGAGATATAAATATATATACGCGAAATTCGAAAATATAGCCAAGTATTATCTATTTGGATGTAACATATGGGTAGACAATGACCTAACCTTTAAAAACTGCTGGCGGAGCGATACCATATCTGGTGTAATAGGCAATATCAGATCTACTGATGAGTAAAATTATGTTTTGTTTGCGCTTCCAAAGTTAACTATTTTCAAGATTTTTTTTTGCTGGAAATAGTTATATCTAAAATTATGTATTATAGAAAAAAATATAGTTAGTACAGATATATAAATAAATATACCTCAAGACTCAGTCTTGATCATCTGCTGATGGCAGACATGGTTAGCGAAACGTGGTCCAGTGTAAAATTAAAAGTGTTTTGGTGTATTGTACTGATTTAGTGTTTTATTTTGCTGTGTAACACCAAAGGTTCCAACCCCCAGCTGTAATTATTTCTTCTATTATATTAACAACACAATAATAAAATGATTCAAAATATTTAAGGGAGCTTTAATAAAAGCTTTTAGTGTTTATCTGCTAACTCAACAGTAACGATTCAAACAGCATAAAGTTTTTTGAAAAAAATTATTAATCTGAGTATTATATTTATGATACACATTATTTTCATATAACACCGTACGCCCATGCCTATTTTATGAATGAAATTGGGCGTGTTTTGTTTACAACTGCGTTCCCCTGCCGATACCCCGTAGCTACAGATCCGTTGGTCACACTATACATGACACGCAAAAACCGTATTGTAAACTATTGCCAAATACATAAAATTATGATATCAAAATACTCTTTAGCAGTTTTTTTTAATTAATATGTAATCTTGTGACACCCTCTATAATTTATTTTAAAAAATATATTTTATTTTGAAAATAATAAATAAGATAGATATTTTAATTTTAATTTTAACACTCGGTAATTGTTAATTCATATATAGTAAGTATCTAAGACAATTTTTTAAACTCAGTGTCTTTTGATGGAGTTGTTTTGTTTTTATACTATCCGATTGAAATGAATCTTTTTGGGCATTCACCTGTTAAGCTTGAACTCCCTGTGACTGTCACTACCTGTGTTGGTAACTATTGGTAACTCAAAAGATCTACATCATTCAATATATCGATATTTGAAAAAAAAAGTGAAAGTTTGATATCTGCAGAACAAAGGCACGAAGGATTTTAACAAATAATATACGTACAGTAGAAAAGTACATACCTTTGGCGATCTTCAACATAATTTGGCTTTCTAATAAAATGTATAAGCACTTGTAAATATTTTGTTTTCGTATGATCTCTGCCTTGCTGAGCAGAAAACGACCAAATTTGGTTGATAAAAATGTATCGAAATACAAAGAATATTCATGCATTTTTGTATCAATTGGAATGTCTACTATTTATTCTTATCAGTACACATTTTTTGGCTTATTTCTAACCAAACGCTTTTGTCCCGCTAAATTTATCTTCCAACGCATTGTGCGCTCGTCCGTCAAATGCAAAAATAACTGTCACTGTCTAAAATCTTTAGCGCCAACTTCAACTCGGTCAGTAGATGACGTAAAAAAACTGACAGTGCAGGAAGATAGGAATCGAACTATCCTTATCTCTATATAGTATCCTTGAATTTGACTTACCTGCTTCAGTAGCGTATCGGATGTTTGTGTTAATAAATACTTATTAAAATGCTGTATTTATATCCTTTAGTATCATGATAATATAAAATTTGAGTAGGTATCTCCATTTATTTCACTGTTTTTGGTTAAGGGCACTCTTAGTTTTAATTGCCTTAAAAATAATAAGTATAATAATAATTTAAATCTCCCGCTCTTTCATAGTTCGTTCCTGTAGCCAAGTAGAGGGCACTAAAAGCGCAATCTCCCAACATTTTACCACGCGATTCGCCACTCTCTAAACTATTAACTTTCTCTATGGGTGGACCTAAGATTTTTGATATGGTCCTTCCTTAGTCTTCTTATTCAAAGGTATTTACGTTTTAATGAGGCCTTTTAAAAGGGATATTTTAATTTATTTCACTATTTGGCCATTTTGTTGATATTTTTTATTGGTAGAAATCAAAATTCAGGCTAATATAATAGAAAATAAATATCGAGAAGAAGAAATGCCTTTCTTCTTCTTTTTATTAATTTTTTACGGTTTTTTAGAGTTTTTTACGTGTAAAAATGAAAACGAAACACGTAAAAAATCATCCCTGTAGAAAATATTTATAATAAAATACTGAATTTTTTTTCGAACGGTCGCCCGTCCAAATGCCCAACTCACCTGACGTCGCTTAGCTTTGAAAATCGACGGGTAAAATTGATAAAAAAAAGAGAAAAAATTACCTGTTCGGTTCGGAAACGCTGGTAACCTTACTTTCTGCACCACAGGACAGTTTTACTCTAGTCGACCGATTGGGACCATTCCAGCAATTCTGACCATGCTCGTAAAGCATAATTTCGTAAGGGTTGTTGTTTGGACCGTCCCATTTCGACCACCTAAAATTGATCAATAATTCAAGGTCAGTTTTGATCGAAAACATGATTTTTTAAGCCAAATTTCAATGTTATACGACACTTACCTGCCCAAATTTGTTTCTGAAGAACTGGACTTGGGAATTTGTAGGGATTTTTCGAAGGGACACAGTTTATAAACGTACTCGTGGTCAGTATAGTCGAAACACTGACCTTCCAAAGAGGCGAATTCCTCGTCAGGACCAAAATCTTTCTTCAAACTCTGCTCCAAATCCCTTATCTGGTCGTTAATACTTCTCACATCTTTTTCTGCCTCTATATTAACGATATAAAACATAGAACTTCCACCCTGTATATTTAAAAATGTCGCAAACTTACCTGAATAATGATTTCTAGCCTCACTAGCCAAATCTACGAGTTTTTGAGTTTCTTCATCATAAGTTATGTAGTGTTCTTCTTCTTCATGCTCTTCTGGCTGTTCTTCTTTTTCGTTATCTTCATCCTCATCTTCTTCACCACCTATATGGTTATATTATCATATACAGGGTGTCCAAAACATACAGAAAAAAAAAATAGTTTATTTACCCTCTTCATGTTCACTCTCACCAAATTCAACCTTCAGCTCTTCTTCTTGATCTTGTAAGTCTTCTGATTCGGCTTCTGATGTTGTTTCTGGCGGTTTGAACATCCCTGAGTCGATTTTAACAAAAGGTTTCATTAAAGGCCAAGACTTTTCGATAAATGTTTCCAAATCCACTGACTCTTGGTTGTTTAAGAACAATTTTGCCTCCTCCTCTGAAACTGTAATAGATACAAATAAAAAATTTATTTATTTTTTCTAAATAAGGTTATAAATAAAGTTAAATCGAAACTACCTTCTCCATTACGGTCTCTGTCAAAACTCTGTCTCGATTGCAGTTCAGCAATTTCAACTAAACCATCCTGATTGCTGTCCAGCTTCTTGAAGTTCTCTACGGCCTCTTGTTGGAGCTTCTCGGCCTCTTTTTCGGCTCTTTGTTTCTTGTATTGTTCTTCCAGTTCTTTGTAATATTCCAGTGCTTTTCCTTCAACCTCTTCGGCCTTTTTCTTCAATTCCTCTCTTTCAGATTTGATTTTTTCTGCTTCTTCTTTGTGTTTTTGCAATTCACCCAATTTTTGTTGTTTTTCGTTCTTCATTTTTAGCCCTTCTTGGCTTAGCTCCGCTCTAAGTTGTTTACCTGTAAACAAAAGCTTTCTAGAATATTTTGTGTTGTACAGGGTGTCCCATTTTCGTGTGTTACCCTGTAAAACACACTAAAACAAAGTTAGTTGAAAAAATCACATCAAACAAGGTTATGAACAAAAAAGAAAGCACATTAACTTGCCCAGATGTAACATGATACTCAATATTACCATCTGAAAAATATACATATTTATTATAAGTATTTTAAGCTTTAAAAATTATAGTGATGTTTCTCTGATACTCACCGACTTTTAGTAGCTCAGCTAATCTAAAAGCCTCTTCTCTTGCAGCTTTTCCCATTTCCTGACAGTTATTTACGCAGGTTTTTCTTCCAGAATACTCATCTGAGCCATCACAACAGTCACATATGCCATCGTTAACTCTAAGTATAATAAAATTGATTTTTAAATTCACAGTAACAAAATTATAATAACATACCTATCCGACTTTAAAATACTTGGTTTATATCCAGCATTTAGGCAATAAAAAGAGCCTCCTGCACATGCACTTGTGCCTGGTTCATCACTACTATCCTCACAGTCACAATAGTCATCGTTTACCTAAAAATTCAAAGGTTTACAGTTATGAATTTAATTTATAGACAAATTTAAACTCTAAAGCACTGCATTTACCTGATTATAAGGTATAGTTTTGCTGCCATCGAAGCAGGTAAAGTTAGTGTCTGGGTCGTACAGAGGGGCTCGAGACAAAGCCACCCCTCGAGGCCTGGGCACTTCTGCCTTGGAATCTGATAATTCTATAAGAACTAGGATAATGTACAGGCATTTTAATTTGAAATTAGCGTAGAATTTGTTGAGTTTCATCCTAAACGCCGGCTTATCAATCACGAAAATAATCTATTTGACATCATAACCCGACAAAAGACACGTCAGAAAATTATTCAGCTGTCATTTTTGAGATTATCATTAAGGTTGCTTTACACTAGATTTCTATTATCTATTTTTATAATTATTTAAAAAATTGTTCGTTTTGGATTAAGATCAGTATTTTTTACGACGCGTACATAGGGTGAGTGTTATTATTTTTAATTTATGTGTGTCAAAATATAAACTTGTTTTAAAATAAAATTTGATGAGTATGAAAATGCGTATATCAGGCTTTAGTATTTGTTATGAAGATCGTTTTGGCCACAGAGAAATGGTTTTAGCCTTTTTTATGTATTAGATTCAGAGATATAGAGGTATGAAAAAATTCTAAGCATGCTAGACGCCATGTTCGCGCTTCTGTCTACAGGGGGTGATCAGAAAGTAATCGCGATTATAAGTTTCTCGACCGATATCTCGATAGTTAATCTAAAAATATCGCGTAATATTAATAAAATTTAAAAATATAAGAATTTCTTATAGACAAGAGTAATAGATAAACCAAAAAGAAATAGTCTATAGAGGAATTGCCTGGTAATACAGTTGGTTTTTGTTAATTTGATTGTTTATTAATTCTAAACATATAATAAATATAGGCAACAATTCAAACAAAAAATCAGTCATTTTTCTATCACCTAAACCTAAACATCAATAAGTTATATTTCTTTTTCTTCATTTAAATTTATTCTTCTTCGCTAGAAGACTGGTAAGCCAACTGATCGTTCCACCATTCCTTGATTTCTTGCATAGCGTTAGTCAGTTTTGGAACTGAAGTTTTGTTGTTTTGAATCTGAAATGAAACATGTGAAAAATATTGTAACGGACCAGTTAGCGATAAGAAGAATATACGGGACGACTGCCCTGTTCTCCAAGCTCGGTCTACTACCGTTTTAATCGATCTCCTTCTTAAAAAAGTTGATGATGTGTCCCGCCAATAAAAATTCGACAAATGTCTTTTTCTTAGTGACATACTCGTCAAGTCCACGTGGACTCTCTGCCGCGTGTAAACAGGGTGTTTCAAAAAATATGTGCCATCTCTCATGGGGAGATTCCTCACGTAAAATGAGATTTTTTTTCATATCAATATAGGTCCGATTCTGCTTAGTTTCGTAGCTACAGGGTGTTAAACCCTTAATAATTTTTCGATTTATTATAATTTTCTTCCAAGTGTTTTTAGTAGCGACTATATCGATCTCCAGAACCATTCCTCGAAACAATTTTTACCAAGAGACCTTTTTTACGTAAAAAAACGTCTTAAATGTATATTTCTTACTCGTATAGTTTTATACAGGTAAGGACGAAAAGTTATTACTCTTCAAACACGAGTAGGAGTCATATTGACATCAAAATTAAAGCTCTCATGTCAAAAAACTCCCAGTCACCAATTTTCATCCAAATATTGACGTTACTTCAGAAATTATCTGGAAAAAATCGAAATAAAAATAAAACTTCAACACCCAGTATCTCTGAAACTAAGCATTTTAGGAAATACATTTATACAAGCTTTTCTACTTATTTTTATCTACAGAATATGCTGCCAAAGTTTCCGGAATACAGTTCTGACCACCCTGTATATTGCTGTTTATTTAAATGTGTTTTGTAGTAAATTTTTTTGTAGTTTAAAATTCCTTTCATAGAGACAGATCCAGTAGACGTACAGTACGTCTGCTGGATCTGTCTCTATGAAAGGAATGTGGACAAAAAACATTTAAATAAACAGCAATATATTTTATACGTCGACTTGACGAGTACGTCATCGCAAATCGCTCCGCCCACTCATTTTATTGGCTACTTGCAAATTTGTCGAATTTTTATTGATGGGACGCGTCGTCCAATTTTTTACGAAAAACATCGAGAGAATATCGTTTCCCCTCTCACAGATACCCCGTAGCTACAGAACGGACAGACGTACTGTACAGTACGTCTGCTGGGTCTGTGTCTATGAAAGGAATGCGGACAAAAACATTTAAATAAACAGCAATATATTTTATACGTCGATTTGACGAGTACGTCACCGCAAATCGCTCCGCCCACTCATTTTATTGGCTACTTGCAAATTTGTCGAATTTTTATTGATGGGACGCGTCGTCCAATTTTTTACGAAAAACATCGAGAGAATATCGTTTCCCCTCTCACGGATACCCCGTAGCTACAGAACGGACAGACGCACTATACGTTACCTTGAAACTGTTTCTATAGCTCAAATAAATGAGATATTCGTCATATTAATATTAGTGTCGAATTTTAAATAGTTTTTAGTGTTAATAAACGCAACATTTTTGATATTACCTCACGGGCAGGCATTTTATTGGCTTCATTATCGTTCAAGTGAGTCAGGTTCTTGTTCACAGGCGGATTATTAGGTCTTGTAGTATTATTTTTCTTCTTAGCTGCTGGAACTCTTTCTTTCTCTTGTCTTGACGAAGGATCGGACAGTGTTGGAGCTAAATATTTTCGACCTAGAACATCATACACTTTTGTTCTAGGCTTCTATCACACTGGATGCAAAAACATACCTGAACTACTTCCTATGCTATCCGATCTGGGTAAGTTCACGATTTTTTGCTTTTTAGGCGGTGCTTCATTCTCTTTAGACTCGTTTTTGTGCTCCTGATCATTTTCTGTGGTTATATTGGTGTTTTTTGGTTCTTCCCGCGTGTCCGCTATGAAAGGAATTGCTTCGTTCGTTGCCATCAGACCTGCCATAAGACTATTTTCTTTTTCTTTTCTCTGAAAGGAAAAGTTAAATAAATGTGTTTTTTGGTCTATTTTTTTTTTCGTTATTTTACATTAGCTTTCTTTTTTTTCAAGCATGCTTCCATCCAGGTTCGTATAGTTTGTTTAGCCACCTCCTCCTCAATAATATACTCAAATTCCTCCCTGGCAAGCAGCTCTTCAAGTTGAAGGGCTTTCCTGATATCCACACTCCTGTACGACAACATACTGAAAAAAAAACATTACACAACAAAAATATACTAGGCTAGATAACTCATCAGATACTAAGAAAAAAATATATGAGCTGTTATTTTTGAAAGGGGTAGAAGTCCATTCTTCCATGTATCGAGATATTTAAGGTTTTGCATTTGAATTAACTTAAAAATATTCGTTAGTACGAGAGCTAGCAACGTCGGAAAGTCTCTTTGATATATCTTTTACTATGCTCTCTAGAACAGCATGCGGCCCGACTGGCTGCCGGTAAACGTTGCGTTCCCTACTGCGCAAAAGAAGATCCTATATTTTGATTAGTCCTTTAAATTCTAGTATTGAATATAAACCAAACATGTCTCCATAGCGCAGTGCGTAGAGTTTCCGACTACGAACTGATGATTCAGAGTTCGAATCCGGGTCAGGGCAAGCTATATAGATCCTCAACAACTTGACAATATTTTTGTGAATTTGTAAATCAATCCATATTTACAGTAGCGGATTTTGTTCATAAAAGGACAAATTTGCTGACAACTAAATGTTGGGACAAGTATTTTTAAATTAATATCATCATAGGCGGCTTTGCTATAAACGTCACAAATGTCGCAAACTGTTTACTTCAGCATTGACAGCTTGTAAGTGGCTCGATACTTCGAGTAGTGAGATTTACTGTAAGTAATTTTAATTTTTTTAATTTTCAATTTTGTTAATTTAATTCAAAGTAATGGTCCGTGGAAAAGCTACAAATCGAAAACTACGCGAAATTATCATTCGTCAATACAGTACGGGAAAAACAATTCGAAAAATTTCTGATGATTTAAGTATTCCAAAAACCACGGTCTTTAAAATAGTAAAAAATACGGCGAATTTGCCAATATAGACGTTAAAGGTAAAAGTTCGGGAAGGCCAAGAGTTGTATCTCAGAGAGACAAAATGTAGTAAAATTTTGCAAGTCTGCGAGAAGAAGTACTCTTCGCGAAGTAACAGTTAAATGGAATACTGTAACTGGTTTAAATATATCAAGAGAATGTTGCCGAAAATATATCCATAAATGCGGTCTGGGGTTGTGTGGATAATCAATTACCTGAAGATTATTGATACAAATTCTTATTTAGGTCGAAGAAAAACCGCTACTGACAAAAATTCAAAAGAAAAATCACTAAAATTGGGCAAAATCTAAATTATCGTGGACACAAAATGATTGGAATAACGTCATATTTAGTGATGAGTCTAAATTTGATGTTTGCGTTGGAGATCATCGAAAACGAATAATACGAAATAAAGCAGAAGCCTTTCATAAAGATTGAAGAAAACTGTAGCTGTTAAAACAACGCAAGGAACTCCACAAGGTGGAGTAACCTCCCCTTTGCTGTGGAGCTTGGTGGTGGATGAACTACTAGATGAATTAACTCTAGCGGAAATACACTGCATTGGGTATGCAGATGACATAGTCATGATCGCTCGGGGGAAACATGAAGGCACCTTGTGTGATATTATCCAAAGAGGACTCCGTATCACTGAGAGATGGTGTAGGACTGTCGGGCTGAGTATCAACTCAGACAAAACCGCGATAGTGCCATTCACCAGAAGGCGAAGTCTGAAAACTTGAAAAGAATCCAACTAGATGGAAAGGAAATACTGCCAACACAGGAAGTTAAATACCTGGGAATAACCCTGGACAGTAAACTCCTGTGGAACAGGCATATTAAGAACACTACCAGCAAAGCCATAAAGGCTCTCATGATATGCAGAGACTGGCCGGAAATAGATGGGGCTGCTTCCCTAACATTTTGCGCTGGATGTATACCATGATAGTAAGACCCATGATTACTTATGGAGCAGTTGCCTGGTACACAAAACTAGAGCAACGGACGGCAAGGCTAAACCTATGCAAAGTCCAGAGACTAACATGCGTTTGCATCACAGGAGCCATGAGAACCTGTCCAACAGCAGCAATGGAGGTCATTCTAGATCTAACACCACTGCACATTGTCATTGGTAGATATGCCAATGCGACATTGATTAGAATGGTCACTAACGGAATTAGTACTGGGAGAATTGTCAGATCAGGGGCTTGGAACACCCTCATAAAGGAAATACCATCCTGCAACTCCCAGTGGACGATATGCCAAGAACGTACAACTTTGAGAAACATCTCAATGTAGTATTGAGCAATAAAAAGGATTGGAAGAGCGAAACGCTTGCCCAGCAGTTAAAAAACCATACCATAACTTGGTATACTGATGCTTCCAAAACCAATACGGGAATAGGGATCGGAGTGTTTGGGCCGAAAGCTAAATACTCCGAACCAATGGGCACTTACCCTAGTATCCTACAGGCAGAAATCTACGCTATCGAAAGATGCGTACAACTTATCTTCGATAGGAACTATCGGAAACAAGAAATAGCCATCTTGTCTGATAGTCAAGCAGCGTTAAAAACGATCAACTCAGTATCAATCAATTCGAAATTGGTCAAAGAATGCATAGAGAAGCTGAATAAATTGGGCAAAGAAAACAAAGTCCTCCTACTCTGGGTGCCTGCTCACCAAGGGATAGAAGGCAATGAAAATCCAAATAATCTAGCTAGGAAAGGAGCGAACACTCCACTAACTGGACCAGAACCGTTCTGCTTTTCAAGTGGTAACCAACTCAAGGCGGAACTCAAGAACTTGGAAGATTCCATCCGCAACCTGGAATGGAAATCTTGCAACGGTCTAAGACACTCGAAGAAGTTTCTGAGGGCTTATGATCAAGAAAAATCACAGATCTTCCTGGGTCTGAGTAAGAACAATCTTCGGATTGTCACGGGGTTTTTAACAGGACACTGTCTCCTCAATGAACACCTCAGTAGATTGAAACTAAGAAGAAACGGCGAATGCAGATTCAGTGGGGAGAGATGGGGGAAACACCAGTACACCTCATCACTGAGTGCGCCGAGACGACAACCATTCGTGCCATGAATTTTGGTACGACTGATATTGGAGATGGAGAACTACCCTCTATAAAACCGTCCCAGATACTGGCTTTTGTCAAAGCCCTGGGACTGTATGATGAGTTATGATTCAAGAAAGGGGGACACAATGGATCTGTAAGGTCGAAGTGATTAACCCCCCTCCCACTCATTCTAAAAAATTCTAAATTCATAAAGATTGCTTGAAGAGGGTTGTTAAATTTCCTAAGGGGATTATGGTTTGGGGTTGCATGTCAGCAAGAGGTTTGGGCAAATTAAATTTTATAGATGGCACTGTTAACGCCCAAAAATATCAACATATACTTGAGACCTCACTTTTGCCTAGTGCTCTAGAATTGTTTCCAAACGAAGATTTTCCAACAAGATGGAGCATCGTGCCATTCAGCAAAATCAACTAAAAATTGGTTCGGTAATAATAATATAAAAGTTCTATCCCATCCTGCAAGTAGTCTGGACCTCAATGTTATAGAAACTGTGTGGCATAAAATGAAGCAATATTTAAGAAACCACCCTCAACGAACAATTTTTGTTTTGCGGATAAAACTGCAGGAAATTTGGGATAATTTTTCTCCTCAAATGTGCCAATCTTTGGTAAATACAATACCATTAAGAGTTCAGGCAGTTGTTAAGGCGAAATGTGATGTAACTCCGTATTAAACAAGTTTCTTGTTGTGCTGTCCCAATATATAGTTGTCAGCAAATTTGGCTTGATTTTGACAAAATAAGGTATTATCAAAAGTGATTTGGTTGCAAAGTTATAAAAATATAGTAAAATTGTCTAGATCATATTGTAATGTAAATTGAGTCGTTTTAACAAATTATTATTTTTATTGCAAAAAAAGGCTCGTAAAGGAAGCATACTTAATGACGTCATGGAAGGTTACATCTTCGCCGTTGTGTAGTTTATCCAGTTCGTAGCACATGTGCTTGAAGAGCAGCCTGTCTTTTTGAGGGTCCACTTCAAGTCGGCCTTTGAGGAGTCTCAGTATAAATTTAACGCGTTTTACTGGAATGACACCTCGTTGGTGAATGTCCACGATGTTCCAGGTGTTCTGGAAGTTCCTGATGTCCGCGTAGGATAGTAAAGCGTCTTCCTCGTTGGAGTAGAACAAGGAAAAGTTCTCCATGATAATAGCTAAAGGAAAGAAATAAATATATGTATATACAAATAAAGAAATAATAAATATATGTACAGTACATCGATTACCGAGCAATTTATGATCGTTTAAATAACATTACTTAAAGATGATTATTATTATGAATTTTTTTTTTGCTTTAATTGTTTACATTAATAAAGATTATTTAAGGGCGACTTTCACAAATCTAAGATTTGTGAGCATTCATGGGACACAGGGCACAGAATAGATTTTAACAACGCCAAAATGATAATGAAAGAGGCTTTTTTATACAATCTACTAAAAATAAATGTATTGCTCATGCATCTGTAGATGTTATTGTAATAATGTATGGCAATCGCTTCTTTGATTTTAAAGAACATAAAATAAATAAGCATAACATACGTAAAAATTAAAAACAAATTAAAAATAATCATACAGAAAAAAACGTTTTTTGATATGCCCCTTCTATAATATTTTTATTCAAAGGTTCTAAATATTTTTGGCGCTTCTTTCAAACCTGTTTCAAACGTAGAACTTTCGTTACAGCAGCGCCATCTTAAGCATTCCCTGTTTGATGACCACTTTTCAATACTACCTATATAATTTTATATACTTTGACGAAACTCACCCACTAAAAGGTTTAGAACAATGTAAGTAATGATGACATAGAAGGTGCAGAAGTATATTAAGGATCCTATGAAGTTTCCACAGTCTGTCTCCCAATAGTTGGATGCAGGAGTGCAATATGGCGGTTGGATCATACAGTCGTGCATAATTTTGTTCCAGTCTTCACCAGTGACGATCCTGAACAACATGGCCACTCCAGTGACTGGGGATTGGAAATTCGCACGCCTATGGATGTTCAAAAGGTTCAAAAAATCATACAGGAGGTGGTTTAGACAGTACTCTCTATAGGTTATTAATTAGTATAAAAAATAAACCGAAATATTTTTTGGTACTGACCTTCCAATACCTTCACCGTACTTCACGGTACCAAACAGAATGGTACCGGCCAGTGCGTAGAAGAAAACTAAAAGGAACATTCCGAAGATAATGAAGAAACTTTTGCATACCGATACTCCCACAGTGAGCATGAGCATCTTTAAGGTTGCGTGCTTTCCAGTTATGGTAAAAAACCGTAGAACCACCACCATGAATCCGATGAAATACGTCAAATCATTCTGAAAAAAATGTAAAAACTTCATTCCTTAAACCGCCTCTACACTATGCGGAGAACTCTTCGAAGGAGGTTAATGTCGCATTTCAGTTTATTTCCAGTTGTCTTGACCCACTTTAGTTTGCCTCGACCTACTTTCGATTCTTAAACGCGCCTGAAAATTATTTTTTTTGGCGTTTCCTGTTGCCTCTTCAATTTTGTTTCGTTTTGAGCTCCAAGCTTTCCAAGACATGGCGTTATCTGTACCCGAGGCAAAGGACTTTTTTTTCATAAATATCAGTGAAATAAGGAAACTTGGACGTTTCTAAAATAGCTGTTGTTACAATGATATTTCAGGTAAACCGGCTTAAGATTTGAGATAATGTCGCAAGTAAAAAAAGAGAAATGGTTAAAAGTGTGTTAGAAACCGTCCGCATGTCACTGAAAAGACAAGGCTACATACCAAGGAAGCCAAAAAAATCGCTGCAATAACACCTCTACAAAGGCAGCGAAAAATGGATTTTTGTCAACGTTTTCAAGAAGATAATTGTAATAATGTTTTTATTTCTGACGAAAGTTGTTTCTAGCTTGGTGGAAACCACCTAAAAATCCTATCAAAAGAAAATGTTACCGTTCAAGTTTCAAAATTCCCGCTAAAATAATGGTTTGGGGAGCAATATCTCAGCGTGGTGCTACACCTCTGTGTATAGTTGATGAAACCGTTAATAGTGCAAAATATTGTGATATTTTAAATAGTTTTCTTCTTGAAACGGCTCATGTTTTCTATCCAGAGGGGTGGCGTTTTCAGCAGGATAATGCAAGCTGTCATACGTCTGCCTATACTCAAGCTTGGATGCAAGAACACCATTTGGCAACAATTCCATAGCCAGCAGCTTCATCAGACCTTAGTCCCATTGAAAACATATGGGGACTAATGAAGATTGAAGTGGTACGAGCAGCTCCACGAAATAAACAAGATTTGATTCGCTCAGTTTTACAGGCCTGGACGTTTAGTTAAGTGTTGTATAAGTAAATAAAATTAATAATTTGTTAGAATTTTTTTAACTCAAGTCCTAAAAATATATATGGATAATTGTAATTTTGCTTTCTTTTTTCCGGATACTTTCTAGACGGACTATATATTCCACAAGAAAACTTTTCACTCAATCTGCAGGAATATAATTACAATATGTTTATTATTTAATTTTATTATAATGAATTAGTATATAAAAATTGTATATGTTTTGTTTGTTCACGCGGCCTTAATTGATTAATATAACAGTAGTATTGCTTGATGAGTAAGCCCACGGCCACACAGAAAGCGTTTTTAGCGTTTTGCGTTTTTTGCGTCTCAATCGCTTTTTGCGATTTTACCGTTTTTGAGCGCTTTTTTCGATTTGTGTCCATTAAAAATACGCAAAAGACGCGGCAGGTCTGCAGTTTCTATCAATATGTCAATTAGCAACGTCGCAATCACGTGGATTTCCGGCCCGTCCAACAATCAATCCTGTGAGAGAGAGATAGGCGAGATCGGCGCCGTTAGCTTTGAAGAGACGAAGATAAAAGATGCTGGGATTGAATTGTGGACGGGCCGGGGATTATATTCGGAGACAAACAAACTCTACTGCTATTGCCAGTGGTGTGTGTAAAAATAATAATTATTATTTGCCATTTATTTTACGAATTCTAGTTTATACAGTACATCTGCTGGATCTGTGTCTATGAAAGGAATGCGGACAAAAAACATTTAAATAAACAGCAATATATTTTATACGTCGATTTGACGAGTGCGTCACCGCAAATCGCTCCGCCCACTCATTTTATTGGCTACTTGCAAATTTGTTGATTTTTTATTGATGGGACGCGTCGTCTCTTTTTTTACGAAAAACATCGAGAGAATATCGTTTCCCCTCTCACGGATACCCCGTAGCTACAGAACGGACAGACGTACTGTATGTGTGCAGTTTTTTGATGTAGTGTTGCGGTTAGTACTTGTTATAATTATAATATAATAAATAATTATAATTATATAATAGAATAGTAAATATCTCTAGTTGCTAATGCAATTTTAGGACATAATTTATGAAACATTTTGGAGTGAAACTTCTTTACGCGCGCTGGTAGTAAAAATTCAAGGCCGTGACATACGAGCTAGTGAGACGGCCCTGACACACGAGCTCGTTGTAACGAAAGGTGTGAACGGCTTAGAAATACGTAGTGACGTGACGTGTATTTGTGAGCAATCCACGTGTTTATCAAAAATATCGATATTATAATACAAATTTTGTAAAAGTGAATCAAATTATTACGCGTAAACAAACATTTGTTACACGTAAAAAACTATTTTTATTATTTTACGCGAATAAAACTGATACACGTAAACAACCATTTTTTACGCGTATAAAACTATTTGTTACTGGTATAAAACTATTTTTTACGCGTATTAAACTATTTTTTACGCGTATAAAACTATTTGTTACGTGTAAAAATCTATTTGTTACACGTAAAAAACTCTTTTTTTACGCGTCAAAAACTTATTGTTTCTGGTAGAAAACCTTTCTTACGCAAAAAAAAATATTTTTTACGTGTAAAAAACTATTTGTTACACGTAAAAAACTAATTTTTACGCGTCAAAAACTTATTGTTTCTGGTTAAAAAAACTTTTTTACCCAAAAAAAAATATTTTTTACGTGTAAAAGACTATTTGTTACACGTAAAAAATTATTTTTTTACGCGTCAAAAACTTATTGTTTCTGGTAAAAAACCTTTTGTTACGCAAAAAAAATATTTTTTACGTGTAAAAAACTATTTGTTACACGTAAAAAAATATTTTTTACGCGTAAGAAAATATTCCTTTAATTTATTACTTTTTCAACATTTCAAACTACACTGTTTCAAACATTTCCTTCAAATATTTGAATTTAATAGAATCTTCCTAAACAGTAGATGTTCTTTATGAAAATATTTTTAGATAATACCCTAAAATGAAAAAAAAATGCATAGTATTTAATTTATTTTTATTGTATTATTAAATATAACGTCCGCCTATGACGGGGTCTCATCTTAGAAAACGCTAAAGATGCTACAGAAAACAAACTGATTTGTTTTCATTTGCGTTTTTTGCGAGACACGCCGAACGCTACACGCTTTTGGTGTGGCCACTCCTATATAATCCTGTTATTTTGTTTTAGTCGCTAAAGACGCATCACGCTAAAAACGCAAAAAACGCTTTCTGTGTGACCGTGGGCTAATACTGGCAACATCATCAATATATCGAGCTGATTGGGATAATTATTGATTGACCCATTTCGACGATAGTGTAGAGGCTGTTTTAGCAGTAAAATGTTATATGGTTTCAATTACCTTGAACATGATGTGAAAAAACATCCATATAACACCCACAACAGTTACAAAGAGATCATATCTGTTCCTCCTGGACTGTAAGTATCCTCTTGGTGTGAAAGCTATGTTTTTCATCACAACTTCCACCAGAAATATCAACGTACAAATTATGGAAACGGTAACCAATGAATCCGTAGCTGGATCGTCTTTTTCCCACTGAAAAACAGAAAAAATAATTATTGCCTACAACCGAGTGCCTACTTTTTTATACTTACCGTAACGCTCAGCAGAGCAGAATTGATCAAAACCAAAATGGCTATGCTCCTTTTAAACTTCAAATTCTGCGTGATGTCGTAGATAAAAGCTCTGAATTTCTTGCCGTCCGGCCTGGGAGGTAAATGTAACGGTTGGGCGATCTTCAGTCTCTTCTTCAAGTCGCACCAACGCCTTTGGTCAACTGTCAACAAGGCTGTACCTTTGTTTTCGGAGTAGTTGGCTATGACCACGCCAACGAAGAGGGTCAGACCTATCATGCAACCCAGAAATATGTAGATGTGGATGTAGATTGCATGGACCTTAAAGAATTTGATGATAGATTATGGTAAATTACAAGGGTTGATCAATAAGTATGTGTTGTTGGTAAAGTTGACTCTTTATTGTTTAAAGAGTTGACTATAAAAAAGCATCAGAGTTTCATCCGTAATTTTTTTACTCCAGCCAATCAACGAAGAAAGATCGTACGATAAAGGATGTTTTGACACTTTTTTGACAAATTTAATCTAACCTTAATAAAAATATAATAGTATTACAAGAGCATGGTATAAAGAAAACAAGGTATGATCGATAGCGGCTCCGATTTCGTTAAGTTTGCGCATACCACCTGTGACGTCATACGACATACAAAAAAATATCCATATTGTTCAAATGCTTTCCTAAAATAGGGAAGAATTAGGATATAACCCCAAAAGTTATGTCAAATCATCGAGCTTGACATTTGAAAAATAATTTTCACATTTTGACACAATCAAATTTCACAGATGACACAATCTGTTTGACCATTTGAAATTGGCGCGCAGAGCTTGCCGACCAATGGAGCCGTTTATCACCTGTGACGTAGTGACCAACCTGCGCAATATCATACCTTGTATTCTTTGTATCATGTTACAAGAGCTAGCAACGTCGGGAAAACCAGAATTTTAAGAAAGCTGGTTCTTTAATATATCTTTTGCTATGCTTTGTCTGGCTGCCTGTAGACTACTGCGATTCAGTGCTGCGCATCACGTCTGTACAGGGTATCCCATTTCCGTGTCTTTTATGGGATTTCTCGTTTATGAGTGGAGATACAACGATGCGATTTTCACATTACTTTGCTACTTTTTTATGAAACTAAAATGCTACACATAGGTTTGTCCTAGCCTCCTTAGTTCCTGAAATACAGGGCGAATTTGTGATGCGCAGTAGTGAACAGATGTTGAATACAGATATGATGCGCAGTAGTGAACGCAACGTCTACCGGCAGCCAGACGGTCCTCACTGACTGTGTTCAAGAGAGCATAACAAACCAGCTGTGCAATTTTCTAACCAATCAAAGTCTTTAAATTCAACCAATATAATTAATATCGTATCATCATATCGTCGGACAACAGATGCATGAAAATTAAGCTTTAGTCTGTGTAAACTTTGTTGTGAAAATAGAGGAAATCGAGTATACAGTAGTCATGAAATATTTTTTGTTGAAAGTAAGTAACCTTACTTTCGTTATATCTAGTGACTTTAGTTAACTTTTCACAGTATTCCCAACCACAAACTACTTATTGATCAACCTTTTTACAGTTCTGCCCTAACTTACTGGACCTAGCGACTTGATGAGTATATCCCTGACATCTAACCAGCCTTTGAACGACAGAACTTCAAACAGTGTCAACATAGCGTCACCGATGTTGTCAAAATTAAACCTCCTAGGATTGGCCCAAACCCTAGGCACCAAAATCTGGGGATAAGTTTCGTTTTCCCCTGGCTGAATCTTCATTTTGGTCACGAAGACCCTTCTCCAGAATATACCGTGACAATCTTCCCGTCTTGTAATGTTCGGGTCATTGCATCTAGCCAACCTTCCTCCTGAAATTTTGTCTTATTTCATTAACAAAACCTAAAATACAAAATTACTGACCATATAACTGAACACCGTAGCTAGCAAAAATAAAAATCAGCAAAATCAAGAGCGTAGATACCAAGAGGATCTCTTTAAATCCTCTGCACAGCTCATAAACTACTTTGCTCATGTGCGGTACCAAAGTAAAAATTCTTAAAGGCCTGAGGCATCTCAGGATCATCAAAAGTTGAGCTCCAGAGTTGGGTGGGACCCTTCTGGGCATCCAGCAGAGGAACGTTAGGCTTACCTGAAGATAAAAGATATAAGAAACGAAAAATTTTGATATTTAACTCACAATATAGATGAAAACATCCAAAAGTGCAGCCACGTCTTTGACGTAAGCTTTGGGAGTGAAGAACAAGCCATCGGCTAGGATTTTTAAAGCTAGTTCGATGCTCATGAAGATTACGAAGCCGTATTCAGCCACTTGGAGGCTCGGGCTCTCCATGACGCGGTAGAATGGAGTCTCGAACATCATGGAGAGACAGGAGAGAGTAGTCATGGCTATCATCACCCAGTCAAGGTACGTTACCAAGCCTAGGAAGTTGCTGGTGGAGGAAATAAGTGGTTATCAGATGAGTTTGAGGGTTTGAGGTTAGTTTTAAACTTACTGAAGAGTTTTATACTTGACTTTTCGTTCTTTTCCTGTGAGGGGGTCCTTGAGTCGGGCATCGTATCTAGCGTAGACGATCAGTTGGCAGAATTTCCTAAATCTACTTTCTCTAGGAACAGCAAATAAGGGTGTGTCGAAGAAAGGGTGGTTTTCTCTTAAATCTTCTTCACGTTGGTTTCTGTAAAAGAAATTATAGTTTTAAAAACATCAGATCGGGTAAGGGCTAGAACAGTAGAGTTAGAATAAGGGATAGCTTACCCAGTAAGCTTATTCAAGAATGTTACAATCAGTTCTTTGTAACAGACGATGAGAATCCATTATTGTCAAAAAACTATACAGGGTGGTCCGAACTGTATTCCGGAAATTTCGGCAGCATGTTCTGCAGATAAAAATAAGTAAAAAAGTTCGTATAAATGTACGGCCTAAAATGCTAAGTTTCGGAGATACAGGATGCAGAAGTTTCATTTTTATTTCGATTTTTTCCAAATAATTTATGAAGTATCCTCAATATTTGGATGAAAATTGGTGTCGGGGAGTTTTTTAACATGAGAAATTTGATTTTGATGTCCGTATGACTCCTACTTGTAGAGGGCGCCACCTACATATTTGTTAACTGGTTTGAAGAGTAATAAATTTTCGTCCATACCTGTATAAAACTATTAAGTAAAAAAATATACATTTACGACGTTTTTTACGTAAAAAAAGTCTCTGGTTCTCGAGATATTTGGAATCGAAATAAAAACGAAACTTCTACACCCTGTATCTCCGAAACTAAGCATTTTAGGACACACATTTATACGAACATTTTTACTTATTTTTATTTGCAGAATATGCTGCTGAAGTTTCCGGAATACAGTTCGGACCACCCTGTATAGAAGACTTTTTTGACAGCTCATAGACCTTCATTAGAGCAATGTTTTAATCATCGACTAATGGTAAAAGTCCAGAAATAATGTATTTTTCTATAATTTTTTTTATTTTTCCAAAAAAATCAATACCTTCTCATTTCAGCTTGCTGTCTTTTGGCCTGCAACAGCTTGATGTCCAAATCATGAGGCCTAGCTCTATTAGACGTCACTCTGTTAACTCCAATATCACCATTCTCCATCAAGTGCTCGTAGGTTTGCTTGAGCTTGATCGATCCCGACCTCACAGATCGCCGAATTGACCTGGAACCAAATCTGGAAAAACAGGAGGACATTTAGAAGACCTCTCCGATTTTAGTAGTGTATAAACTAGTCTAGAAAATTTGGAAAGATTTCGTTGATTGGCCTAATTTTTTACACTCACTTCTTGTGATCTATACGTAACTGTTTGACGCTGTTCACAGTGCCCTGGGATTTTAGAGGCCCTTTGCTTCCTGGTACAGGGATGATGGAGGAATCGCCCAGCATCCTGCGTTGGTTATTCGAGTCGCTTCATGAAAAATAAAGCTTATTATAACAGAGAAGTCTAATTGGGGATTTTTAGGATTTACTTAAGCAGTTACCACAGATAAGGTATCCTATAAGCACGGCATATAAATCACACGGCAGGCTAACTCGCTTTGGCGGGAACGCTACGCGCATATCCTCGCGCACGCCGCCATTTGGGTTTCCATCAACAGAAAGTAACCAGTGTCGTAGTTTTTTCAGCGACAACACACAGTTACGGCAGATTCGAGTCAGTAGCGTGCGGCTTAATTTATTTTAATTTTTTTTTGAGTGATATATTTTGTTTTTGTTGTTTTATTTTTGTTTATTATGTGATATATTTGGTTTTTCTAGTTTTATTTTCGTTTCTTATGTAATATAGTTGCCAATAGGTGCCCGGTGGCGTAGAGGTACAGGCTCTCGTCTACCAATCTCAAGGTAGTGGGTTCGAATCCCACACCTGGCATTTCATCAGCCGACAATTTTTATTAAAATAAAAATAGTTTGGGTACCTAGGTCGACTCAGCCTTAAATGAGTACTTGGGATTCACAATCCTGAGGTAATAATAGGCGGTTGAAGCGTAGTGCATTACATTTCTTCCTTTGTACACCGAACGGCTCTAGTATGGCAAGCTGTACCTTGTTACTCCCAAGGCGTCAAACGCTATATACAGGAGCTATTATTATTATTATGTAATATAATTTGTTTTAGTAGTTTTATTTTTGTTGTTCAATAAAAAGTTTCTTTCTGTTTCCTACAGATCCTATTAGGTATGTATATATGTGATTAATTATTTTAACATATTTTAGTTGTGAAAAAAAACAGTAGTATACATATTAGGACATTCAGCTAAATAGGAAGATCTAATTAAAAATCTTAACAAACTTTAATATTAGTAAGATTTAATGTTAAATATTTAGTAAAATAAAATTTAATGTTGTATCTAGAATCTAGACATTAAAAATTAAATTTAAAAATCATTACATTATTCATTTAAATATAATTATAAAAATAAATAAAATGAGTATGTCGAAAATAAGTTAACAATACATTTTTAGGGCAAGAACATGGGCAATTGTAGCTAACGGAGAAGACTTGATTGAAGATATAAATAAGGCCCACAAGTACAGGTTGTGTTCTGTTCACTTTGAATTTAAAATGTTTACCAATTCACTTTGTAACCGTATAAAATACAATGCGGTACCTACTTTGTTTCCTGCCATGAAAAAAATAGAAGTTTCTCAAAAAAATTGTGGATTTATTAATTTGTGAAATTTGAATATTAATAAAATTTGCTACGCCCATTGATGGGCATAATTTGTACGTAGCCTCTTTATATTGTTCAATAAATATTTTATTGGTATTTTTTTAATTCTTGTTTGTAACTCCTGGCATGTTTTGTTAGTTGCATGTTTTTAATTTTAATTGTCTATTCTCTACAGTGAAATATTTAATTGATTTTTCATTTTTACTTTTCGAGAAGTATGCGCGGTTAACGATTCATTTGTTTGGACAAAAGTATTGTAAATAAAATTCAGTTTCAGTCAATTACAGTTTTTTTTTAATACGACCCTGTCGTATTTTCTGAGAAATTTTTTAATACGTTTTAATCCGGCCCTGACTAGGAAACGATAATGGCGCCGACAAGGTCAATTTTTATAGAAATTTTAAACAATGGAATCTGAGTAGAGTTGGCGTGCCGATTGTTTTATGTGCCGTGCTATAAGTATACAGATAAAAATCTTGTCCCTAATTCGTGGTACGAAAATTGTTTTTTATGACGATGTGCAAACGAGTCAAATTTCCGGTGCGCAAAAATAAACTGGCGTAAAATAACAATAAACAGCGTAATAGAGAGATATCGCTAAATCGAATAGCGTGCATGGACGTTAATAAGGCCAGGTGTTATTTCCTTTACGTGAGGTGGTATTAACTCTCTTCATTTATAGTTATCGGATCGGAAAGAATTCTGTTCGCGTCGCGTCCGCTATTTAACTTTAACCTAACTTTGAATTTAAAAATTGAAATCGTTTTGTTTATCAGGTATTTTAAAATTAAAGGGCTAAAGTGCTTATTTCCAGTGCTTTATTGTTCAACGTCTGCCAGTGGGTTTAGGGCAACAAGCAACAAATTCTCTTAGAAGGGCTAAGTCGTCATCTGCTGTAAATCTAAGCCTCTTTATAGGTTCTTTAATATTGGAAGAGGTGGAATCCATATTTTGAGCCATATTGATTTAATTAAAACTAATCCCAGCTACTTAAATACAGATTACCTAATAAAACTAAAGTAATAATTCAAAACAGTTCAAACATAACCTAAAATAAAATCTCGCCGGCCGGCCCAGGTTGTAAATACCCGCACATGCCCATTTAAGCAATTTTAAACGTTATTTAGAAATAGCGCTTGGTGTAATTGATCTGCAAATTACGTCAGGCGGTAACGTTATTAGCGGGTGTTGCGTTAAAAATTGACTCGCGCATATCGTATCTATGATAAGGTACGCGTAAATACTGCAAGACGCTATTCGGTTTTCCGATATCTCTCTAATAACTGTGCCGGTCAGGCACTGTGCACAATTTTAGAGGCCATGAGTGGGCGTGCTATGTGCGCAAACTAGTCACCTAACTAGTGCCCGATTCCGAAAATTGGAACCACGAAAAACAATAAAGAAAAAACAAAGTTAATCTGTATAATCAGTACAGTTACTAGGCACTACAGAATACAAGGGAATTTGAAAGCAATGGATGTGTTACCAGCGACAATTTTTAATACTTTGTTGTGTGCAGTGAACTTTGTATAAACTTTATTACAATGGTGATTTGTTTACCTATCAAATGTAAGAGCCGCAACAATAAGAAAGAGCCAGGAATTACGTTTCATAGATAAATAAACAGTGCACTCCACCTTTTTAGCGTTTTCTTATTGAATTTGGTAATTATTTTGATATTATATGTACTTGATATGTGCTATACGTCGATACAAGTTTTGTATCTTTTGTTAACATTTTAATACGTTTTTTTTTGTAATTAATTAGTATGATATAGTCTGTAAAACGAATAACTTTGAATCTGACAGTTCCCGCGGGCTTTTCTAGTGTTAATTTTATTAGGTTAGCAACTTGCGGCCATGCTGACGCAATGCCGTCTCTAATAGAACAGCCTTGAAACGAGATTTATGACGTCACACTAGTTAGATACTACAGATTAATAACTATGTTGTACATGAAATATACATAATATACAGTAGAATACATGGAATATATAGTTATTCCTCGATATGTTATTTGTATTTTAAAATGATATATATATATATGATATATACATAATATACAGTTAATAAATATATATATATATATATACCTATTTATATTAATAAATACTCTGGCAGATAAACTATGAACCATACAAATGCAGCAAATGTTTTACAATATGACTGAAATCGTACTCCATAGTCAATGTAGATAGTTTTTGTGTTAAGAATAATAATTTAAAAAAATATGTGGTCATCTTTTGACAAGTTTATATTAGTTTATTAATTGCAGTAAACATTATAATATATAAATAAATTTTGTGAATGCAAATAATAATACATCACTATTAGTAGATATTGAATGTTTTTTTGTTAAATTAGATCGATTTTCGAACCCCAAAATTTAAAATATATTTTACATTTTACCCATTATCTTATGTACCACCTATTCATTATTTGTATATTGTAAAACATTTGCTGCATTTGTATGGTTCATGTTTATTAGCCAAAGTATTTATTACAATAAATAGGTATATATTATATTGTATTTATTAACTGTATATTATGTATATTTCATGTAAACTATATCATTTTTAAAAATACAAACCAAAATACGAGTAATAATTATGTTTCCATGTATTCTCCAACATATTTATTAATCCGTATTATCTAACTAGCGTGACGTCATAAATCTCGCTCCGTGGCTGTTCTAATAGAGACGGCATTGGTCTAATATTTAGAAATGTCAAAAGCTGATGACATTTTACTTTTGTCAATTATGACATTTCGTGTTGATTTTTGCAAGAAGAGGAAGAATTGTCACTTGTTTTATTATTTTCCTTTTCTATTTCAAGAGTTACCTATCTGATTCGTTCAGGCTAGTTCAGGCACTCAATTTAAAGAATATCAGTAACGTTTTTGACAGAGGGATTTTGTATTTGCCATGTTGGTGAAAATAACGGTCAAAATTCAAAGTTATTCATTTTATAGACTATACCACCGCATACACCATAGGCGTAGTCAAAACATTTATCAAAAATATAAATATCTCTTCAAGTAGCTAAGCTAAGAAAAATATGTAACACGGCACTGTTTGGAGGTATGGTAACAATTTGGTCTCGGGTGTTATTGCTCCTTGTATTCTTTAGTCAGTGGTTTATACAGTACCATATTATATGCGAAACGGTGGTTTCCTTGAGCTTAATATTGACGCTGCGCACTTTGGGTAGCTTATTTAGGATCTGCAACGGTCTTTGTTTTCTGTATACTATTTTGGAATCGAATATCTCTTCCGTCGAATGTTTCTTCTTGCCATTTTCAGAATTATCTTCCACTTCAGTCTCGTAGACGAACTGACGCATAAAACTCTCTCGAACCTTAAAACAGTATTGGAATATAAAGAGTGGTGCTTCCTGATCCCATATACAGGGTGGTTCGAACTGTATTCCGAAAACTTGAAATGAAACTTCTACACCCTGCATCTCCGAAACTAACCATTTTAGGACATACAATTATAGGAACTTTTTTACTTATTTTTATCTGCAGAATATGCTCCCGAATACAATTCGGACCACCCTGTTTGGAATCCAACTTACCTTGGGAAGATTGAAATCTGAAGGGATCCTATGTAGAGTAACCATCAAAGGACTATCAGGGAACTTCTCGAAAATTCTCAGCCTGAAAGGCAAGGTCTCCTTGATTTCTGCACTTTGTTCTCTGTACTTCAGCTGTTTGAGTTTCTTAATATCCTCATCCAGTTCCAAATTATCCAGAATGACAGCTACGAACAAGCTCAACACGATCAACGTGACGAAAAGGTGGTACATTATGAAGTAGAACGCCACCAAGGGGGCTATCATCGATGGAGTACGATACATGGTTTCGTCCATAACCTCAACCCAAGCCTCCTGGGTGAGGATCTGGAACATGGACATGAACGCTTCGGCGAATGTTTCGAATTTGGTGAAGTCCAGGAAGCAGAAGAGTTGCATCGAGACGCTTGAAGAGATGATGAGCAAGCACATGGTGAAGATGATGAGGCTTCCTAGTTTTTTTCCCGGGCCGAAGATTTTGTAGACGAAGTCTTCCAAGAGTGGGGAGGCTTTTATAAGTCGTACCACACGAAGGACTTGGAAGAATGTGAATCCAGTCATGTAACAACCTGAAATAGTCGATAGATGATACTGTTTTTTTTTGGATTGTATACAGGGTGGTCCGAACTGTATTCCGGAAACTTCGGCAGATAAAAATATGTACAGGGTGGGTCAAATTTGACGCTTTTAAATGGAAACCGTGGCCCACATTAAATGAAAACCAATGGCCCACATTCGATCCTAGTACTATATCGTGGAAAGGTCACTTAAAAACACTGCTTTTTGAAAAGGCGGTGCTAATATACGCCATCTTGGCTGAGTTTTACATTACACAGGTAAATATATAGTCTATTCAGCGAGAGGAAGGAGTATTTTGACAGAAAAATCAAGCACTGCCATTATTTTTCCGAAAGTAGTTCAAATGACCTAATTATTTACAGGGTCGATACGGCGAATGCTTGAGGGTTTTGGGTATTTTGGCACGATGTCAGCTGGCCTTAGACCGTATACAGTGGTCCAGGGGAGTCTTGAGACTGAGCTGCTTGCTGGGCAGAGCGGGAGACGCGTGTTTGATGATCGTGCAACGCTGGAAGAACGTAGAGATTTATAGAGAACAGTTGCAGTCGCATCGAGATGAGGATATTAGGTTGTTAGAGAAAGTTGAACAAGACGAGAGGTGAGACTAGTTAGAAAAAAAATGATTTTGTTCTATAACTTTTTGCCAAACCCTGTATATGATATTTTTTATCGACGATTTCAGAGCCCACAAAGTAAACCTGGGCGACAGCGAAGCTAAGGTCGTGTTCATACCGGATATTCGTACCATAGAGCAAATGCTTATAAAAACGGTCGAATGCTACGAGACAGCATTAAAAATGTCCTCTTCCGAAAGCATAATGTTTCGCCTGGCCAACAGCCTGAACGAGCTGGCGACTTACTACTTGAATGTAGCGAAGAACGCTAAACTACCCAAGGATATCATAGAGGCTTGCAACAAAAGTGAGCCTGACTTGGTAAAAGGCTTGCAATTATTTGAAAAGGCCAATAATGATGCTAATATAGCCTTGTTGAGCTCCAATATGGATCATCTACATCGACTTCTAGCTTACGCTCATACTCCCGAAGAAAGGTAAAAAAGTTAAATCTAGGGATGTCCAAAAATATCGATTGATAAAAATATCGATATCGATAATTTTTAAAGTTATATAAAATAGTTTTGTGGGCATAGAATAAACACTATACGAGCTAAAAAATCTAGAGATGTCTAAAAACATCGATTTATAGAAATATCGATATCGATATTTTTTAAGGTAAATTAAAACGTCTTTATAATCTTTCTTCCTTGTGTATAGGAGCGAATTGACACCACAAGAACGTAAACACTACAGCAAAGCTTTCCAGAGCTACAAAAGGGCTTTGACTAAATAGTTATTTGACTGAAATCATAAATTTGAAACGTTTCGTTTTTGTGCCAAAAGTTAAACAGAAACTGTTTTATCGCCAATTTTTTCGAAGAAAAATTTATAATTAATTTAAAAAAATAAAATGTTTCTAAATGTATCGTTTCAGTCCAGTAATTATTTGCTTTTTTTTGTTTTTATTCTTGGCTTTAGGTCGTTGGGGTTGCAAAGATGTTACTAGATTTTGTTCATTATTTTATTTTTATGACGACGTTTAAAAAAAAATAAAAAAAAAATTTTAAACACTTAATATGTGTTATTGTGTTTTGTCCAGTTTTAACAATTTTTAATTCTGTAGGAATCTACGTTCAAGAGACTTGAAAAAGACATATACTGTCGAAACGTCGTCATAAAAATAAAATAATGAACAAAATCTAGTAACATCTTTGCCACCCCAACGACCTAAAGCCAAGAATAACAAGAAAAAAAAATATATAGTATACCAGGTCAAAGAAACGAAACAAAAAAAAATAATTATTTACTCAATATGTTTATTTTTTTGTCAATAATGACATGTATTGACTATTTCCATTTTAAACATCTTGAGAATAGTTGCTCGTAGCGATTTTTACCAAGAGAAATTTTTTGCTTAAAAAAAATCACGGAAGTTTTTAATTTTTCACCCAGTAGTTTTATACAGGTATGGACGAAAAGTTATTACTCTTCAAAACCGTTTAAAATACATGTAAATGGCGCCCTTTACAAATAGGAGTCATATTGACATCAAAATCAAATTTCCCATGTCAAAAAACTCCCAGACATCAATTTTCATCAAAATATTGTCGCTGCTTCAGAAATTATTTGGAAAAAATCGAAATAAAAATGAAACTTCTACACCCTGTATCTCCGAAACTAAACATTTTCGGACATACGTTTATACGAAGTTTGGACAACCCTGTATAACGGGGTTTTTCAAAAATGGCTAGTGAAAAAAAATTACAGGGGTGAGCCACTTTTACTGAAAAATACCACTTGTTAGCTATACCTGGAATAACATGTATGGTTGTTCCAATGGCACAGAGTAGCTCAAACTTGTGAATGGAATGTTTCCAGTATCCTCGCCATCCCAAACACCATATCTTGAATATCACTTCCATATTCAAGAGAATGGTGAAACCCAGTTCCAAGAAATAGTACTTCTCGTAGAAGACTTGCCTGGGTCTCTTGTCATGCTTGAAACTCATAGAAGCGGTAACAATGGCGTTGGCCAAAATGACTCCCATGACCAAACTGCGGAAGTAGGGACTTTGGAGGACTTTTTGACAGAACTCTGGAGCCGCCCCTCCATGTCTGTTATCGTCTAGTGTCACTAGTTTCCAGCTTCGGTCATCACCAATCAAAATCTAGAAAAAAGGTGAAAATAAAGGTATATGATGATTATAGTTGTGGGTTGGAATCTTTGATGTTTTTAGTCTCTGCTTTTGTTCATCTGCCATCTCTGGCGCCGTTGTTTTAAGTAAAACTGTAAAGGCCGTAACACACGGACGGTTTGTATACTCTGTTTTTTTTTCTCAGGTAAGATTTCGACAGACGATGACAGAAGAAAAGCAGATGACGTCCCATACCAATCTATTTATTTTACTAAAAAAAGTTTCTAATAATTTTTTAGTTATCTATGGATGGGGTTTAAATATAAATCCGTCATGCGTCGTGTCTTGTTGTTTTTAACCAGTTTTATTGGTTTATTTCAGTTATTTAAAAAATGACAGATCGTATTTCAATTTTATTGGTTTGACGGAACGATGAACGACAAACGGACGCCGATGCGTATGAACTCGCCTTTAGATTTTTGTCATTTTTGAAGCTTGTCAAAGTCTTGCCAAATTATAGGTTAGAATTTTGTGTCAACTTTTGTTAAATACCCTGCGTTTTGGAAGATGATGCATTTTGATTCGTATTATTACGTGTGTTTTGTGTCTTTTGAAATCAAGTGGAGGAAAAATCGAGGGAAAATTAACTGTAGACCCAGAGCACAGTTTATGGTTAATACTCGCTGCCCAGGCAGAAAGTTTTATACACCAATGAAGTTGCCATCGATAAAGTTTGTATACCATTTCGTCGTAGATAAGTGCATCTCGTATATGGTAGAAGGATCAAACTAAACAGATACTAAAAACTGGAGTAGCTGTAAAATATCGACATCACACGATAGGTAAATAATGGATTTTAGTACTGCAGAAAAATAATGTCAAAAGGTACTGGTTTAAAAAAATTAAGATTAAAGTTAATTAATCAACCTTTAAGGTATAAAATTTGGTAGGTGTTATTATTAATAAAATAGTTTGTTTTATTTACCTATGTTGTTTTATTTATTGCTGTGGAATATTACAAATTGGTATTTGTACATAAGTTATATTGATAAATATAATCATAAATGCGGGTAGTTTCATAAAGCTTGAAAGTAAATAATAGTTCTTTTTTATATTTTTTTTGTATGTAGTGTCTTGTTCTTGTTTGTTTTGTATTAACACATACCGTTTTTATTAAATAAAATAACTCGATTACATTTTTTCAGTTTTATACAGTTTTTTTCACAATATTTTGAAGTAATCACTTGTCATCTTGTCAATCAAATTTTAAATATATCCTGCTATGCGTTCCAGTTCTACCAACTTATTTCTTTGTAAAATAAAATAAACTACTTTGAAATTAAAATGACATACACATCTATCACTGTCAAGGATCTTCTCGTTGGACAGACTATAGCTTCTGAATAACGGTCTAGGTCAAACATCTAGCTCATTTACCAGCTCAGAATTAGAATTTAGAATTAGTAACTCGCATTTTCATTGGAGGACACTGTCATGTTTATTTCAAACCAATAATCAACGAGAATATTGGTATAATTTAATAAAATTACTGTAAATCATTATAAATACCTAATGAATTGTTTTGTAATTGAGCTATAATTCCTGTATTATTAATCCGGTAAATGATGGAGATAAACAATTGTGATTGATTAAAATTTTATTTTAAGATGAAACTTTTGTTAACAACATTCTGAGAATTCGAATAACGACAAGACAAGTGACATTTGTCTAAAAAAACAGCGATTTAGAGTGACAATTTAGTTATGTAAAATTTAGAGCGACAATTTTGAACTAACGTCATATTCAAGACCTGACTGTTTTGACAGTTCTACCGAAGTGGTCCAGAATTACTAGTCGTAAACAAACCAATCGTTTTCATTAGTTTCGCAACAAATCTGTATTTTTTACGCGTTTCTATGCTAATAAAATTATACTAAATAATTTTGAGTGAATAGTGAACTATCTAGATCCGATTCATAACATCGTACCCGCGAAAAAAACCATACTTTCGGTAAAAATTATAGTAACACCGGCGATGCCGGCTGTGTGTCCGGGCTAGGAAAAAGTTGGGGAATTAATAGCGTTAGTGTTAGTGTATAGTGTTAAACCAACGTAAGTGACGTGTATTTTTATGTAAAACAGTTTTCGTTTCTTTATTTTTACTTTGTGAAATAAAAAATTCCGCGACATTGTTCTGTGCCTGTGCCTTGTAGCAGCAATTATAATAAGCCCTCAGGAACTGTCTACATTCTCTTTCCCAACAATATTAACTGTAACTAGGTCACGTCTGGTCACGTCCAAAACCTACAGAACATGCTGTGCCTACAATTTTTCCAATTCAACCCTCTTATGGACCCTTTGTGCATGTTCCCATAAAGAGAAAACGTCCCGATGAAAGAAAACAAGATTTGGAAATTCAGGATGAAATAAATATTGAAAAGTATTATTATTATTATAAAATGGCAATATATTTTAAAGAAATTAAATGAATTTGTACTTTATTTCAGTATTTTATATAAAAAAAATGATATCTTTATCTTTTTATTTACGATTTATGGAGATGGTTACTTGATGAACATCGAACTACAAATTACTTAATGTTAATAGTTAATTCTATCTGATATCCACATTTTTTAAATATGTTAGGCAAATTTTTTCAATTATTTTTAATTAAAATTTAAAATGTATTCTGCCGTTATCATATACAATACATTTTCTTAACTTGTCGATAAACGTATAGTTTTCAAATTTTTTAATATTTGGAAACTTTTTATCACAAGGTATATTATTACTAGTTGCTAAATACTCGCTGACGCAATTTTAGGACACGCTTTTTATTATCTAGATTTTATTTTGTTCATCTTATGCTGTAGTTTATTTCATATTAATATTCCTGCTTTAGATCTAAATTTTAATGCTATTTAATTACTTTAACGCGATAAAAAGTTAATGTTATTTTTTAATACCTTTCTGTATAATATTTTTCATATTTATATCTGGCAAAACTATCAATAAATACTATTATCTATGCAAAACCTATATGCAGTACCATATGGTACAATACAAAAGCCGGACTAGTGCGGTGACGTCACAAATCGATGTCTCTGGCCTGTCTGTCATGTTGGTCATGATACATAATATTCAATGAGTTTACTGCTTGCCTAACGATTAACATTAATTTAAAAATAAATCCCCAACATGAATAATGAACAAAACAGGCAAAAAAATATACAGGGTGTTCATAATATAGGCTAGTTCTAGACCTACCTGCGATGCTGAACTGTTACTGATATGCCCTCTAATACCCCACATTTGTTGGAACTGAACTCTAATCTCATTAAAAGTTTCTGTGATGACCGCTATGAACACATTCTTCACTAGCCAAGCCAGGAAAAAGATCAGAGTACTGAAATAGGACACAGCCATCCAGGGAGGTAACGAATCGATAGCCCTGTACATTATGAAGACCCAGCCTTCTTGCGAAGCCGCCTGGTATACTGTGAAGAAGCTGGTAACTAAAAAAAAATAAAAAATTAAATTTCGGGCATTTTTTCTGGATAATTTTGTACCAAATTCATCGAAACCGTTGAAACCGATTATGTATCTGGATACATCCTCCATTTTCATGCACTTCATTCCTTCGGGACATTGGTATCCAGACCTGGGGTCCAGGGAGCAGAAAGTGTCGGGGATTGCCAGGTTATTGATAGTGACGTCTCTGAAAACGATGAATAAATTACAGACAGAAACTGTCTGAGATATCTGTAATAAGTTAATCCCAAGCAGCATTTGGACGTCGAGCCAACGTTGTGTCACGCGACCAAACGTCGGGGCGCAACGTCGGCACAACCTCGTGCCAACCCTAGTCTGCACTAGTTTGAAGAATAATTTTTGGGTCGAAACGACGTTGGATACCGACGTTGGCTAGAAGCCTAATTTAGTACAAACTGCAACGTTGTTTAAAATCCTTAGAAGATTAGTGTGTTTCATCTTGTACTTTTACGTTATCTATGGATTCTGTAAAATAATTACAGGAATATTACACTATCTAACATCAGTATCTATGTATCTATCATAGTATCTACAGATATTACAAGAGTATCCATGGATGCGATTAGGGGAAATTACTATTATATATTATTATCAATAGATATTGTGAAAGCATTACAAGAATGCCTCTCACAGAAGGACATTCTCACAGTATCTATTGATACTGTGGAAGTATCCATAAATATTGTAAGAATATCCAGGGATATTATTAGGAAATATATGACGATTTTTAAGTTGTTGAAACACTTTGACATAAAAAAACTATTCCGCGTTATAAAAAAATATAAATCTATTAAATTACTTTGGTTCTTTGGTAGTATTAGTGACACAATGGTTCTTCAACTCTCCAAAAAACTGAACTCCTAGAAGTCCATACAGGGACATAAAGAACAGGAAAAACAAAGTAACATTGTAGATTTGCTGACTTGATCTCCTAAAATTTGAAATTTCCTGATTTTAGTTTAATTTCTTAGTCATAGATATAATTGCTAGGTGAAGTTTTGTCAAGTTCTTACTTGAAAATTTGATTGATGCGCGACTTGGGCATGGAGAACTTGAGGAACACCCTTAAAAACCGGATCATGATCAAAGGCCGAGGTGTTCTCAAGATGGAAAGGTACGAATAGGTGGGTACCACTCCCATTATTTCGAAAATTTGGAGAATGACGGAGATCCAGAGGAAGAAAACCATGCTAGCGTCAAACTGGCACCAGTGGTCTTTCAAGTATGGTCTGTCACCCTGAAAACACAAGTCGTTAGTATAATTAATATGTTATAACAGATACACGCGCTGTTTGTAGTTCTTATACCGGGTGTTGCATCGTCGAGCGGGACATAGGAAATCCCATGTAAATTTTAATGGGGTCAATTATTGGCTTCCCTAATTATTTTAGAGAATAATTCTATTTAGGTTTATTGAAGAGCACTAAAACCCACATACAAAAGAACAACTTTAGATATTTTTGATTAGTCCGTTCACGAGTTATCGCCCGATTTCTTTTTAAATATTTCTCCTTTCTTATGGCCCTGTATTTACTTATGAGCAGCAGTCAAGGTAAAAGATAACTGTCAAATGAAGTTGTCATTTCGGAACTTTATCTATTCTGTTAACTCATACCTACATCGAAAATATTAGCCATGAATTACACTACCGAAAAAAAAGTATTGATGATTAAATGGTATTATCAAGGAAATAGGTATCAAAAGGTGTCGGACATGTTTGCTGCTCTGTATCCGAATAGACCGATACCTGGAAAATCTACAATCGCAAGGAATATCCAGAGATTTGAGACTAAAGGTACCCTAATAAATAACTGCAGATGTGAAGTAAGGCAGGAACAAAGAGAAGATACAAGAAATGATATCGACTTGGAAGTTTTATTATGCGTGGAAGAGAACGATGGAAAGATCAGCACAAGGAAACTTGAGGATGAAATAGGAATAGATCACACTACAGCGTTTCGAATTTTGAAACGACACAAATACTATTCCTTCAAATATGAAAAGCACCAAGAGCTACGAGATGGGGACGAAATACGGCGGCAGGCGTTTTGTTTTGATATGACGGAAAGAGCAAACACGGATAGGAAATTTTTAAAAAACATATGTTTAACTGACGAATGCACGCTTACCTTAAATAATGAACCCAATGTTCAAAATTATCGATATTGGAACAAAGAAAACCAACACAGGTTTGTCGAAACAAGGACGCAATATCCACAGAAAGTAAATGTTTGGGCAGGGATATTCGGACACAATATTATCGGGCCATTATTTCTTACGCGAAATTTAAATGCAGAATATTATTTGGAACTACTCGAAAATCATATTTTACCGGCTTTACATGATGCCGCTAGGGAAAATCAGGAAGTTTGGTACCAAATGGATGACTTGGTACCTTAGTACACTGGCTGTTCGGGAATATTTAGACAATAGTTTTAACGGAAACGTTATTGGCCTAAATCATTCAGTAAATTGGCCAGCAAGGTCTCCTGATATTTCGCCAAATGATTTCTTTTTCTGGGGCCATTTAAAAAACAGGATATACAAGGATAAAAAATACCCAAATCTAGATGAGTTAAAAAATGCTATTTCTGCCGAATGCAATAGAATTTCAGTTTACCAACTAGCGAATGTAAGAAGAGAATTTTATGATCGCCTGGGTTATTGTCTAGCAGTCGATGGAGGAATATTTCAACATCTTCTTAAATCCTAAAGTTCTTTAAACAATTTAATAGTACCTAAATTAATAAGTTATTGAATATTGAATTAATACTATAATTAACCTTGTAATTGATTACTTTATTTTACTTTAATTCATATTAATTTGTATTTATAAATACATCTTTAAGATTTCCGATGTAGGAATGAGTTTTCAATAATAATAAAGCACTAAATAGGTAAGACATTTGACAGTAATCTTTTACCTTGACTGGTGCTCATAAGTAAATACAGGGCCATAAGAAAGGAGAAATATTTAAAAAGAAATCGGGCGATAACTCGTAAACGGGCTAATCAAAAATATCTAAAGTTATTCTTTTGAATGTGGGTTTTAGTGCTCTTCAATAAACCTAAATAGAATTATTCTCTAAAATAATTAGCCCAATTATTTTAGAGAATCATTCTATTTAGGTTTATTGAAACCCATTAAAATTTACATGGGATTTCCTATGCCCCGTCCGACGATGCAACACCCGGTATACAAATTTACTTACTTTCAAAATTCCTCTGATGTGCATCTTGGCTATCATTTCCGATGTGAACAAAAATGTAACTGCAGAATCAACAGAGAAGGTGGTGAGTTGCATATATGGGAAAATCTCGAAGGTTTTCGGGGTGTTGCTGCATACAGATGCCAGACTCAATAAAGCACAGCTTCTCATAATTCTCCTTACCCATCTCTTGAAAGAAACAGTTTTTTTAAATATCTATATTGTTCTATTCAAGAAATTTTGAATGAAAAAAAATTAGTTAGATAGATGATTAGATTTTTGATATATAATATATATTTCCTTCGGTCACACACGCTTTACCCGATCCCTGAGATCGATCCGAACAGTACAGCGTAAAACTCTTAAAAAACTTGTAATTCTAACGCTGGTTTTACCTTGTTCACCCATTCGATGTCAGCACTTTCGTTAAAGGCCTCATCAGGGCCGTAATCAGCTAGGACCGGTTCGCCCTTAAGGCTTTGCTTGCGGCCCAGCATCATTTTGATACGCTCCGTGATTATTTTGGCGGAAATTTTGCCTAGAACCGATAAAAAATCTACTGTCACTCAAAATAATAATAATAGTCTTGTTTTTTCCAAATTAATATATATATTTTCATAGAATAATTTAGTTAAAAAGTTGTTTAAATCAATAAAATACCTAGTTATTTGATGGAAACTGTCTCTAAAATAATTAGTGATCAGCAAATACCAATATGCAAGACCAAACCAAACCAAGACTTCCAGGTCTTGCACTTAATAAATATACGGGGTGTCCCAGAAATAAGTGCAAGTATTTTAACTGGTAGCGTGGCTAACGTCATATTCAAGGCCTGACTGTTTTGACAGTTCTACCGAAGTGGTCCAGAATTAGTAGTCGTAAACAAACCAATTGTTTTCATTAGTTTCGCAACAAATCTGTGTTTTTTACACGTTTCTATGCTAATAAAATTATACTAAATAATTTTGAGTGAATAGTGAACTATCTAGATCCGATTCATAACATCGTACCCGCGAAAAAAACCATACTTTCGGTAAAAATTATAGTAACACCGGCGATGCCGGCTGTGTGTCCGGGCTAGGAAAAAACATAATTAATAGCGTTAGTGTATAGTGTTAAACCAACGTAAGTGACGTGTATTTTTATGTAAAACAGTTTTCGTTTCTTTATTTTTACTTTGTGAAATAAAAAAATCCGCGACATTGTTCTGTGCCTGTGCCTTGTAGCAGCAATTATAATAAGTACTCAGGATCTGTCTACATTCTTTTTCTCAACAATATTAACTGTAACTAGGTCACGTCTGGTCACGTCCAAAACCTACAGAACATGCTGTGCCTACAATTTTTCCAATTCAACCCTCTTATGGACCCTCTGTGCATGTTCCCATAAAGAGAAAACGTCCCGATGAAAGAAAACAAGATTTGGAAATTCAGGATGAAATAAATATTGGAAAGTATTATTATTATTATAAAATGGCAAATATATTTTAAGAAATTAAATGAATTTGTACTTTATTTCAGTATTTTATATAAAAAAAATGATATCTTTATCTTTTAATTTACGATTTATGGAGTTGGTTACTTGATGAACATCGAACTACAAATTACTTAATGTTAATAGTTAATTCTATCTGATATCCACATTTTTTAAATATGTTAGGCAAATTTTTACAATTATTTTTAATTAAACTTTAAAATGTATTCTGCGGTTATCATATACAATACATTTTCTTAACTTGTCGATAAACGTATAGTTTTCAAATTTTTTAATATTTGGAAACTTTTTATCACAGGTATATTATTACTAGTTGCTAAATACTCGCTAACGCAATTTTAGGACACGCTTTTTATTATCTAGATTTTATTTTGTTCATCTTATGCTGTAGTTTATTTCATATTAATATTCGTGCTTTAGATCTAAATTTTAATGCTATTCAATTACTTTAACGCGATAAAAAGTTAATGTTATTTTTTAATACCTTTCTGTATAATATTTTTCACATTTATATCTGGCAAAACTACCAATAAATACTATTATTTATGCAAAAACTATATGCAGTACCATATGGCACAATACAAAAGCCGGACTAGTGCGGTGACGTCACAAATCGATGTCTCTGGCCTGTATGTCATGTTGGTTATGCTGGTAGTATAGTTCAACCCCAGAAACACACGCCGATGAGGTCTTTTTCAATTTTTTGGAAATTTTTTTAGTTTTTATTTAAAAAAAATAATTTCTTGATAATATGGCAACATAGGTAGTAGATTACATTTACATACAATAAAGAAAATCCAGAAATTTTAGCAAACAGTCATTTTTTTTAGAAATTTTCAAAGTAAAATAACTCCAACGGACTTATTTGAAAAACGATGAAGAGAAAATATGTTTCTTTTATCGAGATCTACAACCCCTTAAAATACTTGCACTTATTTCCGGGACACCCTGTATAGTCTTGATCTTGCACTGGTCGGTCTTATTGTTATATACAGGGTGTTTCTTAATGACATGCTAATAGTTAAGGAGGAACTTTTCAGATACGGGGTGGTAAAATTTTCTAGACATAAGAAATGTTTATATATTGAAATATTTATATATTATGAAATTTTGATAATAATTTTTATTTTAAGGGAAGTCAGTAGTGTACTATTTTTTTCTCCAAAAATATTCAATGTAAAACCCGTATGGACGCCACTGATTGAAATTCTTTGTAGTCCAAAAAAGGTATTTTGATGAATAGAAAAAGTTTCATAAAGATATCTGTAATAAAATCAGAGTTATTATAAAAAAAAAGGTTTCTTTAGCAACCCTGTATCTCAGAAATTAAGATGTTTAGGACATACACTCATATGAAGTTTTTTTACTTAGAATAGGTTCAAGAACCACCTCCTTAAATATTAGCATGTCATTAACAAACACCGTGTATATTTTAAGCTCAAATGTCTAATCAAAAACATTTTTTTTAATTTATACTTACTCTATTTAGCAAAAAAATCACATTAGCAAAACTTTAACAAACCCTTTTTGGACCTTAGTTTTATTATTATACTGTTTTTCCAAAAATCTGCTTGCCCAACAGGCACATGCACCATAATATACTGTTTAGGCAAATATCTTCATCAAGAAAAACTATTCTATTTGTCATTTTTTCTGGAATTTTAAACGCCAGGCTCTTATTTTCATCTCCCACTGACGGTATCCAGGAATCTGGACAGGGATGAACGATCGATACTATTTAGGGCGCGAGAGTGACTGCGTTCCAGAATTACCGATGAGTTACTGTAGGAACGTAGCAGAATCCTTCGGTTCGTATACAGACCTTCATTGTCCCTTTTTTTCGATCTTGAAGTTAATAGATTCTAAAATTATACCAAGATGAGACATCCAGGTTCCAGGTACCGTATGATCGAATTATCGATTGTCATTCTCCAGCCATATTTGACGCGGTTTTTTTTATTGTATGGTTAAAATAATGCATACATATATTTTAGACAAAAAATATCTTTATTCAAGAAGCCTTACAAAAATATTAACGACATTTTTAAAATAATTCTTCTGAAGTATTCATTTTAAAATTAAAACAAAACATACCGGGTGCGTCTCAAAAGTTGCTCACTCCTATAACTTTGTTATTTTTTCAGATAAAAAAAAACAAGATTTGGTATGTTAGTATATATGACATAAATTAGGATTGATTGACGTATTCAATTGTTTTTGGTCACTTCCTGTTTCACCGAAAATGACTACTATAGTCTATAAAATGAATAACTTTGAATTTTGACCGTTATTTCTTACCAACACGGCAAATATAAAATCCCTCTATCAAAAAAGTTACTGATATTCTTTAAATTGAGTGCCTGAACGAATCAGATCGGTAACTCTTTTTACTTTCGTGAAATAGAAAAGGAAAATAATAAAACAAGTGATAGTTCTTCCTCTTCTACCAAAAATCAACACGAAATGTCATAATTGTCAAAAGTAAAATGTCATCAGCTTTTGACATTTCTAAATATCAGACCAATGCCGTCTCTAATAGAACAGCCTCGAAGCGGGATTTATGACGTCACGCTAGTTAGATACTATGGATTAATAAATATGTGTTAGAATACATGGAAAACATAACTATTCCTCGTATTTTTGGTTTGTATTTTAAAATCAATGTTTGTTTTTCAAATACAAACCAAAAATACGAGGAATAATTATGTTTTCCATGTATTCTACAACATATTTATTAACCCTTTAACGCCTGATTTAATTTTTGTTCGAAAAAATGGCCATTATACTCATTTTAGTTACTTTAGGAGTTAATTAAGACACACTGTGGAGCAAAAATTTCATTTTTTCTCAGACTTTTCGATAAAAACTATGTGACCATATGGTAACACTAGGCGGTTTGCCTACCCAGTTTTGGAAATATTATGACGGAAAATTTTTACATACATGTTTATTTAAAGTTATTATAAATACATTATTTTATGGTCAGGTAACACCTATAGAGTATGAAATATGAAAAAACAGTCAATACAGAGTCCGACATTGCACTTTTTACACTTTCTACGCATTGAATTGTATACGAGTTCGTTTCTCACATCGCTGTCCGGTCCCAGTAAAACCTCTTTCCTGGTAAATCGTTATACCCAATAAGAATGAGTATTCCAATGTAGCATTTCATCTCTTCAGTAGTCACACGTGGATCAGGGCAGTTTTTGAACAGGCATATCTAGAGGTTTCCTCAATCAAAATAGACAGAACTTCGTCATCAATGAACATCTCAAATAACTGTACCGGAGACAAGTTTTGATACTGCAAATGATTACCATCTGGAAAACTTTGGCGACTTGGCTCCAAATCGCCCTGGATCCATTGGAATTCTTCTAACTTAGCTGAAACGTTTACTTGTGGCATGATGTTGTGCAATATAGGTGAATCTCGCTGTGACAGAGCACTCTCTTGCGAAAGTATTTGATCATCAGAAGTGCATCCACCAATTCTATTATTGTCCAGAAGTTTTACTTCAGCTTGAGCTCGAAGTTGTCCTCCAGATAGGTTGTCCACAAATCCACCCCCATCTTCATCTCCCGAGTCCACATCAGTCAGGACGCTTGCATCGGGTGGTTCAATAAATATTTCATCTATATCTTCATTATAGGCAATTTCCAAAGCCTCTTGAAGTGTAAAACCTCTCCTAAAAACAAAACCGTTATTAGAGCAAAAAACAGGTAGTACATGCGCTTAGCGTTACTATATGGTAACAACTTAATATATGCACCTGTATCTGAGAAGACATAACCTAAAAACTCCAACCGGCACAATTAATACCTGATTGTATGTCTTCTCTTACATACTGACAAATATAAACGCCATATTTTGAAAATATCAAAAGTTATACTTACTCAAACCTTGGTTCCATGGCAGTTTTGTAGAACAACAAAAATTACTAAACGGAAAACTGTCTCAGGGTCATAAATCACACACAAAGTAGAACTGTAACTCTTCCGATGCTTATTAGAACCATTCTAAAGAGACTCATGGCGCTATCTATCCGACAGAAGTAGAAGGTTGGGGACAGGCGTCAAATATAGGGAGCCTTACACTTGTGACCATACGGTGACGCTAGGCGTTAATGGGTTAATCCGTAGTATCTAACTAGCGTGACGTCATAAATCTCGTTCAGAGGCTGTTCTATTAGAGACGGCATTGCGTCAGCATGGCCGCAAGTTGCTAACCTATTAAAATAAACACTAAAAAAGCCCGCGGGAACTGCCAAATTCAAAGTTATTCATTTCACAGACTATATCTTTTGATTTTTAAATGGCACCCTCGGTATTTTTTTACTTTATTCGTTAGAAAATGACACTCTGAATAGAATGACATATCATATGTCAACTTTTGACATTCTCGCTTCTCGCATTTTTTTCTAAAAAAATAAAAAAGGTATAGGGGCTGAGCAACTTTTGAGACGAACCCGGTATATTAAAACAAAATATCATTTGGCGTGTTTATATTCAACAAATCATAAAAATATCTCTAGTATAAGTATATTAAAATGAAAAAAGAAATTAAAAAATGTTTTTGAAAAAATTACATATATACATATATATTTAGTTGTTTTAAACAATTATTGGTTATATATATCTATAAACACTTTAGGTAACATTAAATATGATTATACCGTATATTCGAAAAAAAAACGGCGTCAAGTTGCCTTGGAAATGATAGCGATCTCCGACGCCGTTTTTTTTCCCGATTCCACGGTATATTTACATCTATACAATATGCCTTTGTCATTCAAAATTTTCCCCAATCAAAAACATCAAAAGAAAAAAAAAACTCCTAATGTTATTTAATCGGAGCTATTACAATGTTCAATTTGAGTTGATCTCTGTCAGGCCCGATGAGATACGGCGTCTCATGAGCCATCTGCATCGAGGCGGGTGTATTGAGAGCCCCAAAAGGTATGAGATCATCGATATTGAGCCTCTTGTCTTGAGAGGTAAAGTGGTGAATTTTTTCACGCACTTCCATGACGTGTTCTACGCCTCCGTGGATGCCATAGATTAAAACCGAGACTTTTACCCTCATGTTGGGTGTGGGAGAGTCTCTACACGTTAAAGAGAGCCTTACCGTTCTGAGGATTTCTTCTGGGACCTCTAGAGTGCCTAGAAATCGAGAGAAAGCATGCAAGCAACAATTATAGGTGGGTAAATAAATAAATAAATAAACAAGCTTTAGTTTTAATTTATTTGAATATTTTTATTACTTACCTTGAGAGAGTATCAAGTAACATTTTTTAAAATGAACACCTTTGGGATATAACCCCACTTCCCACTGGCTGATTTCATGCGATTCATGTTCTGCGGCTGACAAATGTGAAGAAAAAAGAAACGTTATAATGTGATAGCTCTGTAAACCCCAGAAATTCTCTATATTCAGGGATGTGGAGCAACTATCTGATGTATAAAGCCTTGCGGCGAAAATGTTTGGTTCCGATACAAAATACGATTCAAGTTGTTTAACATAACCTAAAAAATTAAATATCAATTTTCTAATTATAGAGAAATTATTAATGTATGATACCTGAGTGATACTTCATCCCTATAGCCATTCTATCAACAAAAAACTCTTTATTTTGTTTAATTAAAGGAGACATTAGCAAATCGGCTAGTTCTCTAGGTGTCATCATAGGAAACCGAATATATACCATAACTTTCTCGACCAATCTCTTAAAAGACTCTTGTGTAAACGTTCTATTCAGATGCATCTTGTTTTTCTGAAGATCCAACCATCTAACAACACAATTATAGAGCATTATCTCGTTGTGAACAACCACATCGCTCTGTTGTAACACTTTAACAAAAGTATCACAGTCGATGTTCGTGAAATCTGATGTGTTTGCAACTGCTTCGAAATTCCATTTGAGATAGTTGTGGCATGTTTCAAAAATAAGGGTGTGGTCACATATACTGCTGTATTGAAGCCAGGAAGAGAGCTGGTTATGGGAAGCGGCATGAGGTACATGGCGGCACATATAATGTATGCAAATACGACTCAGACTCTACAAAAAAAAAAAAAAACAATTTTAACCCTGTCTAAAATGGGCTGTTCTAAAAGTTTTTTACCTTAACTAAATATTTATCAGCCAGGGCTAGAATGGGCATGACATTTGTGTGAGTAATGTGAATTTTCCCCGTGTAAAAATACTCTAAGAATGTGTAGAAAACTGACTCGCAAATTGGTAATTCCTGTAGCTCTATATGGCTTTCCGTCCATTCAGACCAAGCAGAGTTCCTAAGCATTGCCTAAAAGTGTTTATATACGTTAAATATTCTCTAAATAAGTGTAAAATATTCGTTCATACTTGAAAAACATCACTGGAAGCACACAAAATCAATCTATGTGCACCAAATTCCCTGTTTCCCACTTTCAAGTATATGTCGCACATATTTTGATCCTGCCAGAGGTTTCTGAGGGTTTTCAGTATGTTTACTGAGTTGTCGATCTAGAAAAAGAAGTTAGGAGAGAGTACCTATTATAATATTGTACATTTCCTCACTGTTATTTGGCAATTTTCGTTAACATCGTCATCTGAAGAAGAGGATCCCTTGCTACGATATGGTTCAGTAGGTCTCCCAAGAACGTACATTTCATCGTTGAAGAACATATCCATGTTGTTCGAAAGGGTCGAATCACTTTTAAAACAAATTAAAATGTCTTTTCATTAATGTTTTGTCAAAAAAATATCCATTAATTTAGTTGGGTTATGTTGATTAAATTAAGTGTTTAGATTTGTTAATAGATGTCAGCATTGTTCATGAAAAAAACATATTTTTTAGTAATAATTGTTGTTTTATTAATTTTTTAAGCCGCTAGTCAATTACAATGTAAATTTAAATAAATTTTGGGCTCTGTTTTGAATTTAAATTAATAACAATTTTATAGTGTTCCAGAATTCTATAGCAACTTAAACATTAGTATTAGGTATTACGTAAAGATGTCGCTGAAATCGAATTATAAATTAGAGGGCTCCAAATTCGAATAAACAATAATTAACAATGCCTGAATTACACTAGTTATTATAGATTAATTGTATTGTTTATGAGTAGCATATTCGTAACGGTTTCCTTAGAAAACCCCATACTATGACCTTTCTCGTGCATTTACGGACTTTAAGACCATTAAAACAATGTTTTCGCATTTGCATCACTTAAAAACAGTAAGAAATTATCAACAATAAGGTGTAAAACCTTGGCTAATAGTGCTTCGGACTAATTTGTATCACGTAAATACAATCAGTGAGCGATAAACATATTTTTCGAAAAAATATGACGCAAATATCGTTAGGAATTAAGCAGATTCCTGTATTTCAGAAATATTTACGTTAATGTCGTATTAATAGATTTTAAACTTTCTTTATGCGAATGTAATTGATATAATTGGTTTTTAATTTATTTATTGCAAATTAATAAGTCTCTATATGTGACCTGATTACCTAAATATAGCGTTTTATATATAGAATAACATTTGGTGATAATGGACGTATAAGATGACAAAAAGACTTAATTTTTACAGAAAATTAAATTAAAATCTGTTAAATAAGGGCTAGCACTTTTACTGATATCTCGTACCGTCAAAGACAGCTGACCCACAAATGTATTTTTTCTTGATCTAGCAGCACTAGAAATGGTGGTCCAAAAATATGGTTCAAAAGCGTTTCTTTTAAATTTCAAAGTTATACAGGGCGAGTCCTAAATAAGTGCAAATATTTTCAGGGCTGGTAGATCTCGATAAAATAAACATATTTTCTCTTTACCGTTTTTCAAATAAGTCTAAATTAACAGAGTTATTTACTGTGAAAATTTCTAAAAAAAATATTTTTTTCTTTAAATTTTAATAACCACTGGATCTTTTCTGGATTTTATTTTTTGTAAATTTAATCTACTACCTATGTTGCCATATTATTAAGAAATTATGCTTTCTATGCTTTATGCAAAAAATCTCATAATCGTGTTTCTGGGGTCGAAATATACTACCCATAAAAATATTTGCACTTATTTAAGACTTACCCTGTATAACTCGGATATTTCTAATATACTTAAAAACTGTAAACAGAAAATACATTTGTCTATATATCTACTAACCCTTAAAATACTGATTTAAGAGGCCCTATATACAGGGTTGTTCACCACATACGACACGGAGTATTGTAGCTAAACGATGAGATTTTTACAAATTGTAAGTTTTGGGTTCGATGAAGGACTATTAGAGGTACAATTTAAAAATAATTTTACAAAATACAGAGTGTCCCAAATAAGTAAAAAATATCAAAGTTGTATTTTTTTAAATGGAACACCCTGTATATTATTACATTTTTAGTTTCTACGATTAAAATAAAGGTAAATTTAATTAAGGTTTATTATACTTAAACCTTACCGTTTTTGAAATATTTTCAATTTTGTGAAATTGCAGTAAAAATTTTAAGGCTTCATTTCTCCAAGGGTATCAAAGTTTTTAATACTAAATATTTACTGAAGTTTATTTACTGATCAGTTATTGTGTTGCAATAATAAAAATAATAATACCTTATACAAAATGTCTAAACATTTATTTTAAATAATTATTAGCTTCAAACGGCAATAACTTGTTTAATTTAAATGGAACACCCTGTATATTTTACGAGAATCAGATGCACAATTTAATTGTCTATCAAATTATATTATACCATTTTTTACCTATCTCTTTAAGTTTCCGTAGAAAATGCATTTTCTTGTAATTTAGAACTTATTTATCAATATACCCATGGACTATTGACATTTTAGATTATTTTTAAAGATGTACCAAATTTTTAAAGAGCACAGATACTAATATTGTCGATATAATTCGTTTATTTCATTAAAAAATAAAAAAAAAACTGTTTAAATATTTGTTAAAGAGGACCAATTAATATGATTCCAGTATTCAAACTACATTAACTGACTGTTTGCGTTGATTAATAATAATTGCTCCAAATACTAAAAAACTGAATTCTGTATGGGCATTAGACAGTGTGATAACACCTTAAAAATGATATTTCATTTTTTAATAAATGCTTATTTATAACAACAGAGACTTTAATTTGATAACTTATTATATTGATTTCTGACTCAAATCCACATTTATTTATAATAATTTATTAACGAACACAATTAAGTATGTAATTAATTAGTATATGGGCGCAATTTGATAGACAATTTAATTGTGCATCTGATTCTCCTAAAATATACAGGGCATTCCATTTAAATTAAAGAAGTTATTGCCGTTTGAAGCTAATAATTATTTAAAATAAATTTTTAGACACTCTGTATCAGGTAGTATTATTTTTATTATTGCAACACAATAACTGATCAATAAATAAACTTCATTAAATATTTAGTATTAAAAACATTGATACCCTTGGAGAAATAAAGCTTTAAAATTTTTACTGCAATTTCACAAAATTGAAAATATTTCAAAAACGTAATGTTTAAGTATAATAAACCTTAATCAAATTTACCTTTATTTTAATCGTAGAAACTAAAAATGTAATAATATACAGGGTGTTCCATTTAAAAAAAATACAACTTTGATATTTTTTATTTATTTGGGACACTCTGTATCTTGTAAAAATATTTTTAAATCGTAGCTCTAATAGTCCTTCAACGAACCCCAAACTTACAATTTGTAAAAATCTCATCGTTTAGCTACAATACTCCGTGTCGTATGTGGTGAACAACCCTGTATAGTAGTACACAAGTATATATTTATTTTTTCAGTGGCTAATGGAATTATTTGATCCTCTGGATATTAACTTCTGGTTAATAATGTGTATTTAATTGATGCATTAGATCATTAGAGAATTAAAAGATAAATGTCACATTGCCGAAAATCGATGAAATATGACTGATTATCATTCACGCTATTTAAAGCGTATGTAGAAAAAATAAAATTAATTATATTTGACAGGCATATATCTAATGTTTATTAATGGGAAAATTTCTGCGTTTTGTCTATCTATAATTTGATGATAATCATCTTAAAATGTTCATCTATATTCTTTAAAGTTATCTATATATTTTTTTAAAGCCATCTGTAGTTAAATTATTTGACTTTATTAGCCTTATTTTAATTTAAAAATTAAAGTAATAATACTTCTTCAAGGGGATGCGAAACCTTATCGTTGGTTAGGAAGCTCATTGTCAGCTGCTAGGGGGAATCCCCCTCTGGCATTTTTGCTGGGGTTGGGTCTCTGCTATCTTATGTTATAGGGCTTGTTTCTCTCTACAATTTCCTGTTTCACAATGTACCGTTTGTGTCCAGGAAGGGTTCATAGTTTCATAGTTGTCGATTTTCGAAAGAAATCAGTACATGTATATTATTTCGTATATTTTTCATTTTATTGATTTTATGGAAAGCACTGTTCATTAAAATGTTGTATCTTTTGTTATAGGGCTTGCTTCTCTCTACAATTTTCTGTCTCACAATGTACCGTTGGTGTCCAGGAAGGGTTCATAGTTTCATAGTTGTCGATTTTCGAAAGAAATCAGTACATGTATATTATTTCGTATATTTTTTATTTTATTGATTTTATGGAAAGCACTGTTCATTAAAATGTTGTATTCTATGTTATAGGGCTTGTTTCTCTCTAGAATTTCCTGTTTCACAATGTACCGTTTGTAAGGGTTCATAGTTTCATAGTTGTCGATTTTCGAAAGAAATCAGTACATGTATGTTATTTCGTATATTTTTTATTTTATTGATTTTATGGAAAGCACTGTTCATTAAAATGTTGTATCCTATGTTATAGGGCTTGTTTCTCTCTAGAATTTCCTGTCTCACAATGTACCGTTTGTGTCCGGGAAGGGTTCATAGTTCCATAGTTGCCGATTTTCGAAAAAATCAGTATATGTATATTATTTCGTATATTTTTCATTTTATTGATTTTATGGAAAGCACTGTTCATTAAAATGTTGTATCCTATGTTATAGGGCTTGTTTCTCTCTAGAATTTCCTGTTTCACAATGTACCGTTTGTGTCCGGGAAGGGTTCATAGTTCCATAGTTGCCGATTTTCGAAAGAAATCAGTACATGTATATTATTTCGTATATTTTTTATTTTATTGATTTTATGGAAAGCACTGTTCATTAAAATGTTGTATCCTATGTTATAGGGCTTGTTTCTCTCTACAATTTCCTGTCTCACAATGTACCGTTTGTGTCCAGGAAGGGTTCATAGTTTCATAGTTGTCGATTTTCGAAAGAAATCAGTACATGTATATTATTTCGTATATTTTTCATTTTATTGATTTTATGGAAAGCACTGTTCATTAAAATGTTGTATCTTTTGTTATAGGGCTTGCTTCTCTCTACAATTTTCTGTCTCACAATGTACCGTTGGTGTCCAGGAAGGGTTCATAGTTTCATAGTTGTCGATTTTCGAAAGAAATCAGTACATGTATATTATTTCGTATATTTTTTATTTTATTGATTTTATGGAAAGCACTGTTCATTAAAATGTTGTATTCTATGTTATAGGGCTTGTTTCTCTCTAGAATTTCCTGTTTCACAATGTACCGTTTGTGTCCGGGAAGGGTTCATAGTTTCATAGTTGTCGATTTTCGAAAGAAATCAGTACATGTATGTTATTTCGTATATTTTTTATTTTATTGATTTTATGGAAAGCACTGTTCATTAAAATGTTGTATCCTATGTTATAGGGCTTGTTTCTCTCTAGAATTTCCTGTCT